TATGACACTATCATTTATACTGGATTGAAAGATTGTGATGCATATATCATTTTTATAGTAGTCGTATTATTTTCTCAAATTAAAATGCTACCTACTTTAGCTATTTGCAGTACTATTAGATTGTAAGCATTGTTTATGCTATAATATCTGATGCATTAGTAGTTGTTTTACCTGCGTCTTTTAAATGTCTTACTTCGGCACGATTTTTTTTTAGGTATCATAATAATTGCAGGTACTTAAAACTTGTAAGCTATTTGCTTCACACCTATATAGTTTTGTTATTCTGGCGATTTTAATTTTAAGAGGTTGATAAAATTATATAGCTTAGCCCTTGTAATTAATATTACTACGTTATGTAGTGTCCTAAAAATTTATATTCTTTTAAGTCCCCTTTTTTCCATGCTTTATTTATGACCTTTTATATATGTTTGCTTTAGATTGTCCTTCGCTGCTTATCGTATTTTTGTGAGATAACCATAAGGCTTGTAAATTATATTACATTTATATATATCACAAACCTGAGTGTGTAATATTGAAGTTATATCCATTGTTATTTCTTTGAAAATATTGGTAGAAGTTTAATGATCCCTCGAGTCTTTTGTTTGATACAATTTGAAGTTTTCCATCTTCCTAAAATATTACTGTTGTTAGAAAATATTAATCCCTCTTCTTACAACTTTTAGTTCTAATTATTTAGTTTCATTGATTTCGAATTTCCTTTGCATATGGTAATCGTTTCCTTAAGCAATGGAATTCAAATTACCAAAATCTTTATAGAATGGATATTTGACTGACATTTCGTTTCTCCACATATGCTCTAATAATTTACAGTAGCAAACCTAACATCCCATTCATTAAATCTGATGCGCATTCGTTAATGCTCCTACTGTCTATCCATTCTAGGTCGCATGTTATAAGTATACAATCCTAGATACAACAACAAATCTCACTGTATATTGCTTAGATTTTCAACAGCAAAAAATTGGATGATCATCAAATATCTTTTTGGAGTAACATCTTTGCGACATTTTTTTTAGAAGGAGAGCTGAATGTATCTCTACTTGTCCTTTTAGTATAATAATCAATTTCTATGATACATAAATTATAAAAATAGCCAGTTAGAGTTATGATTAATCAATCTGTTTTTGGAAGGTTCAGATAGAACAAGATATTAAATTTGAGAGGATAATTATAAATGACATTCTTTATTATAATTAACATACTCCTTCAATCCTCAGAAATTCAATTTTAAGCCTAAGTTGCTTTAATTTGGAATGGAGAATTTTATATTTTAATCTGTTAAATGAACATAAAGTTTATAGAGAAGAAGTTGCATTTCAGAAATTTTCTTAGAATATCAAAACAATAAAATTAATCTTATTAAACATCACCTTATTTAAAACTTGCTCTTCTAAATCTATTAAGATTAAGGATAATGTAAAATTAATAATATTGAAATAAAATATAATTACAATTACAATCAATTATGATCTTAAAGAACAAAGAAGTAAACCTTTTAGATAATTATGATTGCTTTTTAAAGTAAAAAATTGTTTAATAAAAAAAAAATAGTCACCTGAATAAAGATTCTAGTGTTAACTCCAGCAGATCTGGTTCCATAAGTCATAGCTAATACACAGCTGTTTATGAGCGGGGTCTTGACTTTCTTCCTTAATGTTGTACATATGGATGTTTAAACTGACCAAGGTTAAGATTTTCTAGAGCAAATTTGGTTTGGATGACGCGAATAGAGATCGATGGGAGGCCATTGTCGAAAAGACAATAGCCAAACTAGATCCAATGGACTCTAGACTAAGTATGATTCCAGACCATGCTTTCTACCTTTGGAGAAGAAATTAATCTATCTGAGCTTGGTCTTAGATAGCTAGACCGGACACCTATTTATATACCACATAATATTAATTTTAAGGAATAGAGAAACTCATTAGAACAAGTTTAATATGTGGCAAGGAAAACTAGAGTATTTGGGAAACATTTGTAGTACACCCTTAAATTTAAAAAGATAAATCTTCTTTTTAAAAAAAACATTCTTAATAGGAAAAAATAAATAATCCATCGTAAGTCTAATTCAAATCAGAATTAATCAGGAATATTTTAGAATAAAAATAGATTAATCTTTAAAATATTCCTTATAGAATATAGAAGAAGAACTAGTTTTAGAATTATAGAGAGCAGGGAGGTTTATATATTCATGAAAATGGAGTGTTCCCTAGTTAGAGCCCTGTATTGTTCACACCTATCTAATTCTCTAACAATAAAAGATGCATCCACTTGATGATGGAATGACAATCTTATACTAGTTAATATCTAGAGAAAATTTATTGATTAACTGAAAGAAACCTATGAGATAGGCATGGATTCCTAACTCATGAATCAGGTAAACTGGAGACAAAAGTTAATATAATCATTTGATCAGGATAGCAAGCATAAGACCGTGTTGAACACCTTGGAGGATATGCTAGTTAATGCTTAAGAACCTACATAATCTTTAAAATTTAAAAAATTTAGAAAGAAAATAAAACAAGAGTTGTATTTATATAAAATCACGATATGGAAACAGAATTTCCTGCTTAAAAGTAAAAATAGTAAAGATAACTCGGATTTATCAACTCTCCTGATTTTAAATAAAATTTGCTTTCTGTTTTGCCTATCACTTAGGATCCCTTGGAAGCAAATCATAAACTAGTCGAATGATATCCATACGATGGAGATTAACAAATTAAAGGAGGACTTAAGATAGATAGAGTAGAACTCTTAGCTAACAGGGTTAGCTAATCAGGTTTATAATAAAAGAATTGAAAAAGAAATTTAAGAACTCAAATAGATTATTCTAGCTAAGGAGAATACTATCAAACTGTTAGATAGTAGAAATCAAATTAGAATTAGAAGCAACATACGTAACTATCTGTTTAGGATAGGCTAATCATTGTTGAAAGATAATACTTCTACTTACTAGATTATTTCTAAAATAAGAAGATAAACATCAAACCTTGTAATGTATAATATTGGAGGATTAGGATTTCTAATTCTCAAAATAGTATCTTTTCCCAACCTATAAAATAGTATCAAGAAATATAAAAGGAAAGGTATAACACTTTCGTTAAGTATAATATGAAAGAATATCTGGCTAGCTTAAACTTGTAAAAAGGTAAAGTTTATTCGGTATTACAGGATATGACTAACAAACTGCAACTGTCCTTGAAAATTACAAATAGATTCTACTGGGAATAAACATATAAAAGATTGAATATGTAAAGGTAAAGTCCTGGTGGGCATATGTGGAGAAGGAGACCATAATGGCTTAAAACTTTCATTGAATTTGTTATTTGATCTTTTTTAATTCCCTACCATGAAGTAGCAAAAATTCTATATGCTGTTCAAGCCTCTGAACTGTAAAACTTGCAAAAAATCTATACAGAAGAGTAAAGTTCACTCCTTGCTCATGACCTATATGTAGAGTTTATATATGGGGAAAGTTTAGATATCATTGCTATGATTAATACCAGAAAACCCAAGTTAGCCTAATACATATATGATTAGTATTCTATTAGTAAGTGTTGTTGTAAATGTGGTTATTATTCGAGCGAACCTTCAGTCAATTTGTAAGATGACTTTATACATGCCTTTATGATGGATTATGTGGATTCTTTTAAGAATGAAGAGAGGCTATTCCAATTGATATATGATATAACAATTAAAAATTTAATTTAAATTTAAAATTATGATTTTTTTGGTCAGCATTTCCCTAGACTAAAATAATTCAAGTGAACGCTAATCAGTCTCAATTAGATAAATACCTATTTAGTCTTTGACTCTTTTTCCTACCAAAATTAGAGAATACTCTGAGCTTTAAATTCACATTAGAGCATCATCAAAGGGATCAAATAAGTCTTCAAACAATTGGAGAGATACTCAAGGTATACAGTTTTCTGAAAGTGCAAGCAATGTTTCTTTGTTGATATTCTCTAGCATCCATAAAATATTAGTTCAAAACTATAATAACTATAAACTCATAAATTTACAAACTTAGAAATTCGTTATGGAATTAAGAATAATCAAAAATTATATTCTTGTATCTATAATGATATATTTTTTATTGAATAAACTATAATTGAAGTTCTTATCGCCAAAAACATAGAAATCTTAATCTAATTTTGTTGCTGGTAATTATTAAGCACTGTTATTTTTGATTAATAAGGTCTTAAATAGAAATAGATACTATTTTGATTTAACTCTCCAATTTAAAATGCAATTTATATTATTTAATGATCTGATCTAAGAGTGGAAACAAATTACTTACAGAGCTTAAAATTACTTGGATAAAACTTCATAATTTTAAGCATTCTACTAGTCTAGATAATTTAAAAGATTTTAATAAAAAAAAAATAGTTTGATGTTTAGGTGTGATGATTGATCAAACATCTTTGGAAACACATTAACAATCATGGGAGTTACAACACTAAAAATAGTGTTAATTTTTTGGTTGATAGAAGACTGCACAACAGAAAACCTGTACAATATATTTTGTTATCAGAACCTGATATTCGAAATTCAATATCAGAGTAATTTTATTCGAATGAACTATATAGAGATAATTTATGATTTCTTTAATATTTTTCATGAAACTTTATCTTTAAAGTTTGATTTATAGTACAGTATAAAAACTGTTTTTAACATTTATAGATTTGTTTTTTCAAATTAAATTGTTTGCTAAGTTGAGAATTAAGAATGCCTTTTTCCTATTAATGTAATTTTTAGGATATAAAATTAAAATTTACCAAATCATAATTTATTAAAAAACTCTTTTGCATTTTCTTTAAATTTAAATAATTAATATTTTTCAATATTCCACTATCATAAAACGTAATAGATTTATTCCAACTCAAACAGTTTTTGTTTTTTTATTTTATCAATAATATTTAATTTTAGTAAACATAACACAATTAAATACAATTAAGTGATAAAATGTCATTATTTAATCATTTGTCTTGAGATATCAACGCAAAACGAATAAGGTCAATACATTTATTTTCTGTTTCAAAGTAATTAAATATTGCCAAAGCCTAAAATCTTTATTATTAAATACATCTAAGAATTAAGTAACTCCATCTAGTGACCCTAAGGTGCTAGCTGAAATAACATCATTCAAAATCTTGGTTGATTCTAATTTTGTGCCTCCTTAAACGATTTACCTTTGGTTACGTTTTCCAACAGATTGATAGATAAAATTTGCTAAATGAGTTTTTATAGATTTTATCAGATTAGAGTGAAAGTAGTCAAATGTTTTAATAAGTTGCTTTTCTTAATTAATTAAACCTTATACCAAAAATTTTATTTCTACTCTATCAAATTGCTATAAACTTATAATTTCCTAAACACATATTAAATATTAATTATAAAGCCAACGGTTGTGAGCGCCTTAATAATAAAAAAATAATCCTTTTAATGGATGCTGTCTTAGGTCAAACCACTCTTTTAGACATGCTTCTGTATCTTCAATTAAACGTTAAGCCTAGTGTATTTAATTTAAGAATTAAAAAGCTTAACATTGAATAAGGTACATAAGAGAAACATAGGGATGAACAAGTTTTTAATCCTTTGAACTGAGTTTAATATATCCATCAATTCCCTTTTGACAGCATTACATGATCCAGGTATTCATTAACTTTTGATTTATTCCATTTTTTGTTCCAAGAAGAATATTCAGTTGAAAATCTAAAATTTTTAACTTTTAATCAATCTCTGTAATTTCTGATATCATATTAAATTTTAGTGCATAGTATGCAGATTACCTCATTTCCTCATTGACAATTTTTAATTTTAATATTTCTATATATTTGGAATGGTCAATAACACATTATTTAATTTGAATCTAATTATGTTAATTTAATAATAAAGAAAAATAAGTTGCATATATCATTTGCAAGTAATTTATATGAATTTTATTCTATAACTCCAATTATAACTCGAAGAGCAAATTAAATTTTGGTAAATCTTTTTCAATATTAATTAAGATTCTTATATGGTTTAAAATTGCTTCATTAATAAAATCCTTATTAAACAAGTGAATATAATCCACATCATGACTCTCATTAATTAGTTAGTCATATACCTAGAACTAAAAATTTTAGAGTGTGGTGTTAATAGGATATTCTTAAACCTAAATTAAGTCTTTTAATTTACTATTTCATTGTTGGCAATTGAAATAATTGTTCTTTATTACTTTAAACAAGCATCAATATATGATAACGTTTTATTAGAATACTTTAAAGCATTTTCGTAATCAATTAAATTAAGATGGAATCTACATTTTAGTTGCGAGAGAAGAGCGTACATAAGAGTAGTTTCCTTATATTCACCTAATCTTGTTCTAACTATTAAAATTTATGTTACATATATTATTTTTTTGGTTCAATATTTCCCATCATTGCATTGACAACATCTAATAAGGATTCAAATAGATGCATCAATCTAATAAGTTGTGTTTAATTTTATAGGATGCTCAAAGTTTCGACCAATATTTCAGAAATTAAATGGTAATCTTAATTAATCATTAGATTAAATAGCAAATATTAACAATTGAACTTAATATCTTCAAAATATAAAAAATTAGGAGTATATTCATACAAATACTTTGAAGGGAGTGGTAGGCAATTGCTTTTATTTTTATATACATTCTCTAAAATCTGAAGGTCTTAATCAAAGCCACTATGAATTTTGTGAAATATAAATGCTTAGGAATTAAGTAATCTTTATGAGAATTAGTAAATTAAATCAAACATATCAAATTACTAAAAATACATATATGAATGAAGCAAGGCCAAAACTATGATTGAGCATTCGAAATCTCGGTTAAGATACTCTCTTATCTGCATATATGATTATTTTAAGTTTGAATGAGATATGATGCTACAATTAAGGAATTGACAGAATAATTAATATTACTGATATTGTGATAAACTAATATCAATTTGAAGTTCTTAGATCTATTAATTATTTATTTATATGCATTTTAAAGATTAACAGTAAAATTTTGGATTTGTTGATAATTAATTTATCTAATTAATTGCATTTTCCAACTATTTAGTTTTTTGTTAATTCAAATTTTCAATAAGTTTTGGGGAATAAGCAAAACAGATTGAAAGATAGTAGAATATCTATAACTCATTCAGGTTTTGATGGAAAAACCAAGAATCATTTTGAGGTTAAAATTATGAATGGAAGTCCTATAATAATTTAATAAATGAAAATTATTTCATCAAATGAATATTCTATTTACTGAGCTAACATTTAATATTATGAGGCGTTGGTTAAAAGTCATCAAGATGTAAAATTTACTAAATAGATTTAATTTAGCAAAGTCTTTGAAAAGAGTTTATATAAACTTAGTCACATTGAGCTAGTAATATTCTTCTGTTCTCTAAAGTAGGATTTAAATTTGAAATTGCAATTATTTACAATTTCATAAAATCATCATCCTCTGATTCAATTAAGTTAATTAATTTTTTTCTATTTATTTCATTCCATTTCATTTCTGTAATTTTTAAGTATTTTCCAACCTCACAATTCTCTGTCGTATATGTTGTAAATAAAGATTGTTTATCCTTGCTCAATAAAATTAATTAATTTTTATAAAAATTAAATAAATCTTCGTTTGCTCCCTCTAATGCTATGAATTCTTTATAATGATTTTATTCCTATTCATTTTTTGAATCAAAATGAATTATTAATTGTAAAAATTTATAATAGAGTAGTTAAGAATAGTAGAGCTAATTCTCATCGGTTAGTAATTAATTTAGAGACTCCTAACCATAATTCTCTAATATTTCATCATCTAAAGGAGATGTTTATTCAAAGTTTATCAAAGCTGTACTGCAATCTAAAGGTATGTCTAATAATAAAGGTCTTGGTTCAGGAAAAACTATAGTTTGTTAATTTTAGATTATTTCTTAGAATTGAATATCAGCAAGTTTATAATTTTAATGAAAGTATGTTTAAATCGCCCTTAGTACTTAAAATTAGTTTAAGTATCTCTATATTTGGGTTTAGTATTAAATAATTATTTAAATATAATCTTTATTTTTTCTTAAAGTATTTATTAAATTTAATCTATCAAAAGAACTTATTGATGATGCCTAATTGTTGTTTTATTTTATTTTTCTTTTTAATATGATACTTTATTCTATGTCTGATAGATTTTCTAATTTGATATTCAAGTTTAATTATCGAAATATGATTCTGAGTTGAATTATACATCGTTTTAATGCCTCTATCAACTTACAATTCTCTAAATCTATCTCCTGTCTTAAAGCAAACAAGGTAGAAATCTTAAAATAATATATTAATAATATATCTAGAATTTTCTTAATTTCATTTGATTTTAAAAGGTAAGAATGCAGATTCTTTGAAAAATAATTGATAAAGCTGAGAAGTAGATTAGAGTCATTTTAAAATAAATTAATTTTCATATAATTCTCAACCTCCTATATAAGATTTAATGCTGTTTTAAATTGTTTAATTCTAAAATGAAAATTTATTTAATGTTTCATTAATTCCATATATTATTGATAAGTAACTTCCTTTTTTGTTTAAGTCTTATATTTCTAGTCAAGAAGAGATTATGGGTCAAAATTAATTACTTTTTCTATCAAACTGTAATAGTCTAGTTCCACAAAACGTTATTAAACAGAAATCATCTCTATTATTTAGGTAGGAGATTTTTGTTATAGCAATATTTCTGATAACAAGTACTACAATGGATTTTCCATAGTATTTATAGCATTTTATAAATCTTCAATAGGTTTGAGTAATATCATTTCAGCTATCATTTAAACTAATTACTAGATAGGGTTTGTTTCCTAATTAACTGAATTAAGCACCATATATTCATTCTAAACTAAAATGTAATTATAAATAGAAATATTTGCTATTTTATGCTTTTATAATAAAATTAAATTTGAATACAAAAACTACATTAATTCTTCTACAGTGTAATAAAGTGAGTTCTTTCTTCTAAAAGAAATTACTTAATATAAGCTTTTAGAATTTGAACAAGAGTATAAGGAAACACAATATCCTTTTATTAAGAAATCATCTATTTAGTCAACAATATTTAATAATCTAATATAATTCTTACTTTATCCTAAAAATATACCATGACCACCATTGTAAAACTTTTAAAATTATAAAGTTTAACTATGTCGAACTTGGAAAAATTGCATTAAATATTCTTTTTCATCAATTTATACTTACCATAAAATATCATGAATATGCTTTTAAATTTTAATATTTGGGATCTGATTAATTTCATCTATAAAATATTATAATGAATATTCTTCCAATTTTGTATTATATTGTTCAAATATATAGGTATCTTTAGATTTATCAATTATATTTTTATAGATATCTGATTTTAGACTTTAAAGGTGATAAATTTTATTATTTAATCTTCCATTTGTAGATTGAAATATGTAAGATGATTTTTGCCTAAATAAATATTAATAATTGTTACTCATATTCTAATTAATCAAATAAATCAATAAACATATCTAATGTATATTAATTGATAGATGAGTATTAGACCAAAGCGCCAAACTTTTTATGAATATCTGATTCAAATTGAACTGAACTCAGTTTTTTCTTAGCCTCATATTACAAAATTGCAATTTAGAGTGATGATTGCCTAATAGTTTATTTACGAAATCCTTTAAAAAATAGGCATCTATAACGAAAAATTTGAACTTTCCGACAATTTAACCAAGATTTCTTAGTTATGAAATTTGCTTTTTTTTAAAGGATTGCAGCTTATTCATTTTTTTCATCTTATGTTAGTTCAGTTCCAAATTATTTAAGTTATTACTTAAATTTAATATATGCCTTATCTGTGTAAAATTCAAATTAAGTTTCATAACTTTATTTTAAAATTTTATATCTTTTGTAGTCTAAATTATGTAGGATTTTCAACTTTCTTTGAATAAAGGATTGGCTCAAATGAATTCTAAAGTCACTCCACAACATAGTATAATTTGATAAAAGATTCAACCGAAATAAAAATCTCCAAATTTTTGTCCTATCCTATATTAATTTCTTTTCATCTTATCTAATGGACGAGACTTGGAAAGCCCAAGTACATATCCTTTTTGAAAAATAATCGCGTAAAAATTAATAATCTAAAGTCTTAACATTTTTTATTTTTTTTCCCCATTCATTTAACTTAGTTTATTATCTTTTCATCAATAGCGCATCTGATTTTTATTCTTCCTTTTTTTAAAATAGTGCAGATCCACTCTAGCAATCAATAGTTTCTTAAAATATTTTTAAACCTGTATTAGATGTGAACAACTACTTCTAAGAGTCGTTGTTTTAGGGAAATTCAATTAATTTCAATTATAACTACTCCTCTTCAGCCACAAGTCTTTTTGATATACTTCCTATATTTTTAGAATAGAAATATGAGATATCTTCATCTGAACTTATGGTTTCAAAATTATGAGTGAAATTAATCTCCTTAGCAGCAAATATTTTAAAAATCGGGCTTCTTTATAATTATTCTTTATCTTATTTCTCTTTCCTACTCTTATTCATTAAAATTTGAATGTTGCTCTTGTAAATATATTTCCCTCTTTGAATAATTTATTGCATTATTCTAGGGGTATTACCAAAGATACCCAATGTTATGCATTTAATTAAAAAGTGATAAAAAAGCAAAGATAAAAATAATAGAATTATATCATCCAACAATCTACTCTTATAATATATGCTAGTAATTCCTGAATTACTTAAGATAGCAACCAAATTTATTAATTAATTTAGGTCATCCCATACACCTAAAGAACCTTCATTTTTAGGCCAAGGTCTTTATAATTAATAGCATAACCTAAGTTTTAAAATCTATACTTATAATATCATCCATATCCAAAAGAATGTTACGCTAAGAGGAAATACACAACCAAATAGATTTATAAGAGTTGAGAATAGGAAAAATTCCATATATTCATCAACGATGCCATCCTTTTCTGAAGATCTCCAAAATGGGACTTTAGAATTTTAGTCCTAGATTAGTTAAAGCAAACTATCAGTATTTTAGATTTATTAATTTATATGAAATTATTCTTTTACTTTAAAATATAACCTAAAATACTTTATGAATTGTAAAGTAAATATCCAGAAGATGGTTGTTGCAAAAAAATATTATATTTCATTCTTACAACTCTCTTCCCAACAATACAAATAAAAGGGAGAATTCAGAAATTATATCACTAATAAAGGAAATAGTCCTGAAAGACTATATAAAGTGTATTTTTTTATTGTGTAGCTAGTTTCATATTAATTTGAAATCTGTAAATTCTCAAAATCTGTCAAAAATGTGGCAATTTATTCATAATATTATTCAATTAGTTTCTGGATTCCAAAATTTAATGAGGAGGATATTATAATTTCAAGGTTATAAAATTTATTATTGAACTCATTAAATTTTGCTTTCAGGAATAAATTAAAAAAATAAATACCAATTATTACCCCAAAATCTGAACCTATCAAAAGAATCAAAATAAAAATGGAGATAATAAGTTTCGAGATAATTTACGCTTGGGATGATCCTAATGAATTTAATTCATCATTTTCAACAGAACGAATGTATTAACCTTTAAATGACATAAGAATTAACTTCTCTTATGCTCTTTTATTAAATCCTTATCTTATATTGAATTTGATTTAAGTTGTCTTCCAATAATCAGTTACAAATGAGTTCCATAACACAACTAATAATGAGAATATTGAAATAATTGCTGTATAAGTTTATTTGTCTAATTCCTTTGAAGTTATCATGGCAATCGTAAATAGAAATCCTAAAATGGATAATACAGAATAGCATAAGATATGATGGGTAGTAAATTCTAGAAACAATCCAATTTTTTCTCCGAAGTAAGAGCAAATTCTTTCTTTTGGCAATACCCATGGTTCCTTATAATTAAATTCCCAATCACTAACTAAATCAAAAGTCCTCTTCTTATAAAATTTATTCTGTTCACTTACAGCATTTTGAATATTTTTACACCAGCCATATAATTCATAGAAGTCATGTAAGCAGAAAATTTTATTAACTAGTTTTAATTTTACTAGGGTATCCAAACTAACACATGATTAGAGGACTGAATATGCTAATTTCAATCTTTCATTACTTGGAAATAAAGTAATATGATTTTTTTCATTTTTGATATATCTACACCATCTTAATTAATATCTTTCAATATTCTTAGTTGAAGAGTCCTTTTTATTTATTTAAAATGGAACATATAAATCAAATGGTGTTATATTATACCTCTCCCAAACTGTTTTTAACTGATGGTTTGTACAATTTGCTACTTTTAAAGATTCATTAAAAATTGTTAAATAATTATGGGCTAATTATTGCTGCAAGTATAATTTTATTTTTTTTATTTATGGTAATTTAGATGATATTACTAAACTATTTGATTGAATAATGAGTTATTATACTTCTTCATTTAAATCTCGATAATGTTTTTATTCTTCTTCATTAAATTCATCAAAATTTTTATGCTTTGAATGAGTTCTTATAGCAACAAGTTGTTCAACTGTTTTTTATTTGTCAATTATCAAAGCAATATCACTTTTAAGTTAAAATTCTTTTCTGCAAAGATTGATATGATTATTTAAATGAACTAGATATTTGTAATATGCTGTCCATTCTTCATCACTTGGCCCATCTTAATCTCCATGAATATCTGATTTTCCATATTAAAATAATTCTATATTTATTCCAGTCTGCCCAACTTCTCTTGCAACCTTCTTAAAATTAATCTATTATATTTGTTCAGTAATTAAGGGTCGCAAATATTTCAGATAAGGAGATATTTGATAATCTTGAGGTCTCCATAATCTTCCATTTAACCTTAAAGGACGATATTATCTATCAACAGGCTCTAGGGATAGTAAATCAGTAAAGCAATAGCTGATTTTTTTTGGTAATTAGCAATTTTCAGCAGCTGTTTCAAGCATTTTCTCTGACATATACAATAGCAGAAATATTTTTTCCCCATCTTATGATATTTTCTATTGCACTTAAAATCCTCTTCTTGTAAATTATACAATTAGTATATTTCTGATTAATGTCAAAATATCAGATGTTACTTTTTGAGTTCTATGCCAAAATTTACCAGATTATCTAAGATATTCTCCTTAACTATATGCTTTTTTTTGTATATATTATAGCTTTTGATAATCCACTTAAAAATATTCACTAATGTTATTAATGTTCCCTAAATTAGCCATAATGTTTCCCATTAATTACTGTCTAAATTATGTCACTAATTTTTATATTATGTTATTTTGCTCTTCCTTTTGATAATCTTATGTCTAAAATTTATTTTAGAAATTGTTTTCCATTAAGTATGAAGATTTAGGACTTTGTTCAGAGTTATGAAACAAATCCTATGCTGAACCTAATTAGTAAAGAGCATTTCTTTATTCATTTGTTTGTGTTTCAAGTCTTCTAGTTCGAATATCATAGACTGAATAAGATTTATGATCTAATAATTATAGGAACACATATTCTATTGCTTTTAAAAATAGCTTTTCTTTATTTGATTATTCATCTATTGACAATGATTATATGATTTACTCAAAGATTTCTAATTGATTAAGTTAAAATTCATAATCATCCTAAACAAAATCAGGGTTATAAAGACTTCATTATAATTTAATATTAGTTACCTAATGATTGCTTCTGGTTATTCTAAATCTAATGTATTATTATTATCAGAGCAATCAAAATTTTAATAGCCATTTAATCGCTCTTCTTCTTCCAATCCTATTTCTTATCCGATAAGCAATTTCAGATATGTCTCAAAAATTTGAATATAAGTCTCGACCTGGTCTAACTTTTTTGTTTTCTTATTTCTAGTAGTTGGTTCAGACGATTATGATTAATAAATGTTATTGGATGGTTTTGAATCATTAGTCTGAATAAAATTATATTAGCTTTTTCTACTACTCATTAATTAAAATATAAAATCAATAATTACTTCTAATCCTTCGTATACTATTTTATAGATTTTAATTTTGTCAATATCTAATGATTTAATAATAAATAATAGAAGTTTCTTCTGATATCCATCAATATCAATATCCAAACATGTATTATATTTTAAACAAAAAATGAAACATTACGAATTTATTGAACGGATAACAAGCAGAAATGAACTACTAAGCCTCTAATTTTATAAAAATGTTATTTTTACGCACTAAATATATATTAGTTCTTTCTTATCTATCATATCAAAAGTTATTGAAAAGAAAGTTATACTCATGCAGAATTTCTATTTCAAGGGATAAATTTGATAGTAAAACTCGAGAATATAGTTTTATTTTTGTATTTATTAAAGATTGTGCTAATCAAAATAATACAACCATTATTTAGTTTGCTATTTATAGTAGATAATACTTTAGATTTGAATATATGAATAATAAAATAGATATATAATCATATATCAAACTTACAGTTTATTGATTTTGATTTTATTAATAATATATTTTTTATTAAAAATACTCTCAGAATTTAGTTGTCTCATCATCTAATTCTGGATCGTCATCCAATGGCTTAATTTTCTAGAGTCCCAATCTATTTAATTATTTCTCTGATTTAACGACATAACTCTTAGTGAAATCGGCTTTTTCAATTGTATTTCTATAAGGAATGGGCATATATTTTCTGTATCTCTACATCAATCGCTTTCTTCTTCTATTTAATTTATCATATTCATGCTAAGTCATATTAAGTTTAATTTTTTAAGGCCTTTCAACAAATGGTGTGAATATTAAATCGTTATCCAATTCACTTGGATCCATGATCTGTTATTTAATATCTCCAAGATCCTATTTAACTATGAATAAACTAATAGTGTACTCTATTCTTAAGAAACAGGTTTGCTGGCAAAAAGAAGAGTTCTATCATCGCCTTCTTTCATGTCTTACAAGATGCTTCCTCTGTATTCAAAATCTGTATGGTGAGGTAAGATTTAGGGTAAAATATCATCGAAAGTATGGAATCTGCCTCTGAATAAATGAATATGATCAAGTTTGTCCATTCTATACACAGTATTTGGTAACATTTTGGAAACAGTCCAAGCAACCTAGTTTGAAAGAGTAAATTACTAATTATTCCGGTTTTTGGAGGATTAGATCTCTGAATTTTATTTATTTTAAATTTCCAATATAACCCGTATGGTAAGTAAGTACTTTATAATTGATTTTTTTGCCTGTTAAATACATGTTACAGCCATTAACAATAATAAATTTATCTGTAACTTTCCCAGGTTCATTATTTCGGAATGTTGGCTTATGTTTTCCGCTCAGATGGTAGGCAATTTTTGAACACATCTTACCATATGGGAATCTTGATGCATCAAATAAGTGATAAGTAATTCCCCCTTTATGAACAGCAACATAAGTAGTGCCTGGGTAGAAATTTTTAGTATGTCTTTCATCTATTTGATGTGAAATAGGTTGTTACCTAAAGCTTGTCTGAATTCATATTCACGGGGCTTCACAAGTTCATACTTCTCGTATGGGTCTTTAGGATCAAGCTTGGGTCTTTTGGGCATTGGAATGTCCTTTACATAAGGCTATTCTTTATGCTTGAATTTGGGGATGGCTAATGAAAATCTAGCCACTAGACACCTCTAAAATAATTACATAAATAATAATTAATGTATTAAGCATAATTACATGGCATGAAGTTAGCTATGGCGCCTTATCGTCGAAGAAGTTCAAAAAATCTTTAGGAAGTACCTTCTAATGCAGATTTTGAAAGATAATAATCAAATGGCAGTCTTCGGATGGATCCTGGCCCAATTAACATAGAAGTGAGAGAAAATAACACCAAAGTAAAAAATACTTAATTATAGATCGTAGATTGGATTGTGTTAATAACTCCGATATGTTATACCCTTGTTATTCTATTCTTAATCTCGTGGATTTATATAACTACTCCTTAAATTAGGTATCCTTATATAGCGCACAACATTTTACAAAGGGCTCATAAGATTTAATCGATGTATCCGATAATTGATATCATTGAGTTTTCTCAATTTTCATATCATATTAGAGGATGTCCTCCTGATTTTGAAGAAGCAACCTTAGGAATTTGGGAAGGAATTGAAAATGGCAATGTGTGTGATAAATCAAATAAGAATTGTGAATTAGTTTAGAGCATGGAAGCATAAAGATTAAGGTTTTGGAAATAAAAGCTGTATTGCATTAAATACGACAAAACAGCGTAATGGCGAAATGGAAATCAATGTTAGAAATAATACAAAGCTTGCAGTTCTTACATTTGTGTCAAGCAACATTTATAATGCCCAATTACAGATTTATAATCAATACATCAGTAAGGGGATTTATAATTTGGTAAAAACTGGTACAGAATTGTTAGAGATGAAAGACAAACACCTTTATTATTTTTTAATATCTCAGCATCTTCAACTTGTTTAAATTTAAATGATCAGCCTCAATTCAAATCAAAAGAATATTACCCTTTATCCAAATATCCAGAAACTGGTTGCAATGAATTTGGTGATTACACTAGCATAACAAACTCATTAGATTCTGGAATGGTTTTAGAAATACTGAAAGAAAATGACATCCCTTTTGAACAGCTTTCTCATTTTGAAGAGTATGTTTAAAATACGGATGAATACTAATTGTAAGCCTTAAGAGGTATAAAATTAAATGAAATGCCTTAATGCAACAAATTAAATACAGAAATATTTAATAATTCAAGCAAGAAGAGTTTTAGAATCACAAGAATTATGAGAAGAAACAATCTTCCTCTGATTACAGGTTGTGTAATTCTTATTCTATTTTCAATTTTAACTATTAGGTTCCATAATAATGTAATTGATTTGTTTTATCATTAGAAATATTTGACATTCATCAATAAGAGAATCACAATGATAGTTAATATAGGAGCTGCAATCATAATGATTGTCACACTGGTTTATTCGTCATTTTTTTTATATGATGTCTTAGCGTCAGTATGTATTTGATATATAAATAGAATGGACTTAAACAGATAAATGATAATTTGGATGTCTTTATATAAAATCAATGCATTAATATAAAGGGTATATTAATGGCTTTGGATTAGATACATTAGTATTCCTTTAAAATATACAACTCTAATTTAAGTTTGATCTACGCTGCATTTATAGGATCAATAATTTATTTAATAGTTCAATCCCTCTTATATATAATATAATATATTTCTAGTAACACCCAAGTAATATGTCAAAATCCCTGGAGTAGTAGAGTTAATTATGAAATTAGATATTGATATAATTATAAATATTTTTGAAACATATTTTTTTTATGATCTTTTTCTTTGAGAAGAAGAAAACAATTTTTTTTTGTATTTTTTTTTTATTTTTTTTATTTTGTAATAATATACAATGGTGGCTGTGAAAATATCTCATTTGCCACCACGATAAGCACCTCTTCCTCTAATTGGTTCTGCATACAAATATCTTCCTCTTGTAATATATTAAAATGCTAAATTATAGTAATTTGTAAATACGCTATCCCCTTCCACCTCGATTTCCTCTTCCTCTATTTCTTAAATTTGTTCTCTTTTGGAACACCTATTTCTAGAAATGGATGAATACCAATATTTTCTTTCCTCTAATGATGCCTTCACTTAATACCAAAGCATCCTCAACTGAACTTTAATCTTGAAATTGTATATATGAATAAAGAGTGCCAGTATTCTTATCACTTCTTAATGTTACCTAACATAATATTTTGATCTTACTTTAACTATGTTTCCACAATCCTTGAAATATTCCTTAAGATCATCTTCTGTTGTGTTTTCATCCAAATTTCTCACGAAAATTGATGTTAAATCAATATCTTTAAGTTAATGCTTATTGTCAGTGCCTATGAGAGTTACTCGTAAAACTTACCTCCTTTCTTTTGGGATTCGTCCTCCTTTTATTGCTCAACTGGCTCTTGTACTTCTAAATCATCTTCGTGATTGCTCATTATTTAAATCTTTAATTAATTTAATGTCTTTTATCAAATTAATAGGAATTGACAATTAAGAGATCGAATTTGAAGAAAATAAAAATAGTGTGTATTTTAACTCACTAATCTAAGCAAGGAAATTAAATTATAGTGTATTGCGAAACAAGAAAGAAGAATTACAATTAAAGTGAAAACCACTGATCCTGACGTATTTTAAGTTGTAGGCAAACCCATAGTATTTACCGAGCTTAATTAAAAAGGAGTCCTATTAATCAAGGCGAATAGCGCTAAGAAAAGAGACAATGACAAAGATAAAATCTGTATCGTGGCCTAGGAGTATGAGGACAGTTTACGATAATCAGCATAGGGTCCATCTGAACTTAAGCCACCAAATATTTAAGAAATTATATTAACTGTGAGAGTGTTGAATAACAAGACAACTCAATAAGCAAATGACTAAAAGTTCTTGGAGTCTAAAAGTTTACTAGATAGGCAAATGGATCAAATTGTAGAATCAAAATTTATAAATCCTATCTCAAAGTTTGGGGATACATAGAAATTTCAATCCGCTTATGCCCAATTCGATAATGTAATTGAAAGACAGAAAACAGAATTTTTGAGTATGTATCAATAAAAGAGTTAAATCAATAATTCAAATATTATGATTGAAGCACAGCCCTAATATAAATAGGAATATGAGCAATATTTGATTTTGACTGACGAATAGGAGAAGGAATTATTCAAGTTAAGCGAGCTGAAAAACAAACTTTAAAGATAAAAATTAAAATAGTAACAAATTGTGGAAACACCAAAACCTAAGGCCCTAAATACTTTGCACATTGGTTATGCTATAATTGTTGTTATTTTGAGCTTCATGATTGGAATGCTTGCGAAAACTTGAATAATAATGAATATATTTTGAATATTTTTATTGTGAAGTTATATTTGTTATAGTAATTTTGAAAATGCTTTCCGATATCAAACAATTCGAGCAAGAACACAAAGAAGAAATGAAACTTCTTTAATAGAAGTATGAGTAAAGGGTATTCATATTAATCTTATTTCTGTAAGATAGACCTCTTATCACAAAAAATCGAGATCCTATAAAAAGAATTAGAAGTCAAGGACAATATTTACTCAGATCTTAAAAATAGATCTATTCAAAATGAGGAATCCAAGATTCAAAAAACTGAAGAAGATGTTGTTTAGGATTTCGGGGCAACCATTTAAAAATTTCATAAGCAAAAAGAAAAAGAATTAATGAAAATTAAAAAGAATTACTAAAAAGAATTAATTCATAATCAGAAGCTCTTAAGAAAAAAAGATGCGACTATAGAGTAACTCTAATAAGAAATTTCACAATACAAATAAGCTGCTTCCTAAAATATGGATAATCAAAAGATTTTGCTGCTCTCCAAACTTATTGATTTAGCAAATGAAATTCAAAAATAACTCTGATAAACATTAATTAATATCTAATCATTAAGACAAATGCGCAAAAATAATTTAAAAGTAGTTTCTTTCTTTTAATTTTTATTAACGATATTTATTATTCATTTTAATTTATAATTCTCATATATAAAGAGAAAAATGTATCTGAAATAAAAAGATTTTATTTTTCTATAAATCGAGTTTGAATTCGACTTAAAAATGAGAAATAAATAATCAAATGAATAGAAGAAAGAATGAACAAAACAACAATGCATATGAAAGGATTTTAGAAATTAAAAAGAGGATTTATAAGACATAGACTCAATTCCCATTAAGTCTCTGGAATCCTATGTAAAATTAAATGAATTAAATATTTAAGGTATATGTACAATGCTTACCTTAACTTCAATTTTATTTGCTTGCCACCAGGTTTCTAATAAAAATTCAAGTTGATCAAGCCTAAGAAAATCAAAAATTGGATAGATGATATTCCGATCTTGGTTGGTGTTGATGACTTTGAATAGAGAGAGTAATACATTGTTCACTATTTTGTAGTACTTGTGCAATTTGTCTTTTAGACTTAAATGAAAAAAATGTTATCAAAATACTAAAATGTAATCACTTTTTCCATTAGGAATGTATAAAAGAGTGGTTGTAACTCAAAGCAGAATGCCCCACTTGCAGAGATTAAATGCATAAATGATCGATTATGTATATGTCATATTATCATAATTAAACATTTTGATTCAATCTTCATTTGATACTCAATTATCATTATTAGAATAAATATAAATTAATGTAAATTTAAGACTAACTATTCATTCATTAATGACAACAATTATCGTCATCAAAATAATTTGTAATTATATATGGTATAAATTATTAATATATATTTTATTAATGAAATTATATCAGCAACCATCTTACACTATTAAACCTTCAAGATTATATTATTTTTAGTTATGAAATCATAAACGTATCTTAATTATGAATTTCCAAATCATAAAAATACTCAGGACGATTTTTGCTATGAATTAATTAATTAGTCTAAATTTAGTAAAAAGTCTGTTACGAGATTCCTATTCCTTCTCACACAAAATTTAGCCTACATTTGATCTCTATAAAGTAATTATTTGAGTCATCCACCTAACTATTTTTGAATAATTAAAGCCGCAATTTCAGAATTATTACAATCTTTGAATAAGGTAATTATCTTCTTACTTCCATTTTACCTATTAAACATTATCCCTTTATTAATTATTTCAACTCAATTTTCCTTTACAAAATCATCAGTTATAAACACTTAAAATGTACGTCTCATTATATTTTGTCCTGGTATCAATTTAGATATTTAATATTGTACAATTAAGACGCTTTGGCGGACTTCTACTTAACACAAAGAATGAAAGAGTCATCATTTCGAACATCAAATGCTGTATAAAATTTAATAGTTCATTTTTTATAATTAATAACACTACTAATCAATGAATTGCTTCTTCCTAATCGATAAGAATATGTTCGTTGAGGCGATATTTTCGATTTACTAATTGATTGGTCATTAGTTTAAGTATGCTGGGACGCGTTTCTTTATTTACTCATTTATGATCCTAATGCTAATCGTATTGAATGCTGGAGCAACATTTATTTATGTCGATCCAATTTAATAAGATATTATATCATGCCAATACAATTTGGATCGTTGTTAGGATTAGACTTTTTATTATGTTCAATGAGCTTTTTTAGTGCCACTTTTCTTTGATTGCAACGAGTAGTAAGATCTCTTTCTGGAGAAATTTAGGTTTTCTAGATTTTAGTGCTTTTATGTTTGTTGGCTTCTTCATCTATAATCTTGAGTCTTACGAATAAGGAATCATCAATTCTTTAAGTTTTTTCAGGTTGGATTGTCTTTTTCATAATTTCATTCTATATATCCTTATTCATATGAGTTTCAAACCTCTCCTAAAGCCATTTTCTTTTCATTTCACATCTCTTATGAAAAAGCTTAGCAAACCAATCATTAACAATGCAAATGCGATAGACATCAACTTTTTTAATGGCTAGAACGCTTCCCTTGGCACTAACACATTAGCAATTAAATGAATGGTAAACATTATTAAAACAATCGTGATTGAAGTCTTCTTCACCTAATAATTACCCAGGTCCCAACTTCAATAAAACATATTCCCTATTTGAAAATTTGTTTGACTACTTAAGGAGCTCAAAAGTGCTTTCATTAATTTAAATTGGATAACGAACCAATTGTTTTACATGCTTTTAATCATGTCTTAACGTTTTCTTGAATTTATCATATTGAGTATCACCACCGCAAATTTAGACTTCAAAATTATTGTTATGACTGCTATAGGAAACGTAAAATTCCCCTTTCAAAATCAAATACACATAATGGGATTACATTTCAAAGGAATATAGATTTTGATGATTGCATAATTTGACTCTTTCTGAAGAGATGATCAATTCTTGGAGGACCCTTTTGAAATCAGGAAATTTGATCCCATCCTGAAATGCTCGACACATTAAAAACTCAATTTTTTCATTCTTCCTTCTTTTAGAAGTCTCAATGATTTCCAAATATTATTGGATTTATAATTGTAGGAACTCACAGTTATCTAATGTAATGATGGTGCATTAAGCATTTTTAGTAATAGATTCAATAAGAGCATCATCTTCATTAATAATATGAGAAGTTTGAAATCTGACAACATGTCCTTCGATAAGATGTGCCATTAAGCTTAGCATCTAAAAGGATGGAATTTGCAACTGATTTAACTAATCCTATAAAGTTACAAGATTTTCTTTAGGATAAGTTTCTTTGCCTTTGAAATAGAGAGTTTTGGTTGAGGGATTTAAGTAGAAGTTTTATGGCAATCTCTAAATGCCAGGATATTTCATTTCTAAATCCTTTATTTCTTAGGTAAGTTATTCATGAGATTTAGGTATTAATTTAAGACATCTACCTTTAAGAAGAATGAGAAAGTAATCGATTTTGAGTTTGTATTTAAACACAAATCTATCTTTAGGCAAGTAATGAAGTTTGGCCTATTGGGTAAAGCTCTATAGTATTGGTTCATAATCTTTTTCAGATGTGATATTTCGTAATCTTTGAAAGTAAAGTAATTTGGACAAATTATCTTTATTGAACATAATTATATTAATAATATTCATATCAATCTAAAATAGGTTTGGTATCTGGTTGAATAGGGAGGAACCAAACTAAGGGGTTTTTGCCAAAGACCTCAAAAATATTGTTCCAAACTCCTTTTTAAAGGGGTTCTCTGGGTTTATTTTCGCAATACTCAAGGGTTGTGATGTTGGATTTGATTGCCCTAACAATCTCAGTATTATTGATAAGAATACCACAGGTGGAAGAGAGTGAAAGCGGTTAGAATTATCCAAAGGAAACAGCAATATAGAAACGTAAAGGAAACTAGGAATAACTTGGCGTCGCTTGAATACGAGTTCATAGTGTCATAATAGCAACGACTGTAGGTGATCATGATAAAACTAATCAAAAACCCTAATGTTGGAGATCAATTATGATACATGCATAACCAAGTAAATTCATAAACAATTTGTAGTTGCCATAACCGATGCAATTATTCAACCATTAACAATGATGATCCATTTTCAACCAACAGGTCTTGCATTGTCTGCAATGATGACAACGTTTTGGTTTAAAAGCGCTGCAATTCTTACAATGTCTTCTGCCTTATTTATCAATTAATTCATTTTTGACCTTCACATTCAGATGTAATCGCTACTCATCATCTATCTCTGATGAAAATGATGTTGATGTTTGTGATCCTTTCTTATTGTGATTTATCATGTTTTCTTCATTTTCAATCATCTAACGAATTTCGTTCTCTATTTTAATCAACCATTCAGCAGGTACATGACCAGGAATTGTCATTACAACTCTGATTAATGTTATTGTGAATAATATTAGAATGATATGTAATGTTATCGTAATTCCGATAGTTTTATTGCTGAAAACATAGTCATTGATGTGTACTAATTGAATCAAGTATGTATTGACTTCCACTATAGGTCGAGAAACATACTCTGATTTTATGAGTGGCATCAAATAAGTCTTGAACATGAATATGCACCACATACCTCCATATACACTACATAAAAGTAAAGCACTATTAGTACAAGAACTGCTAATGGGATCCATGTACCAATATATCGAAGCAATTGCCCTTCTCTATAATATTTCATTTATAAAATAAAAACGTATTTCAATGTAATCAAGCTGTAATTATATAATCCAATCCATTAGAATAAAACAAATACGGATTCGAGGAGAACTTTAACGGCTCCAGTGTTTCAGAAGAGAGTTAGGACATTATCATAGTGGAACCACTTGACGAATAGAAACAAGCGTAATTCTCTTCATCCATATTCTTAGAATAAATAAGGCAAATGCTCTCTATTTAACGGGTTAAAATCAATCTGTTCAAGCCTCATCTTATACTAACAAATAAATCAATCAATCAGCAATCCCATCTAAGATCTATTCCTAAACAAACCAATCCAATCAACCAGAACATAAACCATATTTTTAACAATCATAAAGACCTGTCTATGATCCTACTGTGTCTGTTCCCAGAAAATATGATCCTAGTCTTATTTAAAGAACTTAATAACAATAACCACCTCTTAAATCTAATGCTAACCAATAATTTCTACCAACAATGGAACCCTAACCAAGAATTACATAATCAGTAGTAAAACCAACTGAAAAACAGTTTCATTAGCCTAACAATTACGATAATTTTCAAAGAGATAAGAACTTTTAAGAATAATTTGAAGTGAGTGATGATGAAGATGTACTTTAAATTTAAGATTAACAGAAATCCTCGTAAAAATAACTATCAGTCGCAGATTTCCCTATAGAAAGGAAAATCGCTAATTCAATCACTCCTTCTGATAAGAAACCTAATTAAATTTAATAGTCTGCTCAAAACAGAGAATCAAAAGCTCCTATTTTGACAGAAAAAGATAAATAGTAATTAATTGCCAATGCTAAACAATAAATGTTAACTCTTGATTTACTAACATCAAAACTGTCCACTCAGAATTACACTGGCTAAGACATATGTGAAATTGTTAGCATCTAAAAAGGAATAATTAAACTGAGTTAAGATTTAAATAACATCTTAAGTCAGGATCGAAATTCTATTGTCTTGGTTGGAATTATTGGGCAAAATAAATCAGGTAAAAGTACATTACTTAATGAAATTGCTCATACTTCTAATAAATAGAAATTTGGAAACAATGGAATTTGGATGTTATCAAAACCACTCATAATAGAATAGAAAAGCTATTATTTTATAGATTGTTAAGGCACTGATAATTAATTGCTTTACGCATTTGTTATGTTAAGTTGTTCCACATTATTATATAACACCCTCAAATTAGATGATAATAGCATACAGTGTTTTCCTGTGCTTGACACCATTTTCAGATTATTAATTAACGAATATGCATTGATGCAATTATTACCCAATTTCATATGGGTTTAACGTGATGCACTTTAAGCTCGTCCAATTATTGAGTTGCAAGAGTTCCTTGTCAAAGCCAATAAGGGTTAGCAATTTGAAAATTTGATTAAATAACGTGATGTGGCTTGCATTGGTCCTCAAGGCACTTCGGAGTATTAGAATTCAATTTCACAATTGAAGGATAGAATTATTTTGGGCAGTGTTTGCAAATAGGTTAACAGTTATAATTTGAATGGACCTCTAATGTACTTGTATATGGAATCAATTGTTGATCTACTCAATAAACCAATTACTTTGTAATTAGATTAATTGTGGTTATCAATTTGTGAAGATTACACGAAAGCCATCTACAATTAAAGTCTCAATTCATTCGTCCAATAAGTTGACAATTGGATGAAAGATAATCAGAAAGTTGATGAAATAGAGATATATAAACAATTCAGAGATTTCAAAGATGTTTCATTGTAACAGATCTTCCCGACTTGCTTTTTAAATAATAAGAATCGATCTTATTAGCAATACAAAAAGAAATTGCAGGAAATAATTGCTACTAAGGAGAAATAAGCATTATAATTTTGTCTATATACGAGTTAATGTGAGAATGATGCTCTAATGAACAAGAATATCAGTAAAATGAATTTCAGAGATATTGATTCTTTCTCTTAATCTTTCAGCAGTATGATAGATTAATTGTTGAAGCAAAAATACTAATTCTAACAATGCTCTGCCTTTGCAGAATGTTTATAAAAGAATTACAAAAAATTAATTGAAGAGCTATTCTCTAAATACTAAAAGTAATAGGCCAATTCAAGTGAAGAATAATAATTCAATTTGCAATAATCTAAAATACAAGTTTCCAATAAGGAAGATGAATTGAAAAAGAAATAAGAATAGGTATCTTTTCTGGAGAAGAAAAGAAATCTTTTGATTAAAGAAATATAGGATTTACAAGATTAAATAAAACTCGAAAGAGAATCAATTGCGCCTGATGCTAGGTAATCTCAATAAGGCCAAAATGATGAATAATTGCTGGAGTTGAAGTAGAAGTGTGCTTAGAATAAATAAGAAATATAAGTATTGAGAAAATAAGTTTAAGATGCTGAACGTAAAAAGAACGATGAAGGATGTAATATTCAATGAGAAGTAAAATAGTATTATTATTTTTTGTTAAATAAATTAAAATAATTAATCCAACATCCTAATGAAATTATTGAAATGTTCAACGAATTTGAATTTACATTGATAAATTTGTTGAATGTAAAAGAGTTTTTGGAATTCCTGTAAGAATCTGGATTGGACATAAGTTGTTAATTATTATATAAGAAATTCATAAGAATAGAATGGAGAACTTGAAAATGTGGAATGTTTCATAATAATCAAAATGATTATGAAAGATTTGAGATGTTATTCTGAATCATAGATACAAGCAATTACAAAAGATTAGTAAATATGAATCTAAAAGTATTGTCAAATTCTTGTTATGAATGTAAAGGATATATGTAGGAATGGGATTTAATGATAAGGACATAGATATCATGATCAATTAAATTGGAAGTGAAGAATTGGATGTAGTATCAAGGGATAAATTATAGATTGTATTGCAAAAATATCAAAATCACGAAATTCATAATTGATAACTATCTTTTTTATAGTTAAAATTAATTATTTAGAAATCGTATTAAAATATATCATCTTCTATATGGAGCTAATTAAGACTTGCGCATATCATTGACTTCCTTTTCCTTATCAGTCAATTATGCACGCAAACTTTCAATTTCAACTTTGTACAAAGATAAATAAAGAAGTAATTCTTCATACTTTGATCCAACTCCGAATTGGTCAGCATATTTGAGTCTAATTTTAACTTTATATCAAATACCTATAGATTTCCAATTCTTTATTTAGATCTTCAACCAAATTTTATAATCTTTCAATCTCCTAGTTTAAATACAAGTTTTTTTCTCTTAATAATAGAAGATCTGAGGAATCCTGCTTTATCAATTTAATCTTAAGCATTTCAATTTATTCAGAATAGGATAGATTTAACAGATTGAGTCTCTCAATTTCACTAGTAAGCATGGCTAATTTCTCATCCTAACTATATCTTTTCTTATTCAATTCTTCTTCTAAAATAGTGACTTTCCTTCTATTGGTCTCCATCTCTGTACTTCTCTCATTGATCAAAATAGATAGCCTTTCAATTTCCTATGATAACATAATGATTTTAGTCTCATAATCTTATTATAATTGTTCCTCCAATTTATTATAGTTTTATCTCCATTATTCATTTTCATTCTACAAATGTCTTAATAATTGATTCAATCTATCATTATCTGATTTCAATTATTCTGATTGACTTCTAATCAATTCAATCTAATTAAGTTTTAGTTTGTATTCTGATAATTCCCTGGATTGTTATTCAATAATAAGTGAGTATTTCTGTCTTTCTGTATTAATGGTTTCATTCTCATTTCTTTTTGTCCTCACATTCTAATCAAGTTCATTCATTAACTGTCTTTGGATATCATTTAATCTTTCAATTTCACCTCCTAGTAAAACAACTCTCTCTTCTAATTGCATTTTAACTCTTTAGATCTATTCTAGATTATTTTAATAAGTAGTCTATTGTATTATTAACTATTAATAATCATTTTGAATTTTGATTAAGGTATTTTCATTTTTGTAATGCTTCTACTACGTTTACTCATTATGCAATTAAATTTATTGTATCTATTATTCCTTCTATCTCACTTACCCGTTCAATCTTTCGATCTCCTACTAATACAGTTAGCATTTGTCCTCCAGTTGAATCAATTAAGACTAATATTAAGAATTAGCTTAGATCTAAACTTCTAATTGTTTGATTCTTCTGTCTCTCTCTTCTATTTGCTATTAGATTCTTTTCATTTCTTCTGAGAGTGTACGTTCTCTATCCAATTTAGAACTCTCCTGTTTCCTTTAGTTCAAGACCTCCTACTCATACTTTTATCTATAGAAATCTAACTATTAAGCGAACTGATCGTATTATTCTCTTAATATCTAATTCTCTTATTCTAATTCTTAATTCCTCCTTTTTGTTTGTTCAAACTGCTACACTTTCTTCTAGAATACATCATTGCTATTCTCGATCTCCTAAGTCAAAAGCAACAATTTAGTTTCATAATTTTGCCTACTAGATCCCACTTCAATAAGAGTCTGTTCCATTTGGTGATTTTATTGCTTAAATTATTCAAGTTCCTTCATTCTCATATCCAATTAATTCCTCAGCTTATAAACCTCATTCTCATTTTATTGACGTTATTGATCTGCATTCTAAATGAGTATTTCAGCATCTTACTAGCGTTGATTTTCGTAATACTATTTTATTTTCTCCTATTCCTTCTACAAGTAATCACAACGCTCTCTCCATTATAAGGTTTCTTTTTGGTTCTATTAGAGAGTTGTTTTCAAATCATTAATATTCTTCTCATAATTTGCTATCACATTAGAGTATTAATTTATTTGAATTTGAAATTCAGATTCTCTATTGGTCTGTGTGTACTGCAATTGTTATTACAACTCTTAGTAACTTCTTTCCCATTATTGCACTTCCTGAATGCGTGCCTCCAAAATCATGGATATCTGATTATTCTCTTGAACAAGCATATCTATACGCTCTTAATATTATGTAATCTTTGCATAATCAATATATATACTATAACTAAATGATTCTTATGTCCTTAATAGAGTTGTTCCAATTCTCTATATCTCTGAATCCACATTTCCAGTTCCTACTACAATCTTATCACATCTGGATTTTGAGGTTATTGCTGTTGTTGTTAGTCTCTTAGGTAAATTGGAACCATGATACGATTGATCACCTTGTGTGTTATGGGAATCGACTTAATAGAATTAGGTGAAACTGTCCCTCTTGATTTTGTGGTTCGAATAACAGGACTCTTATCTGTATGAACTTGCATTATTAAATTAATTATAAAATGTCTAATCTCTTAAATTCACTCTCCAAACTCAATAAACTATATGAGCAAAAAGAAGATGAGATCAATAAGGATGAAATTTGAAAGTTGAAAAATGAATGGAAGTTAATTATCGAATCTTAACGATATATTTGAATAACAATTGTAGAAACAGATGGAATAATAACTATAATAGTAATAACAATAAAAATGAAAGTGAAAGATAAAGATGATCATATTGAGAAAATTTGCTGATGACATTTGGGAAGAGCCTGCATTTGCTGATTGGCCATATGGAGATCATCGTTTGTTTATTGAAAATATAGCTATGGTTTTGTTTTCATTCTTGAATACCAATAACTCTATAAGTGCATTCAAAGAATGAATGGCAATTACTTAGAAAATCGTCCTGTTAAATTGAGTAAAAATACTTCCTAGCAACATCTTTTCAGAAAAAGAAATTTGATGGACTAGTGAATAACTTTATCAAGCTAAAAATTAGTAAAATTAAACTTCCAAATATTTCATGATTCATTATATGCATTATTTGTAATTAATATCAATTTCAATTTGTGTTCTAGATTACTCTAAAGTTATAATTTATTAATAATTTAATAGCAATAGCAACTTGAAATGATATATTAAAGTTTGATAATCATATGAAATTGATCTAACAAGTGAGGATTAATATTATGATACTAAGATTTAGTATTTGCAAATTGAAAAGTATGTTTCTAACAACCTATGTTAAATTTTTATATTTTTATAATTTGTATTGCATCATAATCATTCAAAAAACACTCATTCATCAAATAATTCAGTACTTCATTACTAAAAACCAACATATTAATTTGGCACTTACGTGCTCTAAGGCATTATTAAATGAAATGAATTACCTTCTTATTATTATTAGAAATTTCTACTTTTGTAATCACTTTAACATCGCCTGCACCCTTAATCATTACTATATTTTTAGATTTCTATTTCACATTTGGTTGCTTCAATTATGTCTCTATTTATGATTCCTACTATTTATCTATAATATTACCTTCAATTGTTATTAAAATTATTATTCTAACTCCTGCTCTAACTTATTTGATATTTCAACTTCTTTTTGATCTTCAATAAGTTTCTTGTCTATTCCTTATAATTAAACAGTTTAATCGGGTAATCTAGAAAGTGCATCTTCAATATTGTTTGATTGATATATTTGTTCTGCTTAATGGATGGTTCTGATTTTGGTTAACCTTGGATCTACCATTTCATATAAATCGAGTAAAGAGAACTCTACAATCTATGGCAGATATCGTTTGGATAGAACATATCTCTAAAAATAAACCAAGAACTTCAACAGATCAGTTTTCAATTATTTATGATACTCTCTTACAGATTCAACTAAGCCAATAACTTGATTAATTCTGAATGAATCCTCTGGAGGATCAATTAAATCTTGTTCAGCTTAAGAGATATCAGAAGCATGGCCATATTCAATAATCAAATAAAGTAATTTGAATAGCAACTCTTAATCAATAATTTAGTAAGCATACAATTCCCCAATCATTTTTATTATGGTGATTCTTCTCTATCTCTTATTAATATTATTATCCTCTAAACCACATATAATATCATCCAATAAACTGTCTACTACTTATCCTGTGATGTCAGGATATTTATCTTTTAAGGTTGCCAACAAACAAGCCACAATACTCAATGTTGAATACCTACCTTTGATGCTTATCTTGAATAATTATTTAATTAGGTATTTTTTACATTCCTAATCACTTAAAGGAAGTCTTTCCATGGTTTCAAATGCATTATTAAAATCATCCAATTAATCAAAAATAATAAACTTGATGAACTTTTATATTTCAGACTTTTCTTTTTTGGGTTTTACTTGTCTATCAAAACTTAGCAATGCCTACGTTAATGTACTTTCCTCTTTTTAAGCTAAAGGTTTTAATTTTCTTTGTTTATCCAATTAAGTTAGTAGATATTCGAATTTCTTATATGATTCTCCAGAATATTTCAAGAATCGTCCGCAATTATTTAATATTAATGCAATCATTTCTACATTATAACTTACCAAATCTTCAAGCAATTAAGCTAAAATGTCTAATATGATATCCTATTTTAAAATTTTGAACTTAGTCAACTCACACAAGTATCTAAGATAACGTTGTTTTCTTTCAAGATGATCATTGGGTTTGATTTGTTTGTATTGTTCGAAGAAAGATTTGATTATTTCCTCCTCAAATTCTTTATAATGTTTACACAAAGTGGCGAACAAACGACATTGATAGGGAATGACAATTGTGTAATTCTGTTTAAAGTTTTGCATTTCTTCTAACAGTTTTTTTCTATTTTACTTTGTGTTCACAAATTCCAATGCCATCTAATCAGCTATTTCAATTGAAGAACAATCCTTCTATTTTTGATTCTATTAAACCACAATTTGATTTGGATCAGGTGGATTATTTATTGTAATGAATTGACAATATAATTTCCTCTCTTCTAACAAAAAACAATCAGTATCATCAAAACTACTTGATTAAAAATCTCGAATGTTTAGATTTAAAATTTCATTTTCATTTTCATTTTCTGGATTTGAAGGGTCATATTCACCCATGCAATCTTTTATGATTCTATAGTTGTCCTTCAGTCTTATAAATTGTTCTTTCATCTCCTTGATTTTTTAATTGACTGATGGATCAGTCTAATTTTCAGCCAATTTATGAATATCTTTATATAAATTTGTAAGAGTAGATTCAATTTCCTTAATATACTAAGTTAATGCATCTTCCAAAGTTTTGTACTCGGTATCAATAAAAATGTTTTGTAAGTCTGGATTTATTAGAAAGTCTTATCTAGTTTCATACTTATGTTTTCCAAAATACTGGAAACCAAAGTGATTCATAAAATTAGTCATCACTTATATATTAATAAGTAACTAATCTAAAGTTCCGTGAGGAAGAAGCAATTTCAATATCTCTTCTAATTCTTTTTGTTAAAATACAGGTTTATGCAATTCCCCAAAAAGTCTTAAAAGATTCTTTCGTTTTTATGCTCTTTTATCTTCATTCTCGTAATTTCCGCCTTTCTTCTCTAATAATTATTAACCGTGTTTTATCGCTGTTTATTAAAGTATGTTTTTAAATTCATTGTAATTATTCAAAACTATGCACAATTCAACAAAAAATTTAATATTTGATTGATGTAATTGACAATCTATTATTGTGTTTGCAATTTCTTATAAATACCTAAAATATTATGACATCATTATACTTCGATAAATCATACTCTCTTATTTCTTTCAAAACACTCTCGTACTTTTTCTTAGTTGTTCGATTAGAGTCTGCATCCTTTATTTTTTCACATAATTTAAGCACTTTTTCTTACTTAATTGGTTTAAGATTTGCATCCACTATTTATATTGATTAACATTATGAATACGTTTAAATTTTTTTAAATTCTCTTTAAGAATTTGTAATTCCTCGATTTCTTGATACTTTTATTTTAACTCAGGGTTTAATGTTGCAGTAATTCTCTGAGTTTCCATAATTAATTAAAATTATTCAATAAAGAATATATATGTAAATTATATATATTCGTGTTATTTCTAATAATGATCGAACTTAATTTTTAATTGTTCAATATAATTACGTATAATGGATTAATTAACAACCAAAGTAGCAACAAGAGATGACATCCTCCTATACTTGAAAAATTGTGCCTAAAATAGAAATTCCAGAGTTGTTGCCATGTATAATTCGCATTTGGATATGCTTATTGAAGGTTTAAAATACTTTTTACTCTTCTCTAGGCAATGACTAAGATCTTATGGTTTTTCCAATTGACGATAGACTTGCCAACAGAGCTCATGGAGCTATGGAAACTGGTAATGTAAAAAACTACAGAATCAGTTCGCTTGATTTTCATATGAATAGACTCTTTCGATCAGCTGAAATTATTGGATTAAAGATTGATCTCACAAAAGAATAAATCAAAAGTAATACTTATTTTAAATTATAGATAAAATACATGAGATGGCTTATTTAGCATATAAAGTCTTGGAAAGAGAAAATCATCCCAATTTATAAGATTAAATATTAGTTCTTAAAATTTGGGTCTCTACCGGAATTGGAGACTTTGATATCTATGGATGTGTAAGCAGATTTGTTATCTTTAGAATAAGAAATCTATTGTTTATGCTGCTCTTTATTTAAATGGAAATGTTGGGGACGACTCCGATAAAGGAGTGAAAGAATATATCCATCTTGATATGTGGACCTAACCTAATTACTTTTCGAATGCCAAAACAGTAAACTATTTGGAACTTGCAACAATGGCAGACTATTCAAAGGTTAGAGGAGGATATTTTGGAATAAAAGTTGACCCCCAAGGAAACTTATTGGAAGGAGCCATTTCGAACGTTGCTTTCATAACTAAAGACAATACATTTGGCTATCCACCTCTGAGCAAAACAATTAGAGGAAATACTTTGAATAAAGCTTTGAAAATAGTAGATAGCGATTTGTTGCCAAAGAGTTCTGTTAAAGAAGTCAAAGAAGTTGAATTGAACATCAAGGATATTGATCAAATTGTGGAATTATTCCATTTAAGTAACGATCATGTAAGTCTTTTTTAATGATTTTCTTAGATTATTCCAATCCTGAGTGTTAATGATTAACTTATAGGAAATGGGGAGGTCGGACCTGTTACTAAATATTTATAGGAAAAGTTAGAAATCGCAAGAGCAAGTGTCAAATTGGATACATCTGGAGATATAATCAAGGGATTTGAGTCATTATAATGATAATAAATAAAAAAATCAATTGATTAATTATTGAACAAGAACATAATTATTCTTAATTGTTAAAGTATTTTAAGTCAAAAATTATATTTATCAAATATTCTTTTTTTTTATGGTTGTTTAACATTGATAGGCAAAGGTTTTAGAGCATTTTCAAATTCTATTTTACACAAGTCAAACTCAAATTGTCTGCTTTTTTCATGAAATGAAGAAGTTCTTGTGGTTGTTTACTCATCCAATTACTTGTTCTTTTCATTGTGGAACGAGGCTTTTCTCACATGTTCAATGGGTTTATTAGTTTCGCCTTCGTTTGATACTTCTTCATCAAAAATAAATTGATTTAATGTGATTTTAAGCAATGGTTTAATTTAATTGTTGCATTTTGAAAATCTATTGTGAAAGTAATGAATTTCTTATGATTTGCCTATATATTGCTTCGATGTGAGATGCATGAGAGCCCTTTACTTCTGAATCAGTTCAATAGGGAAATTCATGCCTGACATAATTATCTTGTAATCAAATGATCCTTGTTCAAATACAAGTTAAACCTATTCAAATGAGTTGTTTTCAACGTAATATCTGAAACCTTTTTATAGCAATCCATTCTTGTAATAACCATCTTCCAACATTCTTTTGTCGAAGTCTAAGATTCTACCCAATCCATCAAGTTTATTATTCTTAAACTCCCCTATGTACATTTAATTTTCATTGATGATAAATCCTACCAAAGACAACAAGAGTTTGCTTTTATAGAGTGATGGGAATTGTTTTATGAATTCAGAGAACAGTTTTTATTCTTTACTTGGTTAGCAATCCTAATCTTCGTATTAACCATTTTTCAAAAAAGATCTCAATCTCCACTATTTGCCATTAAACAGCAATGCTTTATTAATTAACACAGAATTCTGATATTCTCCTATCATCACTTCATTGTTTGTTATCAATATTCCAATCCCCTCAATTGAGTGGTTCTTAAATGTTGCCTTTAATATTCCACCAAATGGGAATATAATCATACCTTCCCCATTGTATAGATCATTCTTCCATTACCCATAGTATAGGCATGAATCATCATACACATAAACGCCTAACCCAATCTTTTTATAAAAGTAATCAAGTTGCCCATAATACAATCCATTGTTAAATTATACTACTTTCATTAAAATATTTAAGTTAAATTAAGTTTATAATCAAAAAATATTTCTATCAATCCTTTCTATTCAATCCAATATTAACTTCAAAATCCTCTTCCTTTTTTACTTAAGAGCTTTTTCAATAAAGTAGCAGCCTAAATTATGTGATTTATATTATATTTCCAACTGATTCAATCAGATCACTTATTAATTATATTTTTTTTAAATGAATTAAAAAAAATCATATTCTTATTTGGAAATTCGTCTAGAAACCCTTGAGGCACTCTGGATTTAACATTCAGGGTTTCTAGACAAGATAACCCAGGAGAGCGGAGTTAACTTCTACTATCAATAAAATTTGATAGTATTAGTAGGTATGATTTGATCCAATTATAAAGGAAATCCTATTTGTTGCGAGAATGCCGCTTAAAGAATTTATTCAAAGGTGTACGAAGACTTTATTATGCAAATTGAATAATTCAGAAGCAATGACGAACTCAAGCCTTTTTTTTAATTATTTTAAAACCCCCAATATAGAGAATTAAGCAAAGGCATCCAAGGATTTTGGATATATTCAGCCCAATCGCTTATGAAGTAATATCTAAACATGGAGTAGAAGGGATATTAATCTCGTTTCCCAGAATTGCCTTAGTATTTTCTAATAACTTGGTTCCCTAAAATACAAATGTTATATATCTAATAGATGATATTCCAAATGATCGGCTTTAAATACAGCCAATAAGGTTTGAACCAAAAATTCAAATTTGATGGATAATATAACGTGACAGCCTTAGAAGCAATATCCATCTATCTAAATTTGGATTTGGACAGCATTATCAACTAGTACTCACTATAAATGGAGTTAAATCAAATACCAAATCAATTTTTCTTGGTGATCAAAGCAAATAATAGGAACTCGATCTCAGAAACATGCCAGATATTAGAGAATTATTTGGAAAGAAGGAAATTCTGGTCTATAGCTTATTTATAAATAAAGTTGAGTTCAAAAGATATCAATTATTTGAAGAAAAGTTTAAATGATTAAATCAGATCCAATAGCACAATAAATTTATACTCTTACGAAGAAGTGGTGCAAGAATCAAAGAGATTAGATCAATAATTTCATATTTATTCGACTGAAATTATAGTTCAAAGACACAGTATCTCTAAATTTATTATATTAGGTCCTGATTCGTTATTTGTTTTTGGAGATGCCGATAAATAGGGTGAAATTACAGATACAATTATTTAAATTGTTAGGAAACTGAAGTAAAGTAATAGAATAGAATAAGAGGATAGACTTTAACAGTAGTTTACTTATAAGGAGAATTCGAATCAGTAATTTTCATGGAACCCTTAAGTAAATTAGTAAGCATCTATTCCTTTCTAAAATAACTCTAAGAATTACTATTATGACTATAACGAAAAATAATTTGATCAACGTCCTGTTCAATAGAAATACGGGACTAGTTTAAATGATTAATAGACAAATTCTTATTAATAGACAAATCCTTATTAATAGACAAATCCTTATTAATAGACAAATTCTTATTAATAGACAAATCCTTGTTAATAGATAAATTCTTATTAATAGACAAATTCTTATTAATAGACAAATTCTTATTAATATCCAAAGTAGAATTAGACAAGTGAACCTTTTTGGAATGATGATTAAACTGATCGTCCTTTGAAATACTATAAGAAATATTAGAAAAATAATGACAATAACTGGTCTTAGACCAAGTATAATAATTAGAAGAGATATAAGCAAAAATAACGGGAGTAAGATTTTTAGGAACTAGACATTACATTGTACGTTCCAAAAGTGCCATAAAATAATTAAAATAACTAAATTTTCACCTCTCCTTAGTAATAGGAAGAAGAGAAATCTTCATAACTACTGATTGTAGAAGAATTAAATAAGGTGATCAAATGCTAAATAATTAAAATAGAACTATTTAAATATTAAATAATTTATACCTAGAACCATTAGAAAAATAGTCAGAAAATCAATTTTTAAGAATTTAAGTTATCCTTTGAGGATTTCATGAAGAAGTATTATAATCTATAACCTGAAATAATGTTATTATTTAATACTGAGAATATAATAATTAATGTCAATTTTAAATAATAGGAGGACATCCATTAAGTTAAAAATATTTTCCATAAATATTTTTTGTAATAAATGTATTATGTGACCTAATACTCAACTTAAGCCTTGGGTCTAGTAAATATTTTGAAAGTGAACTGCAGCGTGCAACATTTCTCAACTAATACCGATCTATCAGGATTTGTGAATGAGAATTAGTTCTCAGAATTAGTTGAAATTTAGGATGGTCAATAAATGGCGATCAAAATAAGCAACTTTTCGTATAGGAATCATAACTTGTTAAGGGAGAAGTTCAATAATTTTGAGATTTCTTAATCCTTTTAATAGAATTCTTCAGTTTTAGATGTATCGAGACAAATAGGATATGGGAAAAAAGTAATTCTTATTTCTGAAGATTAATTAAAATATTTAAATCAAGAATGTGCTGATCTAGAAGCATTTTAATTGAAAAAGTTTAAAGAGTTCTTTAAGATGCCCTTCTACTGTGTGTAGATTGAATATGTAGAGGAACTTCTAGAGTAAGCGAAAGTCGAGTTTAAAAGGATGAATGAGAAATATGTTAAGGCTTAGGTATAAGCTAAAGAAAAGGAAAATAATAAGGTTTGGATGAAAGAGATAAAGAAGGATTAATTTTGCTAAGCTTCTAAATTATACTGTTACAATATGATGGAAGCATTTTATACGAATCTACTAAACGATGTTAATGAATCTTTAATGTCTACAGAATAATATTAGTCTAACTAATATTAATCTATGTACTATGAAGCAATTATAGATTTGGGTAAAAGAGAATTGAATCCAAACGATCCTCAAAGCATTGAGAATTTATTATTTCATTCAGATTTTAAATGTAAAATATTCAAATAATATCATAGTTGAGCCTAAGGAAATGTAATTTTTGATTGATTTGCCTCTAGGAACCTTTATCACCGTATGGGTTCGTAATTAGAAGGATATTTTGAGTGAATTTTAATAAATTAAAAAAGACGAAATCCTTCCAAGGTATTTAATTATCAGTTATATTATTATAGAGGATATATCCTAAAATAGTGATATATTATCATCAAGAAAATATACAAAATTAATCATAATTTATTTATTAAATGAAGAGATATGTCCTTTGTGATTCTTCGTAAATGTAAAAACAGAATATAGCAATTTTAAAATTGTGAGAAGGTGGAAATGTAATCTTAATTGCAGGAGTTTAGTTATAATATTTTCATGCATTCATATTATAATTCATATGAAAATTAATAAGGTTGTATTATGCAATTGGGAATATGAATATATTAAAGACAATATAGCAGATTATTGAAGCATGTAAAAAAGCAATTCATGTTAGAAAATTAAATTTCTTAAGAATATATGAAAGATAATATTCTTGCTATTTAGTAATCATTCTTTATTAATCCGAGGTTACAATTTCATAGCTAAGTAGGAAGGAATCATGTTTGTCAAAAAGATTGACTTAAATGGATGAAATGGGTACGATTAATCAATAGAATTGAAATTATGATTTGTATAAAGTTTTCTTTTTAATGGATAGAATAAGAAATATGAATTCTGATGTTTTCGTATTAACCATGAACAATTTCATCATCATGTACGTGTATTAAATTAATTTCCATTAGATCCATAATACACATTAAATGATTAATATATATATAACTATTGATCTTCGATTATGCATTTTAACAATTAAATATGGGCCATCTTGTGGAAAAATATGAAGATGACCAATATGAAAGAGTTAGGCAAAGAGTTGTTCATCCCATTGATAACGATATTCGTGTTGTTGATGGTGTAGGATGGTGATGAGGGTACTGGGAAGCTGTTTATGGCGATTATGGTGCCTGTTTACATTCCATCTTGTTTTGTAGGTTTATGCAGATAATTGTTAGTGGAGTATGTACATGAGAAGACAAATAAATACAGAGATCTTTATAAAGTATGTTGTATTTCTTAACATTAGATTATGGGCATGAAATTGCAAAATTATAGGATAGCTTGGTTTATTACATATATAATAAAGAGTATACTCATAGGCTCTTTGATACTGGTAACATTGCTATATAAATTGAACTTCTAACAATCCCTTTAGATGGTGATCTGCTTTATGTTATTCATTTTGGCCTAAGTTGGATAGACTTTATTATTATCGACTTTCTTCAGCAATTCTTAGTTGGCTGGGGAATTTGGATCCTTCTTTTAAACAATCTTGTCTACATTCTATTTTGCATCATTATACGAGTTGGAGTATTTGGTTTACGTTTGTCCATAATCAATTATTTCATTTTACCTGATGAATAAACTAAATGGTAGTAAAATGGAAGGCGTGTCAAATTATTGCATTCTGAGTTTGGCAATTCATCTGATAGTTTATTATGTTTTGTTCAATGTTTTGGAGGAGTCATGTATGAAGGGAGGGAGATGTTTATGGACAAGGAAGAATAAGACAGGTTATGTCTAATTGGAGGATTAAATGGAGGTAATAAGTAGAATATATAAAGATGAGAAGATAATATGATGAGGAGGGATTAGCCTTTACATCAGTTGAAATTGTGAAATTGTTTAAGCAATATGGAGATGTGGTGGCAGTGGACAATTTGAATCTCAAGATCTATTCTCAATAAATCCTTTGCATTTTGGGATAGAATGGAGCTGGCAAAACCACAACTCTCAATATATTGACAGGCTTAATTGAGAAAACTAGTGGAAAGATATTATATTTTGGCAAAAGCTTTGACAAGAAAAGAGATGAAATTCAAAAGCTAATAGGATTCTGTCCATAGGAGAATTTATTGTATGATCAATTGACAGTCTCAGAATCATTGCAATACTAAAGTATGATGAGAGGCACAGACTCAGCATCTGAGATTGATATGTGGTTGAATCTTATGTAATTGCAACAATACTCCAATTACAAGACTCATGAATTGAGTGGTGGGAATAAACGTAAGTTGTAGATTGCTTTGGCTTTGGTGGGAGGATCTTAAATCATATTTCTCGATGAACCCACTGCCAGTATTGATCCAGAATCCAGAAGACAAATTTGGAAAATCTTGAAGGAAATCAAATAGATCAATAAAACTCTCATTTTAACCACGCATTTTTTGGATGAAGCTGAAGAGTTGGCTGATCGAATTGCCATCATGAAACAAGGATAAATCAAAATCTATGGATCTCCTGAAAATATTAAAAAGGAATTGGAAGTAGGTTTCACATTAACTTTTGGGAATATTCAATCCTCCCAATAGTAATCAAAGATTAAATAATCATTTCCAGAACTGGAATGTTCAATCGGACCCAAATTGGAATATGACAACATAAAATACATCATCAATTAAAATTAGTTATTTTCTATCGTTGAAAAGCTGAATGAGATGAGTAAAACAGAGAATATTAAAATATAATTGATACAGAACACCTTGGAAGCAGCCTATTTGAAATTAAACAAAGACAACTTAGAGGATGATAAAATAATCAAGGAATACTCATTTCCAATTAAATCTACAAATGATGTTAAAACTAAATAATTACTCCAAATATCTGCTTTGCTTTATAAGAAGTATTATGTTCTCAAGAGGAACTTCACTTTGTAATTGATGCTAATCTTGCCTATGTTCATCTTATTAATTGCCTATATTTTTGGATATCACTTATTGTAGGATGAAGCCTAAACACAATTTTTTGTATCACTATTTATCTCACAATCCTTCAGCCTTAATTCATCAATATTCATCAGCACTCCAATTCTTGAAAGGGAACTTAAGATCAGACAATAATTAAAATAAATGGGAGTATCCTAATTTACATACATTTTTGGAACATTCTTAGGAGACTACTTTATTATATTTATTGTAACCACATTCATCTATGTATTATCCCTTTAAATTGATATGCTCCTGACCTCAGAATAATTACTAACTATACTAAGTTTATTTGGATTATCAGTGATTTCATTCTCATATGCATCTTCCTTTATGTTCAGTTCTAATTAGAGTGCTTTTAAAATATTCCCAGTAATTAATTTCTTATTTTGCTATTTTCTACCATCTATGATTGATCTTCAACTTCAAAATCAATATAGTGAAGTATTTACTTGCATATTCCCACTGTATACTTTAAATTTGGCATTGAAAGATGATAATCAAGATTATTCTATTTACTTCCTGGTCTAATTCGTCATATACATGTTTTTATACTAGGCTCTAGAGAGAAATATAATACTATTTGAGAATAGAAAGAATTTATAAGATAGGAACAATAAGTTGTAGGTTCAAAATATTCAATATGGATACACTTCAAATAAACAAGTGCTTAAGTAAATCGATCTTTAATTGTGTCCACAAAAGATACTGACACTCCTAGGTCCAAATGGTGCTGGTAAAACTACACTCATCCAATTGATTACAGATTGTCTTAAAACAAGGTGGGGTAGCATTATGTACAATGAAAATATGATCATTTCATCTTGTTAACAATCTGAAGGTTTATGGGAAGATTTAACGGCTGAAGAAATCTTGTATTTATTTGCAAGAATCAAAGGCGGTATTAGGAATGTTAAAAATGAGATTTCCTAGATTTTAAGGATTCTATAAATCAAAGGCAAGATCGTGAATATGTCAGGTGGTCAGAGGAGGAAGGTCGCCTTGGCTATAAGTCTTATTGGGGACAGTGGTATGATTATCCTTGATGAACCATCCAATGGGCTTGATCCTATTTCAAGAAGAAATCTCCAAAACATGATCAAAGCTCATGTCCAAAAGAGGAACAGCTCTATCATTTTGACTACACACGACATGGATGAGGCTTAATATTTAAGTGATAGCATAAGCTTTATTATCAATGGCTAACAACCATTCCCACAATAGAGTGTTACCTAATTGATTGAATAATATGGGAGTGGAATCATACTAACCATCAGAGCTAAGAACAAAGAGGCTTTGGATTAGGTAATTTTGGCTTTTCCGAAACATCAAAAAGAAGGACTGTTGATTGTCATTAAGTTGGGGAATGAATATGATGTGGCTACCACGATTAAGATTCTTAAGAATTTATGCTAAGAGGATTTGATTGGGTCATTTACTATTAGACAAGCTAATTTGGAGTAAGTGTTCTTGAGGTAATGTAGAAAATAATATGACGAAGATTGAGTATGTAATTTATGTAAAGTTATTTTTAATTTTTAATATATGTTGATAAGCGATTTTTTGGTAGCTGCAAAACCAAGCAAATAAAATAAAAAGGATAGTGAAGAAAGTCAACAGTAGCCTAAATAGAAAAAGAAACTGAAACTAACTAATACTGTGTTTGAACCTTCCATTCATAGTTTGAAGGATTTTAAGTTTGAGGATGAGAATGGCGAATAATAATAAATTGAATAAATTGATAAATTAAGCAATGCCATCTCCTCATAGCCCATGCTTAATATTATCAGATTGAACAATCCAAAAACTACAACTTCGCTTAAGAAATTGATAGAGTAATAGGAAGAAGATCAATTAACCAGACATCTCAAATTTAGACAAGAAGATGTGAGTTATCTATTTACACTCTTGCTTAATGAGACCAAATCCCAAATGAAAGAATTGAAAGATGATTATCAAAGTGAGAATGAATATTTGCAATATTTTTTACCTCCATTTATTAATGAAACCTTAGCTTACGTCAAAAGTACAGCAGAAGACATGGCAAAAAAATATAGAAGTCCCGCATTACCACTTCCCTTAAGATACCAGTTGATGATAGATAGAAAAAACACTATACTTGGAAAGTATTTAGTTTTGGAAGCAGTTGAAGGGGATTTCGATTAAGCAGATAAGTACACCTGGAAAAAGACATGCATTAGCGAATACTTTGAGTTCATAGCCGCAAAGAGTTATATTGTCTAGATATTCATCAGAAATGAAAGAGAATATGTAAATTTGCTAGGAATCATCTCTAAATAAGAATCAAATAGAGATAAAAATTTAATTTATCTCCCATGGAATTCAAGAGTTATTAACTCTCTTAAAATACCCAATATTGTTGTGGAATCTAACAATAACAAATAAAACATCTATTAATTGAGACAATCTTATGTGCCTTTAACTTATCCTAATTTTGAGGAATTGTATCCCTATCAATTTTTAGTGCATTTGAATCCCATTTTCTCTCCTGCCACTTATCTGATTGAACTCAAAGCTCTCCTCAATATTGGCAAATCAAAATACATGAATTGTTTGTTATAACCATAAAATTTCATTGAGCCTCGTCCCTTGATGAAATCAGCCTATGAATTCGGAGTTCCACTGTTATAAATCACAGAAGAATATCTTAAAAATAATAAAAAATTCAATCAATCTTAAATGAGTGCCATCAGACATTCAACCAATTATACGCATCCCTTTACATTGATTAATGGACCTCCTGGGACTGGTAAGACATACACTTCAATGGGGATTATGAATATTGTTATGCAAAGAATGAATTAAATTAATGAGGATAGCATTATTTTAGCTTGTGGTCATTCCAATACAGTTATTAATGATTGGGTTAGAAAAATCAATAAGGAATTCTCCAATGCAAAAGTTATGAGAATTGGTGTGGCTGAAAAATCAGATCCTGACATTTATGATTATTGTCTAGAAATCAAAACTTAAAGATAATTCTTTATGAAATTTACGCCAGATTATGAAAAGAAATCTATTTGTGAATTAATTAAGCCTAATAAACAAAAGTATGATCAATTGACTCTCATTCATATCAAATAAAAGATTGCATAGTTGAATGAAAAGATCTATGATCTAAGAGACTTTTATGATGATTTAGATCAATAATAACAATTCTCAGTTGATACTGATTTGTATAGACTGGAATCATAGAAAAAGGACCTAAGAAGATTCTACTCCACACTCATCTAAATTCTAGGATAAAACAAGGAAATCTATAAAGAAATGATGCTAAAAAATTTGTAAGGCATTTAAATTATTGTTTCCACTCTAACTAGTTGTGCTTCATCCTTGCTTGAATAATACATGGAAGATAAATATGTCTCTATGTGCATTATCGATGAAGCTCCTATGTGTTTTGAACCTTCCACTCTAATCCCACTCTCTAAGCACAAGATCTACAAATTAGTACTCATTGGGGATCACCGACAACTCGGCCCAGTCATCTATGACAATACCAATGCTTTCGAATACAATTACAATAGGAGTCTATATGAAAGGCTTCTACAAACTACTTAGCAATTCATTATGCTCAATGTTCAGTATCGATCAATGCAAAATCTTAGTAGAGTCACGTCTCAATTTTTCTATGAAGGAAAAGTGTAGGATTCAGAATCTGTGGGTAAGATGCAATTTCCATAATATTTGGCAAACAAATTAAATAATTCAAATAATTTCCTCTTTTTCGATGTTCATGGTGGCACATAATTCAACAGCAATAATTCGCTATTCAATGAATATGAAGCTTATGGAGTGTTCTATTTAGTGTGTTACTTGTTATAAGATTATAATGATCAAAATGAAAAACCAATTTCAATTATTACTCCTTATCGGGCTTAGGTCAAACTGATTAAAAAATATCTCTATAAATTCAACCCATAGCTCTTGGATTACGTTGAAATCGATACCATCGATGCATTTCAAGGCAAAGAAAACGATATCATGATAATTTCACTGGTTAGGAGTGAAGGGCTTGGATTTTTGACTGACTACAGAAGGGCTAATGTTGCTACTTCTAGGGCTTAATACGGATAATTCATATTTGGAAATTCCAAAGCTTTATTGAATGAGCAAAGGTTATGGAGTCCTCTTTATTAGTATCTTTATTAAAGGAAATAAATTAAAAGTTTTGGAGACAAAGAAGCCTATGATCCAAATTTTTTCCAAAATATTTTAAATCAGTGATTATGTACATATATATAACTTAACATTCTAATTTCATTTTTTAATCATCAAATATAACAAATTTGGTCTTTAGTCAAAAAAAAATGAATATCTAATTTTTCAGTAAATTTCTAAAAACTTTAATATATATTAGAATATTGTTCTTTTCAAATATTTTTAGAGAGAAAACACCATATAATAAGAATCAGAAGTTCACCTTTTTTATTGCAAATTTTTGTATAAGACCACCAATGAATGAAGTGGTTTGTTTTAGAGACCATTTTATTTGAGTTTGGATTATTCTTTAAGAAATAAGTCACCATCTTATGGATCACTTTTCATATTGCAATCCTGTATTTTTTAGTTATCCGGTAAGTAGTTTTAGAGATTATGAATCAGCTTAGATTTGAAATACATCTATTGTTCATAGTTTTGTAGTTGCTTTAGTTGCTGCATTTATATTTTTTATTTATATTTACGCAAATTTATGATAAATTATCAATTCATAAATACAAACAGATTAAAATTTAACTGTTCCAAATATTTTGTTCTAAGGTTTTCTCATATATTTTGACATACTTTAATATCCACATTGGATTCATAAAATTCCTGTATGAATCTGTATTCATTAAATTATAGTAGTAAAAATCCTAACACTTTAGTACTTTATTGTGTTATGGTAGATTTTATGTAGTGTACTATTTGATTATACAATATCTAAATCTTAAATCCTTTCGCGTGGTTTGACTTGAGAAAAAATATCTGATTTATGAAATGTTTTAAGTGTCTATCAAATTTGTAATTAAGGTTTTACGATATATTAGTTGTAAAATATTTTTTTAAATGGTTTATAATCAATTACAATCACTATCGGATCTAAAAGTATTTTAAATTATAAAAAGAATTATCCAAAATAGAGATCGATTCTCTAGAACATTTGAAGAAGTATAATTTCTACTAATTATGCATTAGAATTATGATATTCAAAAGGCTGGGCGAACTAAATTTGTTGTTAAAATGATCAATAGCAAATCGACACATTTAATTAATTTTCAGAATTATTTAATTTCTATTTTATTTGTACTAGAACATTTTAGGAAATTCTAAAATTATAAAATTATTCCAATATATAATTAAAATTTATTTTTTAATAGTTAAATTAACAATGTTAATGTTAAATAATTTAAAATATGTGGTCATGGGAAGATTTTCAAAATGATTCTAAAATTTAAAAGGCCACTAAATATACAATAGATCATTAAAATATCGAATCTATTTTAATGCTGAAGTTGTTTTCTTATAATTATTCTCATGTTTAAATTTTAATATATAATAATTGATTCAACCATCTTTTCACGTTGATAAGCATGATAAGAATACAACATTTATATTTAGCTTAAAATATAATGATTATTTTCAATTTTCTGTTATCTGCTTATTTCTTGCGATTAATAAAGGGATAAGAATATGGTCAAGGGTTACATTAAAGATTGGTTTTTTATGAAATTAAGTCTTAAGATCGGTTAGATTGATGCTTGCTTTATTTGAGATTGCACAGTATTGGAAAACGATTGAATGCTCGGATTAATAAATTTACTTTTTAATTAAACTTGATCTATTAGTTATCTTAGAACTGATTTTTTTAAAGAATTTGATTGATAATTTATTTATATATATATAAGAGTTTCTGAATAAAATGTACCTTAATGACCTTCATGCAAGCAATTATTAAATTTAATCACCTGTTGCAGAACAGAGATTGTTGTATCAAGAGGCATTTGGATAAATAAGATTAAAACAAATTCACTCTTAGTCTAAGTTGAAAGACTTATTATTGAAAGCCATAATGAAATTAAGGAAATATACGAAAATAAAGAACATCGATTTATTAAGCAAGCATCAATTACTGGCATTTAATGATGTGTCTAGTTGTCATAATACATTTGTGAAAAAAGAGAAGGAGACTACCCAATTTGAAAAATAATATTACTAATACAAATAATAGAATCTCAGTTTACAATTGATAGTAACAAATCTAATGAATATGGTTAGAATGCAAGGTTTAAGGAGCATAAAGGCAAGTCATCCTTTGTTAATATTTTGGAGCTTTTTAAAATTTTTATTGGTTCTTCATTTATGCTTCATTTTCCCACTGTCAGATTCTTTCATCCAATAACTAGATGAGTTTATTCAGATTTAGCAACCAATATTTTTTATAGAAATTGTTATCTTAGCAGTGGATATAATAATGAGATTAAATGTACAAATCTACAATAAGGGTACTGTGATAACATAAACAAAATAAATAATTGTTCAATATTTTAGGAAGGAATTCCTAATTGACTTTGGTGGATTGTTGGGATTGTTGGCATTCTTATTCTCTTAATTTACACCATTAAAATATTTATTTGTACTCAAAATAAAGGAATTATCGAATTTTATGGAAGTATTCAAGTATGAGATTGATCCTAAAGGCAAATTCAAGAGCCACTTGAAATTAATGACTTTATTAATAACTGTGGTTTTGTTGGCTCATTGTTTTGCTTGTGTTTGGATTGGTGTTGGTTAGCATTCATTGAATAATAATTGGATTGTTTTGAGAGATTTACAAAATGCTCATTGGCTGGAAATCTATGTGAATGGTTTGTATTTTGCAATTACAACAATGACTACAGTTGGATATGGGGATATTACACCAATAAATCCGTATGAGGTGTCTGTTAGTATTTGTTTAACTCTATTCTCCTCATGCATATTCGCATATGTTTTTAACACGATCACATCGATTTTGAAAGATCTAGATGCAAATAAAAGCAAAATCAAGCATGACCTAGAGATCCTGAGTCTGTACATGAAGAAACGTAACATAGATTCAGATTTGCAAAAGAGAGTTGAGAAGTATTGAATTAAACATTATAGTAGTTATCTTAGATTGGTTTACAAGCATCAACCTTCAATTTAGGAGAAGAAGATCTTCAATAAGTTAAGTCCCTAGTTGAGATAAGAGTTAAATGAATAAGATAAGGGTGTAATGTTACTGAAACAACCTGCTTTAGTAAACAATTTTTCATTGAAGTTCCTAAGAGATTTGATTGAAAGCATTTAAGAAATTAATTTGACTCCGAATGAACAATTACCTAATGATTAAGGTTTGAATATACTTTAGAAAGGAGAGCTTAAGTTGTTCTTTGGTGAACATTAAACATTAGTTGGATATTTGAAACCAGGAGATGGAATTGGCGTGAAGTCTTTGTTTAATGGACAGAATTAAAGTACTAGATTGAGTTGTAAAAGTGAAGGATTTTCACAGGTGTATTAGATTTCATAGAATGACTTTTTCAAGAAGTTGAAAGATGCAGATTTAGATTAATATTATTAGATTAAAGATAAGATCATGTAGAATAATTATGACAATTTATATGAGAAATGTTTGTTGTGCAGAAAGTTTGGACATGAGATTTGTGAAGACATTTACTTCAATTTGAATAAGGAATTAATTCTAGCCAAGTATAGACATTCGGTCAATCAGGAAAGGAAAATTGGATATAATAGGAAGAGGAAGCATAAATATAGAGTGTTTTAGGCTTTGGCTATTAAAAGGTAGAGTGCAACACAGTGTTATTAGAAGTCTATGAAATTTATGAAGATGTCTCAAAAGTAGAACGAAGAAAATGATGAAATCTCTGAGAGTTACAAAAGCGATGTAATTGTTTAATAATAAACAAGAGTCATATGATGAGTTGGAAGAATAGAGGCATTTTCTTGATGAGCAGAAGGATAATATCACTGTGTTTATTGACAGAGAGAACTCTATGAAGGATATCAATAAGGAGGAGAGGAAGATTGTGAGGAGCAAGGTCAAAGGTCCATCATTAGTGAGAATGCTACAAAACTTTTCGTCTTTAAAGGTGTGGCAAGATGATTTCTTTATTCTGGGCGATTTTGATAAGATGAAATGTTTTCGGATGTACTATCCAACGCATAACTTTGATCAAGTGATCAAGTATTACAATCAAAAGAGAAAGAGAATCAACAAAACTTTATTAAAAGTGTAATAGAGATGAGTGTTATTATTAAGATTAAAATTTATTTATGTTTTTTGATCAAATATGTTATTTAAATATGATCTGATATTTGGATTGATATATATATATGACATGTGATTGCTAATTAATTTTAATAATAATTTTCATCCGTTAATAATTTAATGTATTCATCCATTCGAGAATCCCCTCAAAGACATGACACAAGGTCTTTTGTCCAAGAAATTGAGTTCTTAAAGGCTAAGTGCCAGGAATTGGAAACAGAGAATAGATTGCTATTCGAAGAACAATAATAATTATAAAGAAGAGCCCATGACATAGTAACGAATGACTCTAACGTTGAATCCTACATCAAAGAAAACAATATGTTGTAGACTGAGAATGAGAAACTTATCAAGTTATCCCGACAGAGAAAAACTGACGCGGACTTATGGAAATCCAAATATGAAAATCAATTGCAATAGATTTTATAAATGAAATCCAATTATGAATTCGAAATAAAGCAACTAAATGCTGAATTATAGAAGCTAGGGGCTGTTCTATCACAAGCAGAAGCAGAAAGATAAAGACAATTGGTTGGCATATCCGGTCAAATAGAGAGTTAATCTAATTAAGATTTCGAGAATCTCAAGAAGGCCACTAATTTACAAATAGAAATAAGTGAGAGTTAGATTAGAAAACTACGAGATCATATTGATGAACAAAATAATGAAATCAGTGATCTTCAATAGAAAATATTAAGATAAAAAACTGAGGATGACATCTAAATAGAGAGATTGCTTAAGGAAAATGAGTTACTTAGAGTCAAAATTCATCAATAAGAATCAGAGAAGTAAAGAGAACTAGAACACATGAATGACAATCTCAACAATTTCTCATAGTAATAGATTCAATTGTTGAAACATGAATTCGCTAGATAATCAGATGTCTAACAATCTGAAATAGATAAACTTAAAGGTCTACTTGAAATTAAGAATGCTGAAATAGAAACATTACTTGGATAAAATGCTAAAAATAAGTAAATGTTTGAGGATTAAATCAATGATTTGAGAACTGAAATCTAAATTTTGAAGTAGAAATTATTAGATCAAGAAAGATAAGCAAGAGTGATTCTTGAATCATCTCTTAAAGATCAATAACACTAACATTAAAGGGATTAAGAGACATTGAAATCATACTATCAAACATAAATTATTAATCTAGAAAAAGAAATTAATGATTTGAAGGGAATTATCGAACATAAAAATTAATAAATCTAAATCTAAATTGAGGAAAAGAATTTACAAAGATAACAATTAGAATAATTAATTGTTGATTTAAGAAGAGAAATTGAAAATTAAAAATTAATTACATTTGAATAAGAAAAATAAAAAAATAATGAAATCAACGAATTAGATGATCAATTCTAAAAATCTACAAGTCTATTGAATGAAAATATTGATTAATAGAAATTGTAAATCTTGTTTTTGGAAGGTGAAATTGAAAAACTTAAAGAAATGTTATCACAAAAAACTAAAGATTAAGAATCTTTAATTGCTTAATTTAATTTACATAAGAGATAATTAGAGGACGATATTAGAAGATTGAAAGATGAAATTCATTCTCTAAAACAAGAAATATTATCAATCACAAGTTCCAAAAATTAAGAAATTCAAGATCTTTAATCCAAGAATGATAGGGTGACAATCCAATATCGAGAAAAACTCAGATAAAGTGACATCTCTTAAGAACAATAATTGTTAGAAATTAAAAGATTAAGAGAAACTCTATCTGTTAAGGAGTAGGAAAATGAAAATCTAGCAAACCAAAGAAACCTTTTAGACAAAGATTTAAAGAGAGCAAGAGATGAAATTGAATAATTTAAATAGAGACAGTTAGCCTTAGAAAGAGAGAAGGTATTAATATGTATTTATTGTAGTTTACTTAATTGGAAGATTTGAAGAATAAATTGGAGGCTTCAAATTCCTATTAAATTAGTAATTTGAAAGCTGCTTATAATACTTAAATCAGTGTATTGACTGAGGAAAATGTTCATCTGAAATAACAAATAGATCAGAGAAGAATGTATGATTCCTCTGTTAGAATGTGACTTTATTATATATATTATGAGATTCTGAAATTTATAATATTAAAACAAATAGACATCAACACAAACGACCAAATTAAATAGATGAAATAGGGTTATAATAAACATCCTTTATTGATTGAAGAGGTAACACAACTAATCCAAAAGCAATTACAACTAGTAAAACTTAAATAATAATTGATTCCCTTTTATATTTCTTAACTAACTTTTTTAAGATTCCTGCCACCAAATAACTGCCACAACCAGATACACTCTAATTACATTTGAGAATTCATTACTGCCAATATTAAAAATTGCGATAGTTGATATCCTCCAGATAAAGCAATTATAAACACAGATATAAATGAAGTGAACATAACAGTGAAAGTAGCAGAGGCAGCAGCTCTTGCAGGATTGATTCCTGTTTCAAGCCAAACAGGTGTTAATACTACTCCTCCTCCTAAGCCAACCAGTCCTCCCAAAAACCCTGCTTTCATACTTGATTTTACAGTGATGTCATATACTTCACTTATTTTGCCTCCAGAGAAGTCATAACCAATTGATTCTTTGAGAACCTCATCCTTCTTTATTTACTATCTGTATCTTTGAACATTATAAAAGCCTACACCAAAAATGATGAAATTGATAAAATGATATCCATATCCACAATATCCTATTCCAAGTATTGATGGTATGGTTGCAGCTCCTTTCAGTAAAGTCAATGCAACCACGATAAATACTGAGAGAGCTATTTCTTTAAGGTTTTCAGTAGGGTAAAGCTTTGATTCATTATCCTTTAATTATTACAAATTTTATGGCAATATGTTCTAATCATTTATATTTATTTCTTTCATCTCAACTTATATTAGAAGGTCATTTCTTTCTTTTTCCCTAACCTTTTTATAAACATTCTTGGTCTTGAGAAATACATTTAATAAAATGGCGAATAAAAATATTACGATAACCAATTTGGGTAACCACTTTCCACTAGCTACTCCCAAAATAGCTCCTGCTAAAAGCAATGGAAGTGTTATCTATACTAGTTAATAATTGATTAATGGACTGCTTCCATCTTAGATCTAATTTTAACAATTGCATTGATTTTTACTTTTTCTCTTCCTAACCTTGCAAAATTACCTATACTTCCTCCAAATAACATGATGTAGGTGTTCCAAATAGCTTGCTTACTCGAGCACCCTAGTAAAACCATCATCACAGGTGATACAATGGGACCTCCCCCTATTCCACCTGCTTAGGCTAACCCAACTAATGATCCCAAAATTGCATATGAAATCCATGTAAAAGGTTCAGACAGGGATGGCATTTCATAGTCCATAAATAAATAATATTCTTTTAATGTAATTTTTTTTGCTTAAATCTAATTTAATTAAAAACAGCATAATATAAGTATACAATTAATTACATTTAGTTATTGCAACAAATTGTAGAAATATTGAAATGCACTATATTATTGTTATATAATTAAATAAATAAAACAAATCAAATTGGTTTCAAATCAATGGTGTCCATAAAAGCCCTAACTTATTTTAAGGTTGATTAATAAATATTTTGATCCGTTTCCATTTAAGAAATCATTCCTCTCAATTTGTAGACTTCTTATATAAGCACTTTCTTATGTCCCAGTAATTTATCATTTTCATCTTGGAGTAATGCTCTATCCTATTCCATCGAGCTAATCTAAATTTGAGATAAGAATTACAATTTTATTGTATTTAGAATTCAATTCAGATAAATTTTCTTTTACATCTTGTCTTTATAATTCAGAAATGGAGAGTTGGTTTTGTAGTATATTGATTTTGGATTGCAATTTCAGATTGACTGACTTTTCATATTTCAAAGTATCAGAGGAATCAGCTATCAAGTCCTCAAGATTTTGTATCTGAGCTTAAGATGATTACAATTTAGTGGTTAGAAATTCTTTCACAGATTTTAAAGCATGTAATTGAGCTAATACATCTTCTTCTGAATCAAAGACACTGCTATTCCCAGATAAATGTCCACTGGAGCCAATCTCTTATTTTTCTTACAAAAGTATTTGTTATTGTTATTATTGTTTAGTTCCTCCAACAATATGTTGTGCATTTCGACTTAAAGACAATAATTTAAATCCCAGAGGACAAAACATTATGTTTCTCAATGATGAACAAGTAGCTGTAAATCTATATAAATCTAGATCATCCAAAAATGCACATAGTCTTTGGATTAGTATCACCTTTAGTTTATTTAGTGGTTTACTTTAGGTAGTCTTAGCAACAAAGAATTTTGATTATGTTTAATCTATTCTTCTTTGTGTTTTTAACTCAACTCTAATTCATCTAATTACGCGATTATTTTATCGAGTTTGTCCATAAATAAATAATATTATAATATCACTATCCTTCTGTTCCTCCAGTTTTCGATTTTGTTACTGTTTCAAATTGCAAATCTGAATTAGCTTTGATTTCTTTGTGGTTTTTAAGATGAGCAAAATAAAAAGCTGTTTATGAAAATTCACTTTAATTGACGCTGGCTAACATGTTACCCAAGGCACAATAAGTGGAAACATCCAGTGTTTTCAAGTCTTGTCCTTGCTTAAGAATCTCGTCGAATGCAAAGAATGCTCTCTCATCCATATTATTTGTGCATTCTAGCAATTCAATGCTTATATCCATGGGTCGATTTGAATCATGAATTTTGTCAGTGAAAAATATACTAACAGAAGTGATCAGCATCCCTCCAATTAGATATCGTATGCCAACTCTAAATTATGTAAATCGTATTTGTCTTTGAAAGGAGCTTTCATATTTGGCTTGACGCTATTGTATTTTTAAGGACATTCTTTCTTCGAAATTATCGATGAATTTTAATTTTTCATCATAGAACACTCTCCAAATATTTTTCACCGATTAATAGGCTTTTTTAATCATAAAATGTTGTATAATAATTTTATGATTATTAGTTAAATAACCAACAATGATGAATTGCAAGAGCCATTAGAAACAAATATGAATAAAAGTTCAAAAGTGTTATTGTGGGGAAGAAGAAATTAGAGACAGAGCTTTGGTATCGAGAATCCAATTTGGAAATACAAGGCTTTGAAGATTATTATTTTGGTTTCTAGGTTTTTGTTCCTCATAACACAACAAATATTCAGAAAAGACTTAACAAATATTTCAAAATCTGAGTTCAACTTAATTCATGATGCCTCCTCCGATTATGACTTTTTCAAGTATAGAGGTGACCTTCCTAAAGATAAACCATCTTATTTATTACTGAAACTACATTCGTGGTTCTCCTGCATTATATGTAAAGTAGTTAACTATTAGAGAGCAACAAAATACATTTTTACAAAAAAATCACAAAAAATGGCTTTTGAAACCAGATGATACAATCATGATAGTTTGGAATGTGACCATGATTGTCATCGTCACAATTAATGTTTTTTATGTATCGTTGCGAATATCATTTCCTGAGATCAGAGAGCTGTCTCTAATTGGTAAGGAATTGATCTTCGAATAAATCCCAGTTTATATTTTCTTCATTGACATTATATTGAAACTAAACACTTGCATATATTTTAGAGGAAATCTAATCTCAAATCGGAAAAAGATTATAAAGCATTATTGTGCTGAAGGTAGAATATTTATTGTGAAATATAGGTTTAATAATTGATTTGGTCTTAGTGGTGCCTTTTTTTATTGGTTAATTACTAAATTTTAGTTATTTGGATTTCGTAATTGTTTTGAAGGTGTTTCAACTTTCAGGTTTATTTTCTTCATTATTCAATCGCTTAGAATTGACTTCGAGACAAACAGCAATTTTCGATTTGTTCAAAATGATGTAAAAGTAACATGGTATATATTAGTTCATTCATGATTTTGGTCGCTCACTTCTCCGCATGCATATGGCATATTCTTGGATAATGGGGAGAATGGGGTCATGAAGATGGAAAGACTTGGATCAAGGTAATTAATTTGTAAAATGAGTCATGGTTAGACAGATATGTAGTTTCTTTTTATTGGAGTATAGTAACTATGACTACTATTGGATATGGAGATATTACTCCTGTGAATTTGACAGAAAGAATATTTGTTATTTTTATGACTATGATTTCATCTGCCACTTTTGCATATACTGTCAACAATATAGGAGGTATTTTTTAAGATTTCTCCAAACAATCTGTCCAACTAAAAAATAATATGAATCAATTAAACAGATTTCTGAGAAGTTAAAATGTTTCAGATGATCTACAAATCAAATTCAGAAGATATTTTGAATATTTGTGGAGTAAACCTTCTTAAAAGGTTATTCAATTTGCTGAGTTAATACCAAAGAGCTTGAAGGATCAGATGATAGTCGATGTAAATATAAAGATATTAAATCAAATAAGTTTTTTCTAACAATTTAGTTAACCGCTTTTGAATAAATTATGTATGAATTTAGAAGAAAAATAAATTTAGTCAAATGACTATCTCTTTACAAGAAATAAGTAATCATTATAGTTGTATATACTCGTCTCTGGAGAAATTAAACTTCAAATCCAATTCAAAGATAAGCCAAAACTACTGTAAAGACTTGATGCTCCTTCTTTTGTAGGGCAATTAGACTTTTTTAATAACCAACCTTATTCATATGATGCTATCGCTTCTAAGGCCACTAAAATTCTTCATATTTCTAGAGAAACACTCCACAACATATATAAAGATTTTCCCTTAGATTATGTATCATTTATTTCACTATAATAATTAGGAAAAGTACAAATAAATCTCAGAAGACATTGTTCAACATAAATAATTGTCGCACATCTCAGTAATCTGTAATACTTGTTAAAGTAACACCCATTTCATCAATTCTTGTCCCTTTCTTTTCGGGACACCAAACAGAGCTAAAGCTATCTATAAATATCGTAAATTTACTCCATGCGATCGAAAGCCTGATTTCTAAAGACATAATCATTCAAGAAAAATGTATGCCTTGAAACATTAGTTTATTGTTTTAGAAAGCATATTGAATTATATGATGAAGAATGAAGAGTTCATTCACATCGAAGGCTTTAAAGAATTGCAAATGTAGACTCAGCAATTTTAAAACAATTAATTTACTTTCAATTAAATACCTATAGGACTCTCAGTACATCACTCAAATAATTCTGTTCTACCTCCACTTCTTATCAATTCTTCAAGTAAATAATCCTAATCTTAAAGAATATTATAATCTGTAGGAAATTTGTTGCCTCCTTAAGTTGAAGACTCTCCCAGAACATTTCGCAATAATTAAATAATAAACACTACTAACTTGAGAAATTATCATAAACTATCAATTAATCACGGTTCTTAATCAGATTTACCAAAGGTTGAGGATGAAGTTCCAATAATTGGAAAGTTTTAGAAAAAAAATGATGTTGAATCATTATGTGTAAATAATGATAATTAATAGTAACAATAATTATCATAATAATAATATCATAAATAATTAAATCAATAACATTAATAACTATAAATATTACCTTAAATTTAAATAAACTAAGTAGGATTAAGACGAAAATCAGTTAGATTAAAACGAGAAGAAAGTTCAGAAGATGATAATGATGATTCAGATCAAATTATGGGATAACATATAGATATATTTTAGCAATTTGAAAGAATGTAGGAATTCAACAATTATTATCCTCATAATAATATTTCCATAGTAGTTAACAAAGTATGATATTACAATATCTTGTATTCATAGTATCAAGAGAGAATATTTGGCTACATGAGGCAAATAAAAAAAAGAAAAAGTAGAAAATAAGAAACCTTATTACATCTGCTTAAACAGGCATAAGGCAAATAAAGATTATGAATATCTATATAATCTCAATCTAACCATTTAAGACGCTTTCCTTAGTTCCATTAACCCTTTTTACTAATCTATCCATTAAAATACTCTCCGATTCCATGTTATTTTCCAGACTCCCATTAGCCTGAATATTTTCTGCCATCAGCTACCTTACATTAAATATAAACAAATTACGCCATTCCAACACTCCAGTTCCATGCTTTTTGTCATTACTGTACTATCCTTCATACTTTCTTCCATCTGGCCATTTCATTATGCCATTTCCATCCATACTTCCATTCTACCACTAACCCTCATACTGTCTACCATCAGTCCATATATATTTCCTGTTTTTATTAAACTGAATTTATACCCAAATCCACTAAAATAATTAGATTAAAAATTTCCTTCATAACTTTAACCGTCTACCCATATGTAGTGGCCAAATCCATTCTTCTTCCCGTTTTTAAACTACCCTTTATATTTAGATCCATCAGAAAATTATTCATCTCCATAGCCATCTTAATAATCATTCTTCCATTCTCCCTGATAGATGGTTCCGTCATTATGCACATATTTTCCGTTTCCGTGTTCTAAAAATTAACTTTAATCTAACTTAAATCGTCAACCCAATCTCCCTCATACCAGTCTCCATCAATGTAGATCATTCGTCCTTTACCATTAGCTTTGTCATTCCTCCATTGTCCTTAAAATATTGACCCATCCTGATAAATTAAGCATCCTAGAGAGATAGGAATTGTGTTCAAGTACCATATCCAAATTTTTCGCCGTGATGCCAACAACCCTTATATAGTGAACCATCCTTTTATTCGTAGACCCCATAAAAATATCCTTCCTCATCATCTATTTCATATGCACCCAATTCATCCATAAGTTTCTAAATTAATATTTGGAATGGCTTACTTAAACTATGAGATTATAAGTAGCAAACGAGGTTTGTGTTTACCACACAGTTTATGGATTAGGACGATGAGTATCATCTGATGTTTCATTACTAGACTTTATGGTCTCTTATTGCAATATTTATTGAGCTTGGCAAAACTAGAGTTGTTGGTCCTCAAAACTAGTAAAGTTCTCTTATTTGAATTCGAGAGGCTGCATTTCTTCTGTCTTTTGGATGTCTGCTGATTAACACTGGCAATTCCCCATTCGATATTAAAAATAATGTATTATTCTGAGAATTTCAAAAATATCAAATGAATTAAAACATACAACTTCATCTTTGTTTTCTAAACATAAGCATTTTTTTGAATTATTCCATTTTCTTCATTTACAAATAATTATTTGTTATATATGTAGGTTTCTAATCGTGTTTCCTATGATCTGGGCTTTACGACATTTAATATCTTTTTTTAGTATTGTTTATTAAGGGCAAAGGTGATCTGTTCATCTCGTAGGTGCAACTTTGGTTTAGTATTTGAGAAACTATCTTCTCCTTCTAAGAACTCTGCATTTGATCATTGAGAGTACTTGGCAAATGTTCCGGAAATTCATTGTTGCTCTTACAAATAAACAAATATCCATACTAATTTTTTAATCTCTAAAATCTATTCATTATTAAACTCAGCCATTTAAGTGATTTTTGTTGAGGGAGGAATAAAAACTGTAGCTTCTCTATTCTCAGTCCCAAAGCACTTTACTTCTTTAAGGAACACAGTTTTTCTAATTTTATCTATTGCATAAACAATTCCTTCATATCTTATATTTTATTTTGTCAATATAGAAACTCTATTTTATTTCATTTAATTAAATATAGAGAAAGTTTTTATTCTATATTTGACCTATCGCATCCGCTTAAAGAAATTAGAATCTTTTAATTTACATAAGTTTTAGGTTGGCTTTCAAATGAAACAAGGCTTTTAAATTAAAAACAAGTTTTTAAAAAATATGAGTTATATTGATGCTGAAATATGATGTTTGCTAATTATATAACAGGTCGCTTTTAAGGCTAAAACAAAAAAGAAATTTCAAACACTTTGATTAAAATTGAAACTTGTTTCTTTTTTGATGTGCCACTTGTATAACTTCGATAAATGTTTCATATCTGTCAGAATTCTAAAAAGATAATATTTTTTTTCACAATTTAAGTTATCTGCTTGAGGATAGAAGGAAATAAAAAGACTACTCAAAAATTACTAAGGAAACGAAAAATTATGGAAAATTAAATCATATATTTGTTTGATTGAAAATCTAACTGATGCAACAGAATAAGGAATTTCACAAAATGATTTACAATTATTATTGGTGAATCCTAATAGCATTAAACTATCAGAAATAATTTTATAACTATCTAAAATTATTTTTAAGTGATGTGACACTAGAATTTTTAATAAATAGTAATCTAAATTATAATATTTTTAACTAAAAAGGAGACTTAATAGTACCTCATTTATAGAAATATATAAAACTTCAATAGTAGTTTAATAAGATTTTTTTATGTAATTGATATGTTCTTAGGAAGATGAAGAAAACTTGGAAAATTAAATAATTTTTGTGAAATTTTAGAACTTATTATAATTTATTGATATCAAAATTCAATATAAATGATTGATGGAAATACTTTATAATATAATTGGATGATTTGTATTAGATAAAAGCCTGGATTAATAAGAAATAGGGGATAAATACTAAAGAAGAAAATTTATGAGGATTACCAAATGATATTAACAATAAATCTTGTTAATTTAATCAATTTTACAAGTAGTCAAGTAAGTAGATGAGCTTCATTGTTTGTTTCGAAGGTAGATTAGGCTTTGCTAGAGATGATAATAAGTGATGGGATAATTCGTATATTTATTTAAAATTAGATAAAATATTTAATTTATGGATTCTAATTTGCAAGATCTCATAAAGAATTATGCTCCTTTGTCTGATTTCTGCCCAGACCCAAATTATTAATTTGATGAGTTTAAAGATAGATTATTCCAGCCATTCAGCAGATAAGAAAAAGTAAGTAAATGTTGTGATTTTTCAAAATAAACATAAGTGCAAAAGGATTTGGAAGATGAATATGAGACAGTGGGTTAGAAAGTTGTCAAAAAGCCTGCTCAAAAAAAGATAGGCTTTGTCCCTTAATAATAATAACAAGTTGTGTATCAATCGTATTATCAAACTGGAAAGAAGAGCAAGATGTCATAGGCTGCAAAGAGAGTGATTGTTTATAAGAAATGCAGATTCAAGGACTCAATTTCAATCAAGACTGATTGGATTAGTATTCATGAGACACAAAAGTAGAATATTGAGAAGGTGTAATATTCATTGATTGACATTAAAGAGATCCAAAGCATAGGAACAATAAAAAAATATAACAAAGAATTCGATAAAGTGAGACCAAATTATGAGAAGAAGATTTCCATTATAGGAGGAGAAGTTATATCAGGATCTGTATAGGACGATAAATATTTTAAATAACTGATTGCAGAAAGGTAAGGAACAGAAGAGTTACCAACTATTTACACAACTGATAAATTGTTATTTGCAGTCTAAACACTCAAGTATTCAATTTACCCTTGGGATATTTTGGTAACTAAGAAAGGTAATTCTTATATCTTTGACAAATGTCCTTAAAACAGAAGTGATTTAACATATTTGGAATTGCAAACCATAAATGAAAATATTACAGTTGATATGCCTGAAGATGAGAAGACAGTAAGAAATTACTGTGAGGAAAGCACAATTGCCTAGTTGAGTTGGTAATTGTTAAGTACTTACAATCAACCAGTGCTCTTTTCAAATTCATTACAAAATGATGAAGAGGCTGAACAAAACGATTAAGCTGAAAAATATCTTTTTTCAGAAGATCTTTGTTTCAAATATTTGGAAGTCTCAGTAAAGGATAGGATTGAGAAAGCCGCTAAAGGTGAGGAAGTGAGAGCCGGATAAGACAGATTTAAAGTCGTAGTGAGAACTACAGTCGAAGCTGAAAACAATGATGGACAACCAGTGTTGGTGAAGTCATTGAATGAATGTGAGACACCTCCCGATTGGAAGAAATCGTTGTTATCTTAAGCTGGTATTACTACTAAGTAAGTGTTTATCAAAATAAAATAGTACTGCTTAGGTGTATAATACCAACAATATTGCTAAGTGGTTGTGTTAGGCATAATTATTAGAGAGCGAAGAAATCAAGGTTGGTTATTTGGCTAGGTAAAATTAAAAGGATCAAGACAAACACTCTTTATTGTTAGTGGAAACATTCACATAAAGAGATTTGGCTGCCATCATTAACTTTAAATCTGTTGAGATTTGGCAAAGTGTGAGATATTTGGTTGATTATCTGAAGACTTAAGAGGATGGGGTGTATGTTCTCTTAAAACAAGCTTATAAATAATCAATTAGAATATTCAACGTTAGGGAAAATGATGAATTGCAGGAAGATGACTAGGATTCATTATGATATTATTTGGTATATTATTAAAGTAATAATAATTAATCACTATAAATTGTTGGGCTGATGGTGTGAAGGACAGAAAATTTTAGATATAATATTCTCGTAATTAAAAGCATTTTTTGATATTAGGGATGCAGAGAATTTATACATTTTGAATTAAATTAAAAAGAGATTTTAATTTTTTCTATAAACAATCATGGTAAGATAATGAGTTCTATTTGTCTAGGCTAGAGGACCTAAGAAACACATGAAGAGAATCACAGCACCAAAAAGTTGGATGCTTTCAAAGTTAGGAGGAAATTGGACCACAAGACCCTCATAAGGACCTCACAAGTTGAGAGAATCAATCCCATTGTCTGTTATATTGCAACAAAAATTGAAATATGCTCTCTATGCTAGAGAAGTCTAAATGATTCTTGCTGATAAGGACGGCAATATTAAAGTTGATGGAAAAGTGAGATCTGACTTTGGATATCCAGTCGGATTATAGGGTATTAATTAGTTTATAATTTGTAATCAGATGTCATCACAATCGACAAGACAAGAGAGAGTTACAGAGTGTTGTATGATGTCTAAGGAAAATTCATTTTAAAATCCATCAAACCAGATGAAGCTAAGTTCAAGCTTGTGAAGGTTACTCAAAAGAAGGTTGGACCAAACAACGTTCCCTACATTGTTACCAATGATTCCAGAACAATCAGATATCCAAATCCAGAAATTCATGTTAATGATACTCTCAAAATCGATTTGGAAACTGGCAAGATCGTCGATTTCATCAAGGAAGAACCAGGTAATCCAATGCAATTACAGTATTAGGAAACATTTGCTATATTATTGGAGGAAATAACATCGGAAGAGTCGGACTCATTCAACACAGAGAAAGACATCTTGGATCTTTTGATATTGTTCATGTCAAAGTATAGATTTCCATCTAATATTTATTAGGACTCAAATGGAAAACACTTTTCCACCAGAATTAACAACATCTTCACTATTGGTAAAGGAAAGAAATCCTTGATTTCACTCCCAGACGATAATGGTTTGTATTTGACTGCTCTTGAAAAGAAATAAGCTAGAGAACATCATGAAGAATAATAAAAATAATGATATTTTAAAAGTATAGTACATATTTACAAACAAAATAGATAATTATGAATTTCATTAAATTTTGCAACACAACTGTTGATTTTATCTTAATTATTTTTTCTATTTATCGATCTACTCAATCTTGAAGTAATCAAACACTATTAAATCATACAATTTTTAAGTCTTTTCTATTCGATCTCTAAAGGAAACCTGTTGCTGCCGTTTTTTTTTGTCAATTAGGTTCCCAAATCTATCATAGCGGATCTTAAGAGTTGCATCAAATACAAAATCTAATGATTTCCTACTGTCATGAGAAATGCCATCGTCCGGTAAAGATTGAGGTTGCTATTCCAGTAAACAGAAATCTGGCTTTGGAGCATAATATTACTATTTCATATTAATTTAAATGAATGAAATCACAATCTCCAGATTTCTATGTTTAATGATGTTCATCCAGTTATACTAAGGAGAGGAGGGAAAAGAAGATTATAATATATGATTTATTTCTTTATATATTGTACATCGTTTGATAATATGCAAATCATTTCTTTTAAGCTTTAGCAGCAGCTAATTCATTTCTTCTTCTGACTGAATTTGCTCTGTTTAACTTGACCAACTTTCTAAGGGCGGCCTTTTGTAATCCAAGTCTTGAAGTACCGAATCTCTTTCTGATGACCTAGGAATACTTATAAATTAATTACTCTGGAAGCAGTGTGAACTCCATGCTTGACAGCCAAGGTTGAGGCATACACTGATTAAGTGTTTTTAGCTTTTCTATCAGCTTATTAGAATTTTGTGCTCTTCTTTGCGACCAAATTAATATTGTTAATCTAGTTAACTTTTCCTGAGGTTGGAACAACTCCGACTGCATTCTTTGAGATGAATCCTTTAAATTAATACATCGACCCAATTACCTGTGCTGCTATATGTCTACACACCTGTGTTGTTGAATGGGTCTGTTGACAATGTCAATCCATTTCTCTTAACCAAAAAGGCATTGTTTCCTTTGACTACTTCCCAGAGAACTGATTGTGACATTAATTTTAAAATAGATATTAATTTTTTTCAAAATTTTCTATATTAAGTAATTCATTAATGCTGACCCTCACTATTAAAAATATTCTTTGCATGTGCCATCGCATTCTCCGGATGTAATGCATCCTTACACTCCTTCTCTGCCAAGATACACACTACTATTGTACCTAACTAAAACTTTACTCAATATTCTACTTTAATAATAAAGTTGATAACTGACAACACTAACACAAATGTTTGTATTCCATCAGCCCAATTGTGCGAGAAAGCTGATGAATTCCAAAATGGACCCCAATAAACCAGCCACACAAAATCGATAATCCAAGAATATACGAATAAGTATATCAATCTGATCTTTTGTGAAACCTATTTGATTTCACTAATATTAATACAGGTCTATCGATGTCCCATAATAAGTATGCAAAAGCAAAAAGAGGTAAATTGTAATCTGGTCTTGCGTAGCATGTAAAGCATGAGATGAATGCTATTGCTAAAAATAATTTCTTAGGCCACTCTTACATTTCTAATTTTATTATTATATATATTATTAATTATCCATTGCATATGAATTAGAGGATAACCTCTATTAATTATTTAGTTAACTAATTTTAAGATAGATACAAAATACTAATTTAGTTTTATTATAAGATAAAATTGTAATAATTTGTTATTCATTTATTTTACTTCTCTTTGTTCAATTTTAAGTATTTGATTGAAAATTATTTTACTTAATCCTGGGATACTCAAATTTATGAATGCACAAAATAATTTATTCATCAAATTAAGATTCATACCAAATAAAAAGAAATTTAATCATTTTTATATTAGTCTATGATTTCTAAAAATTCAGTGTATATTTAATTAAATATTGATGAAGAATGCTATTAGTAAGTGATTTTGGAAAGTATTTTGATTATTTCAATTATATAACCAGTTTGAGTATTTTATTTGTTTTCTTCAAACTTAAATATATTTAGTATCAAATTAAGATTCATAGATATAATTGTAGATTTAAACGTACTTTAAAGAAGGAAGATATCATTACCTATTTAGATTGCGATTCTCTATCTCTATAAATTTCATCTAGCTTTTGAAAAATAGAAAAATACACAAAAAAGAATTCTAAGAATTACAATATTTATAATTATTATCATTTATCAATGTATTAATATCATAATCATTATGAGTAGAAGATAATGGATTCTTCCACAACTATAGGTTTAAGATGGACTGGTCTGTATTTAAGCATAAGATACATTAGAAACTTTGGCTAATGAACCTGTATCATCGTTGGAATAAAACCAATAAATCTTAGAATAATTATTAAATATATACCTTATATTTAAGATTTGGACTCAGATTAGTAAACCATACTTACTAAGTTTAATTTTAAATGGCACTGGAATAGTTGAAAAATAGAAGGAAACTTTGGTGTAAGGATCTTCCAAGGTAGTTTATTGATTTTCTAATTTAGGCTATGGATGGAATTTAAGCAGTGTCTGTTTATTCTATTCCTATTCCAACATATCCTTTGGCTTTAGAGAGTGTGAAATTCATAGTTGCATTGACAGACCCTACTTCTGGTTTGGTATAATTTAAGGTTGGTTTAGTTGATTGATCTGGTTCTGAATAGATTGCATCAGAAATGGTAGGATCTTCTTCTGGATCCAAACTCATTTTATTGGATAACAATGAGATAAATGATTTTTTATCACTCAAAGCCTTTTGCACAACATCATTAATAGTTTCATCCATTAAAGATTAATCTGGTTGGAAATAGATGTAATAAGACGTTAAGACACCTGTCAATGTGCTTGCTATATCATTGGATGATAATGAAAGGATTTCTAGAGTTTCTATGTTGCACATCTATCCTCTGGCATCAGTTATTCTATTGTAGTCGATGGTAAAGATATAATTGATTCCGCAAATCAATTCTAATTGTTGTATTGAAGTTAGTGGACTAGAGAATGTAATATTCAATTTAATTCCATTTCCGCCATTGAATCTTGTTTGCCAATTGTAAATAAGAGCCTCACTCGAAACACCAACTAGGTCAGCACAATAGGCTTGAATAGTGTAATCTGAGAATGACTTCAATCCACTAAAGTGTTCTTTGGCCACTCCATTGATCAATTGGAATCCATAGATCTTCCATTCTAAATCGCTAACATTCCTCTGAGTCCTTGAGTAGCCTTAATAAATGGTTTGATTGAAAATTTCTTCCAAAGGTATGTATGTGATGTCACCTCCGCATCCGAGGACCCAAAAGAGAGTTCCGATGTTATTGCATTTAAAGGCGAATTTGATGTCATTTTTATAGGCAATAGGTTGAGAATCGAATTCTAAGACGGGAAAGTCTGCTGGAGATGCAATTATTTCGATGGTGATATTAGGAGGGGGGGAATAATAAGGTGCACTCACACCTGTTAAGATAAATGATAGTTGAACTTTGGTTCCAACTTCCAGGACTGTATCATTATTATTCACTTACCAAATGTATTCATACTTATCAAAATATAACTTATATTGGCTTTTGCCTGAGTATATGATATTTTAGGGATTGTTGGAGATGACATTCAGAGCGGAATTATCATTGCCTAATTGTATACGCAGATCTGACATTGGGAAACAATTTTCCACGTTAATTGTAATTGGTTAAGAGGTGCCTCCTTAAGGGATCTAATACAGAGTCTAGTCAGTGGTTAATTGGTAAGGTGAATTGACGATATTAGCATAAATGTTAGGCAATACACTGACATAATTGGATCCACCTGTTAATTTAGAGAATTTAAAGACTGAGTAGCCTATGGTGATGTTGGGATCGGCACCAGCAAGAAACTAAGAATTCTTAGAACCACTATTGGCTGAGAGGGAGGAGGGGAAGGTTTTCAGTATGCTTTTTTGGAATCCGAAGGTTTCTTGGAAACTCGATTGAGAGGTGGGTTGTATTGAAATTAAGGTGCGATAAGTGCCAATGAAGATATTAATGATTTTGGAGGTTTCATCTATGATGTTTAGATTTTCATCTCTTTCATATTTAAATTATCCACCTGACCATATCACGTCTTGTTTGTCTTCTTGGATCAAGGAGACAGGACTTGAGTAATAGAAGGCTGATGTGAATTTGACTTTCGTATTACCACTCTAAATGATGTGTACTTTGAGTCTGTAATCATTGGTAGGGTCTTCTGGTACACTAGCTTCTGGCAATGGTATGTTGCCGATTTCGATTGTGTATTGCTTAATCAAATTGTTGGCACTGTCTTCAGATAAGATCATTTGGATGTATTGTTCAGTGATGACTGTGCAAGTGGTAGTGAAATTAGTTTTGGTATTATCATCGTCTCTGGTGATTGAACAAGTGGTTGCAGTAGCTCTGCTTAAGGGATCCATATAGAAGGATGGGAATTAAACAAACAAGATATTGCCATTCATGACTGATCCAGAAGGTAATAGCAATGATAGTTTGTGTGTTTGGGATGTTCTAATGTAATAACTACTTAAGGTTGTGTCCACTACTTCGATTGGTTGTGTTTGATATTCATCCTATAAGGTGTCTGTGAGTATCTCTTGCATGTAAACCCCATTAGTGAAATCGTCATCCTTATCGATAGCAATATAGATTGAAGGGAGTATTGGCCAATGTAGTCTGTTTGGTTGTGGTAGAGTGATTCTTAGAATGGCTAATTCAGTTGGTTTTATAACGATGCAAACATTTATGATGTATATTCCATCCTTGAGAGTGCAGTAACAAAACGTTGAGTTTAATTGACATGAGACGTAGGGACTCAATGAAATTCCATCATGAAATTGCAATTTAATCATGTAAGTTAGCAGTACCTTAAGGTCGGCATTGGTGATGGCAAATTCATAAATGGCATCAAATCCAGGACTATTTAAGGTCTTTGATTGCAATAGAATCTAACCTTTTGGAGTGTATGTTATGGTACTCAATTGCGAGTATCCTATAGGTGAACTACTTTGAATGATGGTGGTTCCAACTGAGTCTATCAACTTGCCAATCAGAGATTCAGTTGAAAAGGTGTTCGTTGGAGTTTCAAAGTTTTTGCATTTCATCGTAAATAAGATGCTGTGTGGATTTGTGATGTCTTGATTGAATTTAATGATAATATTAGGCATAGTGGTAGTATCAACAGAGTAAATTAATTTAGATAATTGGAGACCCTCATATATTTAACACTTCAATTTGTTGCTCTCCATATTCTGATCCCTCAGAAATCCGAGTGTTATTTAGATGTATTATTTGGATGAGGATAAATACTCTCTGGCACTCTGTAACTTGAAATCAAAGATCAATTTGCCAACTCCATTTGAGGTTGGTGTCTCCAATCTGAGATTTCCAATATAAAAGATCTTACCCAATTGAGTGTTCTATAAATTCAATAAACTATAAGTGCACAATTCCTACAAAACAGCAGGTGTGTCATATGTGTCACCATAAGGTTATGTCTTACCTCCCCTTATGGTTGGCACATAAATCTACACTTTGAAGGGCTGATTGGTACCAAAGGATGTCAACCCATAAGTAGATTAGATCATGAAGGTTAGTTTTATAACAGTATTGGCTTGAATAACCTAAACCACTGAACTAGTCAATGTCACAGTGATGGTTGTGGCTGTGGATGTGTATGCACAAGCTATGTTATTGACTCCTTCGATAGTGCATAAGTTTGTAGAGGTGACCACATTCACTCCACTTATTGCTAGAGTTAAAGTGATGACAATCTTTATGGATCCAAAATTGGTGCCTCCTAATTTCATTGATGAGCTGAATCTGATTGGAAATTGGAGTCTCTGTTATCCCAAAGAGTTTGCGAATATTTAACTAGTGCTGTCCAATTTACAAGTGTACAATTATCTATCAATTACACCTGAATCTTAGAGAGCAGCTTATAGAATTCCCTTGGAATTGGATAAAGCATACGAAACAAATGAACCTATTTTGCTGTATCTACCATAAAGGATTACAACTTGATTGCTAATTTGAAGAGGGTAATTTATTTGAGTATCGAATGGACAGAATGTTGTGTATATATTAGTATTGTATACAAATTATGTGCATTACAGGTCACCAAAATAGGATTCGATGGTGGCCTCATCAAATAGATTCACATCAATACTAGTCAGTGTCAATCCTGCTCCAATATGTGAATTTTAGTTTTATTCCAAATCCACATTGCTATTTGAACTAGTTGTAATTTCCATATCCAAATATGCTGATCCATCCTAGAATTTGGTTGCATCTATGTGCATATCAAACAAAAAGGGGGTTCTCACAAATGGAAAGGTCAAATCCGATGATTCCACCGTAAAAACACTTGGGGTGTACTTTCTGGTTTCCCCTGAAACTGGCAACCCAAATGGACGATACACTTTTATTGGAATGTTGGTTAAGATTCCATCTATCTGACTTGTCAATCCAATGTGAAGAGTGTAGGTCAACCCTTTAGGAATGATTGGAATCAAGATTTGATTGGACTTATCACATATGATAGATTAATGGAGCATCCATGCCTCTGATGGGCCATTCTAGGCACTGAATTTATAACAATCTGGATAGGATGAGAATAACTGGATTTTTGAATCAAAAAACACTTGCACTTTATCGAATGACACACTCAATTAAGGTACTTTGATTCTTAATAGAGTCGGAATGAAAGAACCATCATTGCCTACTGTAGTACCCATATAATAATTCACAAAACTGACATGCAAATCATTCACTCTACTTATTGTATAAGCATTAATCAAATGCTAACTAATCTTATTTTATCCAGACGAATCAACCTTGTAAAAGTTGACTATAAAGTCTAACAATTATTCATCAGCATATTAAGATGACTGAACGAAATTAGTAGAGAAAGTAACAGGAATACCAATGACACCCTATTGCCCTGGAGTTGAACCAGAAGTTCCAATGAAATTGTTATTCTCATTAATGAAATTGGTGACACATCCTCCCCCACTAATAAATGTAGCAATTCCATAAGCAGTATTTGAAGATGAGTATATTGAATAAGTATTTTGATTTCCAATATCACAATATCCTTTTTGAATACATATAAGCTATTCATCACTGAATACTCCACCACCATCATTAGCTATATATTATAATTTCTTGGGTGCATTCTGTTAATCACTATGCAAAACCATACTGTTCATCATTATTGTCATCTTAATATAATTGGCTGCTGTTGATGGACATGCGACAACAGTTGCATCCCACACTTGAGTACTGGAGGTCTTCATGAAGAATAACAGCATTTTGTCCCCATTCACAATGCCAACAGTGCCATCACTACCGAAAACAGCATCGAGAGTGGTTAAAGTGTCAGTTGGGATAGAAGTGACCTGAGTCTATCCCAAAAGTCCTCCTGATGGATTATGCCATCCAGTCAAGTCCAAGTAATGACTGTCCTAGAGATAGGAGATGGTTATTCCAGGATTCTCTCCATATATATATAAAGTATTAACAGTCACACTCTATTCCAAGTAAAAACTCAACTTACCAAATTCCGAAGCACTTGAAGAAGCATCATACAACGCCTTAGTTGAAACGTAGTACACACTGGATGCAGAGAGTGTTCCCACATTGTGACAAAGGATTGAGTCTGTGACGAATTCACAATAGACAGGATTTTCATCATTGTACGATTGGAAATTGTGTTTGGTGGCATAACTTAAGGCATAGATACAATTGAATTTGATCTTGACTGTCAAGGGGAACACTAGATTTGCTGAAGCTGAGACTGAAAATGACACCTTGATTGAATTGTAAGGTCCTTTCATAACAGCTGCATTTTCCAGTTTAAACACTCCAATTTAGGTGTCAGTGAGGTCTTCTTGAGAATCGATGCCCCACAAAAACTGCACTCCTTCCAATTAGGTGGGTATGGTGGTTACACCGAAGACATTGGATCTGAATCCCTTCTCTATGATTCTGTTTCCTTGAGTTGGAGACTTAGTCACCACTCGTATATCTCTTTGAGACACGAATCCAGGATTCTCTACTCCAAATTGTATTTGCAATTAAGTGTTTGAGATTATGTCGTCTTATGTGATTAATTTGATCGACTTCTCTGTGGTCGTGCAGGTGTAACTGGTAAACTTACTCCAACATGATTTGGAGAGGATCTTGAAATCGGTATCATCGATTCCGTCGGTGTGTTGACCTTGGACGATCTGCAATTCAATCTAAGCTCCTTTGATATTCTCTCTTGGCGTGATGAAGATGGTTATCACGTATTGAGCTCCAGGGTCATCATAATTAGGATAGAGATCTTGATCTACTAGGAATGTGATGGTCATTCCTGAGGGAGGCAATTCGTCAACATTCAAGTGACCAGCTCTATAATTGTAATCATAAATCATTGCGTTATCATCCAAACTGCTTATAGTTCTTAGGATTATTGGTTCATAATAAAACCCACTGTCTACTGATGTTGGATATATCGATAATAAATACCAAATGCCAGCATTCAATTGTACTGACACCTTAAAATAATAGTCTGATGTGAACGACGGCTGAGTTATCAATGAAGCACTGCTTTTCAAAACTAAGACATCATCTAAGGTCGAAACGGTGCAAATAACTTCAGACATCTGAACCATTTATTACCATTATTACCTGAGTCTTATGCAAATCAGCTCCTCCGAATTATAGAAAACCACTGTCAATCGTTGTTTCCAACCTAAACGGAATCGAGATCAGACTCAATTTCCCCTCGATATCATACTCGTAACCGAAATCCCAAGTGGAAATGTACCCTCCCTATACATAGTAAATTAAAAGCAATAAAGTATTAAGCATTATAAAATTATTAATGCAATAACAATTCAATCCTCATTTCTCAATTCATATAATTCCCCGATTGCATACTAAATGCAAAATTAGACTTCATGAATCGGTTAGTCAGGTTAAAATTGGTCACCTGAGGAGATCGCTTTACTTTTTGAAATTCACCATACCTCCTCAACTTGGCTCCTTTGGATATTGCCTCATGGAAAAAGGAATAAACTGAGAACTCAGGTAAAAGCCTCTTTTTACCAAAGAACTTTTGCAGTTTAGCATATCTACTCTATATCACATTCTTACCTCTTAAGGACTTAATCATAATTGTATTTTGGCTGAAAAGATTGAAAAATCTGCATTTTTTCAAATCCCAAAAGTACTTAGTTCACCCACATGGTACTTGAAGGGATGTTATTTTGAGTGAGATTGGTAACTAGAGTTGGATGGCGCTGATTAATTGCTGGTCGTAGAGGTGATGATTCTAAAGATTTGGCGTTATTGCTTTGATTGGTTGGCTATTTGCTATTAATCTCAGATTAGTGAGGATTTCCCATCATTTTCAAATCTATGGAAGCCCTGTAATTTCGAGCATCAGTTGCAGTTCCCTTCTGTGTCATTACTGATCTTCTGGTCTACTTAACATTCATAATATTAGGCTTAGAAGGTGTAGTCTCCAATTGGTTCTTAGACTCGTCAGAGATGTCTTCCTCCTCCGATATCTTTAAGACTAAAATATCTTCAATTCACATTAGTACTTTTCTTCTTCTAATTAGGCTTGTTTCCAAAGCCTGCTATTGAGAATGTTTATAGAGCTGACTTGCTTAAATTATTCTTGAAGCTGATCATAGATTATTGTTGATGCTATTATTGATCATCCTCTTTGATGCTGGCTGCCGATGGTTTGATGTCATCAAGAGATGCTATGATTTGGTCTAGTGATATCAACATGATTGGTTACTTTGTCCTATTTCCATATCTTCGAATATATCATGCATGACTAAAGTGGGAGAGTCAAAATCTTAAGTCATTGTGAAACTAACATCATTAGTATATTTGGCAGCCTTGGTCTGAATCGTACTTAGATTGATTCTGGCATTATATTTCTGAGTGAATCTGTGTTGTCTATTTCTCCTCTCTTGTTGGATCGGAAAGGTCTCCTATTTAATTACTCTGTCCTTATCAACACAATAGTGCACATAGTTACAATCCACAATCATGTGTCGTTTACTCTAACACCCGAAGCACTATTATTATAAGGGGCTGTAATCTCCAAAACGCAAGGATTCTCTTATAGAAACGTATTTCTCTTAATCATTAGGATGATGTTTTAGGAGTTCCAGAAAGACTTGTCTTTTTATTTTGAACACTCTAGTGAAACCTCTTGAGATAGCAGTTGCTGTTCTTGGGTTTCCTGAGAAAAACGAGAATTCACCAAAACTATCATATTGGGTGTAATTCTTAAAGGTGTTTCGTTTTACCTTGTCTTTCATCTCTGCTCCTTCGAAGATCAACTCCACATCTCCTTTTGTGATTATATATAAGGCAGAGTCATCCAACTCATTTACCTAAAGGTTATTTCAGACTTGATACAGATATGATGCGTTCGTCTGGAGAATAGGATTGCTCCTCCATCAATTGTAAAAGATTCTTGATCAGGGACTCCGAGAAGGTGTCCACCATGATCTTACATTTCCTTAAGATATTGCCTCTTAATTGAAATTGCAATTCCTCTTATAATTGCTTACTTAGCTTACTGATCACATCACCCACTTGATCATCATTCTATTCCTACTCTTCCTTCCATATATATTCCAAATAGCTCCTTATTTTAGTCTACAAATCAAACTCAATCTTGTTCTTAACCATAAACTTATTTATTAGACTCACCGTCTTGCTATATTCTTATGAATTTTTGTAGATGTTGGTAACTAAGATACCGATGCTATTGACAGAGTAGGCAAAGACGATAGATCCAATGAACATAGTAAGATTATTAACCAACAATTCCAAATCATTCTTGGCTGTAATGTCTCCATAGCCAACTGTAGTCATGGTCATTGTTGCCCAGTAGATGGCTACATTATACTTTGAACCTATCTGTCTATCCCTATAATTGTAGGCGTCCAGCCAAGTAAAGGAGGGGTTGAAATGGGCGATGCCATGCCACAGACACCCAAAGTTATGAACCACACTGACGATCACGAGGAGTACCTTCATCAAGTTCACGAGGTCATTCATTAATTCGCTCAGGTTAAAAAATCTTCATATCAATATATCTTTTAAATTACTCTTATAATTGGGCCAACATATTGTTGATTTTGGTCACTCTCAACACGTAGAAGATCAGACAAAAGCCTACCTACAACATCACCATTTCAAATGATTTTGAACTCAAATGGGGCACAAAAAACTAAATTGTTGCAGTTCCAAAAGACACCACGAAAATAATTTATGAATTTATACTAAGTCGACGAATGCATTCTTCTAAAAGTAATTCAATATTACTTTTTGCCTGTCCTTGATCAATTGTCCTTTGTCGATGAATGCAATGTTCATCCCAACTGCTATGTCCAATGCCAAAATGGCCATCAAAATAATCTCAACAGTTAGACTGTCTTATTCAGTATATAATTAACTAAGATGATAAATTTCAAATGAGATCTTGAATGGCAGCCAGAAAAAAATCACCAAATACGTGATTATTTAAAATAGATTCCAAAATATTAGGAATTTGCTATGCGGTGTAAATACATTGATGAATCCAAATATCTATTAATTCTTGTTTACCTCCGTTTTTTCAATCGAGAATTGGAGATCATCCAATTGAGATATTTGATATTATGTCAATTAATGTAATTATCTTACGTACGAGCGATTGATTAGGTTTTTTATGAAATTATTTTATATGCTTTTCGCCACAATCAGCTTCATAAAATTCGGCTTCACATTGACAGGGCATTCAATCTCAATGCTGGCCGATAGCACATTCAATTTCTTATGCAGATTTGACTACGAACTAAGGAACAGCCGAGGGGATTGGGCATTCAAACTACTTGAACTTTAAGGTTGAAGATCTCCATCTTATAGGCCTATTCTACTGCTCAGAAGGAATGGAATTGGGCCCTTGAAATCGCCTTCGAGGGAGTGCTGAGACATATCAATTTAAAAATGGCAAATATATTAGAAAATTTATAGACAAATTGGAACTAGTTATAAAAAGAAATAAATAACATTTAATGATAATATAAAAATATATGTTAATATTATTTTTGTTCACCTTATGTTATGCTGGTACGATTTGGCCAGGCTTTATTAGTAACACAATTGCAAATCGAAATCAGTATTCTGATTATACAATCTAAGTGATTCCTGAGACTAATGTTCCTGCAGGTGGTTATATTGAAATTGTATTCCCAATCCAATATTAATCAGGATTGGGAGAGAAGGCCTATTGCACTAATTGCACTATAAGCGGACACACGATTTCCTTTTATTTTGCCGATACTCCGATTTTGAGTGTAGCCAACACACTCTACATATACAACATTCTAAATCCTGCAGAAAGAGGAGGAACTGGTAATTTTATAATCAGAACAAAAAGATTTGAATTCATATACGACGAAAACCTCATATTCCAAACCATCGGCATAGCTGATGACATCGCCTAATTGAGTTCATGCATTGTTTCATTTGTCGACTCCCCCACTTCGGGTAGTTTGGGTAAATACAACTTCGCCTTCAAAACCAACATCAACTTGCCCTTGGGCACCACCATCCAACTATTCATCCCCAACGTATTCATAATCTCAGACAACCCCTCCTGTTCACTCTACTCAATCAATGATCTTGTGATTGAGGGAAACGTCGTCTGCAAATTATTGGACGGGAGTCGAGTGCAAGTGAGTGGCTTTTCGAATGATATCACCTCAGGCAGTGAAGTGGGAATTCAAATATCACTCACTAACCCCTCCTACTCCTAAGTGACTTCAGCCTTCACCATCGCAGCTTACAGATATGGAACCTCCATCATCTACACTTGGAAGACGGGCATCAATGGCATTCAGATATTGCCTGGTCTAATCAAAGACATATCCCTCTTGCCCTTGTAGAAAGTCAGACTGGCTACAGACAAAATAGTTGATTATCAATTGAAATTCCTCCCAACCAATTCATTGCCAGCAGGCTCAGCAATCATGATCAAATTCCCAAACACCTTTACATTAGAAACAGGCGAACCCTACTTATTTTTCAAATCTGGTTTGGAAGACATTTCTGAGAGCAGTCCTTTGCAAATAACCGCTTTAGGTCTAGGCACTGACATTTTGATATCAAATTATAAGCCCACACTTCCAAATCAAATCATAATTTAATTCAGAGCGAGGAATCCCTCAACTGCAGGTCCCTCTTCTGCTTTGGACATTCGAACTTGCACTGATAACACCTGTGCTAACATCATTGATTAAAATAAAGTGGATGCCATAATCTAAGTGGAATTTGTGGGTATAAATGAAAATCAATTCTAGCTTCCCTTCCCTTTGCATAAGTAGCATTGTCTCCATCCACATCCCAACAAACTCCCACTGACATCACATTCACTATAATTCCTACATTTGTGATTCCTGGAGGAGCCTACATCAAAGTGCTCCTAGACTCTGCATTCTATGTAGGCACTGTTTCAGCAGCCAATTGCCTCTCCTCACTAATGATACCATCAATAATGTGCAATAAATCCGACAACCTCATCACATGGCAAAACCCAGCCTCCGTTCAATACAACGTCAATCTTGCACAAAACTTTTACATTAACAATTTAGTCCAAACTCCCACCTACTCAGGAACCTACACTGTGGATATAGAAATATACAATTCATAGGGAACTTTACTCTAATCGTATACCAATTTTATGGTTGTGGGTCCTTAGGTTCTTGCATCTCCCACTTTGGAGTTCGTAGGTCCCGAACAATCAGTAGTTGGCACTCCGAATATACCTAGATACAGCATCTTGATAACGACATTCTACAATTAAATAGTCATCCCAGAGGGTGGGTACGATTCAACCAAATAAAAAGCTCAAGGGAGAATTAAGTTTCAATTTCCAGCCAACTCGAACTATCTCAACAATTTTATAGGCACTGTCTACAAGGATGGTGATTAAATACCTTGCAAGGCTGTAAAGGGCTTATTGCCAATGGAAAACCTGAAGATCTAATGCAATATCTATTATAATGCTGGTGGAGCCTTCATTATCATGAGGAACTTTAAGGAAATCCCTTATCGGAGCAATATTGAAATCCATATACCTAATATTTAAAATCCTGCAGCTGCAACTGCTGGGTTTACGTTCACTATTCTACAGAAGCAATTTGGAGTTGACACAGACTTAAACTATTTCACAATAACATAGACTTTCAGAACTCAATTTAGTTTAAATCCAGGAGTGTCAGTAAGTTAAATGCAAATAAGTAATACAAAACTATCAGGAGTGTTCAATGTCTCCATGGATATAGTGCCAGGTAATGATTTCGATGATGGAACTGATTTCATAGTGAAATTGCCTGGCTATGATACTATGTTCATTCCTGATGAGGAGATTGTTGTTTGTTACATTGATAACTATTTGACTCCATGCGTTACCTACCCTGGTGTTGATTGGATATTAATGAGAATCAAGTCACCTCAAGTTCATTACTACACAGCCCCAGTAAAACCAAAATTGCATATCTACAATCTTAGATGGCCACGCTATTCTGACTCTGTTGGATGGGTTCTATGGACCATGTTGAAGGATCCTTTCAGTTCTGGCATGAATTACGAAGTTGAAGCCAGAACCCTCTATTACAATGGAGGTACCGACAAATTTCCAGCTCCTGATGTTAACGATTTTGATGAAGCCTAGATTTTATCACCCAAAAAGGGAAAGGGATTTGTGGGTCTGAATTTCGAATTCTACTTTAAAACCAAATATTTGATTCCTGATGGAAGTGAGTTCATATTAACTTTTCCTATCGATTTTAGTTTGGATGGTTCTTATCCCTAACCACAATTCTAGGCTCCTTAATTTTATTCACAAAGCGACTCCAAACCATTATTATTCGTAGTATCTGGAAATGTACTTAGAGTCAAGAACATTCATGAACATCCTGCCAGTGGGCCTTTCAGAATCATAGTACAAGGAGTCAAGTCTAGTAAGCAGCCATCCATTCCCTAAGCTAAACCATTTCTGGCTGAATTGCAAGTGGGTGGCAAATCAATAGTCAAGACCTAAGATACGATCAATGGATTCGATTATTTTGATTATGGAACTGATTTCGTTCCAGGCAAAGTAATATTCAACTCTATAACTGCCTTCCCATCAAATTAATTGGAATATGCAAGCTACGAATTCACATTCATTTTAACAAACGAATTGCTGGCAGGAGGAGAAATTTCGATAACATTCCCCAAAGAATTTTATCCCAAACTTCCAATTCCTGAAGTAGATTGCAGATGCAATGTAACAGGAGCTTTGACATCATTTAAAAGTTGCAAATTGTGGGATTACACATACATAATGATAACAGATGAGAGATATCAGAGTGGTGAAATTACATTTTAAATCAACAATGTATTGAATCCATTGTCTGGGAATGCTGGACTATTCACAATAACTAGCAAATATGATGGCACATTCTTAGATATATCCGATGATACCTTATAGACTGTTAGATAACTCTTCATCTCTCCTAAGTCTGAGCCAGTCTTAGTTCAAAGCATAGACTTTGCCCCTAGAAATGAAGGTGAAGAAGCCACGTACACCTTTTAATTTGTTCCGTCGACCTACATAGATTCTGCCTTCATTGTGTTGGAATTCCCTTAAAACTATGACACTCGATTGGGAAACACTGTGATTTGTAAGCCATATGATTGCATAGCTCAAAATCGATAAATTTGGGTGAGTGGAGTCACCAATTATCTACCTTTAGGAACAGATCCAATCATTGTGATTGTTTCAGGCATTGTCAATCCCAACTAAAATGTTAACGATCAATGGACTGGCTACTTCGGAATTGGTGTCATCAAATAGAACACCTACAATTACATAGATTATAACTCTAAGGCTGGTAGACTCTAAGTTGTGTAAGCCCCAGGATGGTCCTATCTGTATAATGTCCTCCCTCAGAACCTATATTCAAGATGGAGCAATACATCATACATGTTCAATATGACCGCTTTGTTGTATGTGCCCAAGGAAAGCAGTTAAGGAAGCATCATCATTGATTTCCCTAAACAGTTTGATATTCCTGATGGTTCTAAAAAATGTGCAGTACATAAGTCTACATTCGCATAGAAATTGACATGTACTTCTTTGACGAATAGCATCACAATACAGGGAAATACAGAAGACAAGAATGGTATCATTACATTCAATGTCACTGACATTGCAAATCCTTCTGATGAAGTCACCATTGATTAAATTTTGGTGAAAACATACGATGGATTCAAGAAGTAGATTATTGAAAAATCATACAAAAATCTGGATCCATGGACCTTTACTTACAAATTCCCAGGACCTTTGATTACCATCAATGACGACAGTGTGATTACTGTTGAAAGGGGAACTCAAACAAAAGATTTATGGTTTAAAGTTGCCTATCCTTGTGCTTTGGATTTAGTATTCACTCCAATCAGCGAGTTAACAATTGTTCCAAACAAGATCAAACTATCATTAACAGATATACAACAGAAATTTAGAGTATCTGCATCTCAAACTCTACAGCCAGGAACATATTACATAACTTGGAAAGTAAGTGGAGAACTAGCTGATGTCCCGTACTATACTCCAGTTAAAAAAAGTACAGTAAAGGTGACGAACAACAAAAATATTAGAGTGAATGTACCTACTCTAAATGAAGTGCCAATTGGCGGTAATTCACTTGACACCTATGTATCAGTAGACTATGCTCCTGATTTAGGCTTTGAGATTTTATTAACCTCTTTGAGCACAGCCTTAACCTTGGATAAGAGGAGTATGCAATTTGTAGCTGGTCAAAATAATGCCACTTTCAGGGTGAGTTGTAATAAAACTGAGTATCAAAAGGTATCAAGTAATAATCTCCAAATCTCATTGACATTAAGTGGGATTAATAAGGAGGTCTATTTGTTGACCTAAACTCGGATTGACATCACTATTATCTAAGAGGATTCAGAGCCTCCATTTATCACTGGATTGTTGAATGATCAAACTAGTTAAACTTAGACTAATATAATATTTAGTGTTGGGGAAATTGCCGTCGTGTACTATATGATTGCACTCTAAGGAACATAGCAACCATCCAACAAATAATTGCTTGATTTAGGTCCTGCATTGTATAATACTACTCAATCTCAATTTGGAAAGGTTTCGATTGGCAAAACCAACACAGCTACTGTAAGAATAAGGAATCTAAGAGCACAAACCAATTATGTAGTGTATGCCATAGCTGAGGATAGAAGTTCCTTGTTTAGCGATATCAAATCCCTCAAGTTTAATACTACCAATAGATTCAATGCCAGTAGTGTCACACTTACCTTCAAATAGAGTTACTTAAATTAAGCCGAAAGGCAGAACATCATGAAGAAAATAGCTTTTGTGTTGTCCATGCCTCCTGCCAAAGTCATAGAGAAAACAACTTACACTACTTAAAGACTATTGTAATCTGTCTCAATTGGATTATCCATTTATTTGATCAGCATCCCAACTACTGAAAACTTCCCTTCACCTTATAACATGGTCGCAATCCTTAACTCAAGATTAACCCAACTATCAAAACTAGTATCTAATCTTGATACCACAACCAAATTAGTGCCATAGGACTTTTCACCTGTTTATCCATCCTTTATGACCAAACCTTCTTAAGTTAGTTCTGATTTCACTACCTGCACTGTCCAAGGCACTCTTGATATGGTTGGGGCACTATTTGTCATTTCTGTCTAGGCCGCTTAGGATACTGCTTCTCCCTTGGCTTAATAAGTATGGTGGGGATATAATAGTTAAAATCTAGTTATGCCAGCCAATTGGGCTCAAGTAACCGTTCCAAATCAAGCCTATCAAATCATAATCGAGAACCTCACTTTAGACACTGATTACAATGTGTAAGTTATTGTATGTTTTATAAGGTAGTTATATGATTGCAGGTTCAGCACACCCTGGCTACCCAGACCTATCAACAGAAGAGAAGGCTGTGAATTTGGTTTCATGTAGAACCAAAGCTTAACAACCAGATACTATCTTGGATATCAATTGGGCTAAATTATTGATCATGAACATTTTAGTATTAATTACATTTTGATCACAAAATACTTAATTATATTCAATTTACCTCAATTGTATATTTAAATAATTACAGTTTTTTCTTATATAAAAAGCTCAAAAAATACTATCATAAATTTTATATTCAAGTCATTTCGATATAGATAATAGATGGAAGATGATGAAAAACAATATGCAACTATAATCCCCATTATTTCAATATAAGATATAAAAATCAAGCTTAAAAAAGTAATTGAATGAATAATTAATTATTGGTTTTTCAATTTAAAAAAGTGATTCTAAATTGCATTTTAATTAATTTCTTAAATTTTTGAAGTTTAATAAAATTATCTTAACAGTTCTGATTCTAATATCAGGCATTCCAATGAAAGATTAACGCTGAATTGTATCTAGATTAAACTTTAAATAAGTTGTGTGTAAGATAGTAACATTATAAATAATCTACAATTGAAGAATACAATAATTACTAGATTTCCACGCCTTAACGCAATTCGGACCCATTAACTTTTTTTTTGCCCGAGATATAATGTAATACCTATAAAATTTAAAGGGTAGAGTGAGCAGAATGATCTAGGATTGAAAATCACTTATTAATTCAAACGGTTATTTGAGATCTAAATTAAGTGCTTAAGGAATCTAATTGGAGAAGTATAATTTAGATTTTGTGAGTATGATAGGAATTGTCAAAAGGTTAAGACAAATATAATTAATGAAGATGTAAGGTAAGGCTGGTAGGATAATTTTAAATGAAACCCTATATATAGATATAATTGATTATACTACAATTTATGTTGTTAATTCTCTTTTTCTTATAAAATTAAAACACATTATAGATGAATTTACCAAAAATTTCATTTTTTGATGATCCTAAATCCTAATTGTGGATCAAGGAGGTTATTTAGATGTCGGATCCGATAATCAGTGGGACTTTGATAAGAAACTCAAAGAAAGGGACTTAGAAGGAGATCAACTACTTTGTATAGGATGGAAAGTTAGCGAACAACAAGAAATTCATAGATCTTTAGAATGTGACATTGGATAAACTGAAGAATTACGGTTTCAAGTTGACCAGGAATCGGAAATCAGTAGAGTTGTTTGCCCACAATGAATAAGCACAAGTAGTGTGGTATGATTATCTGAAATCGTTTTGCATTTAAAGAGGGTTTAACAATGTGTACACAATAAACAAGCTGATAGGCAAGGGCAATTTCGCAAAGGTAATAAGTAAAGTGATATTTAAAAAGGTGTATAGTGCATAAAAAAAGAGTGATCAATCATAGTACGCTGTTAAGGCATTTGACAAGCTGAAATTTCAAGACATCCGAATCGATAAGGTAGAAATGAAGATTAACATATTATAAGCCTGCATTAATAAAGGAGTTATCCATAATGAGAAAGATGGATTTTCGAGGAGTGATCAAATTGTACGAGGTTTACGAAAATGACAATTACATTTTTTTGGTTTGTGAATTATTGGAAGGAGGAGAACTCTTCAATTAGATGAAGGGCAAAGCCTACGACGAAAAGACGGTGGCCAACATCATGTACAGAATCCTGCAATCCATTGATTACATCCATTCTATTGGGGTGTTGCACAGAGACATTAAAGTATGCAATGAATGTAAGACTAGCCTGAAAACCTCATCCTCCGATCTAAAGGAGACATGACCGACGTTGTGATAGCAGACTTCGGTCTAGCTGATTATTACAGTCCCTCTGGTGATTACATGTTCAAGCGTTGCGGTACTCCAGGATATGTTGCCCCAGAATTATTGCAAGATAAGATCTATGATTTCAAAGTGGACATCTTTAGTGCGGGAGTACTTATGTTCATCATGTTGACTGGTGCCTCTCCTTTTAAAGCCAAATCTTATGATGAGATTGTGATGAAGAACTACCATTGTCAGATCGAGTATAGTTTAATCAACAATCATCCTCTCAGCGAAGAGGCTATTCATTTGTTGAGAGCATTGCTTGAAAAGAATCCTGATCTCAGGATAAGCACAGAGTTGGCTCTTTAACATCAATGGTTTCAGAAGTAGGCCGACTATCAGTTGCATCTGTATTTATCGTTGTTCTCATAGGCTTTTAAAAGGGAAGAGAACCTACCTAGACACAAAAGAAATTCAGATCTGTATGCCAGAACTCCACTTATGGGTTAGGAACTCAACCAATCATTGACATCCACTCCTTTGAGTGTGACACCTTAAATGAGGAGCAAATCAAATACTGCTGACATAAACCGAGAAGACCAGAGTGGAAATACATTCAGATAACAGAGTTAGTCAGTCAAGGTTTAGAAACAAGAATGCATCTTAGAAGAGAATGATTATAATGTAAATGAAGAAGACGATATCCCTCGTAGTAATCAAATTAAGATGTATTAGATCTAACCAAAATTAAAAAAAAGTAGTCATTTTATAAATAACATTCATAGATTAAGAAGAGCAATAGAAGTACAATGTTGATAATGCAAATAACATTCGTGGGTCACTTAAATAAGCTTTTTGAATAATATATTAAATTTAAATAATTTTGTTATTCTTATATTGTTTTCTTCCAAAGAGCAATTACTTTTTAGGTTTATAATATTTACAAAATGTAGGATCCCATCATAATGGAATTCCAAAATTCACTATTTTCTCTGATCTCTTCAATCGAATCATCTACCCAGCATGGTAAGCAAATCGAATCCCCCCATCATACTTACAATCTACTTATACAAGATTAATGAAGATAATAATAATATCGAATGGAGATTGAATTATAAACTACTTAATTTAAAGGATCATTATATTTAAATTAATACCAATCATAAAGTGCATAAATTATTAAGGTTTACAATACTTCGTCTAGAATAGACTTATGAACCAAACTTAATCTAGAAGATGGGTGATTTGGTCATTGGGATTTAATAACTTCATTTAATTAAAGTAAAAATAATATCTAGAATATTCTTTGTTAACTACTTATATAATACACGAATTACAATTAAAATATATTTAGAGATGAAATATTTCTTTTTGTTAGCTCTTGTTCTTGTTGTATTGTCAAGAGAATAAATTGAGGAAGTCGATGGGGTCCTACAACTTACAAGAAAAAATTTCTAATAAGCTGTTGACGAGAATTCAAGATTGCTAGTTAAATTCTATATTGACACTTGTGGATATTGGTATTCTTGTTTACTTAATATTAAATAGCAAAAAGATGAAGCCTGTCTTCATTCAATTGGCGGGATTGTTGAAAGAATATGGATTTGTTTTGGGTGAAGTGAATGTTCATGAAAATAAAGCACTTAGCGCCAAAAATAATATTAAGTCATACCCAACACTCAAACTTTTCAAAAATGGTGTTGTTTAGGACTTTCCTAATTCATCAGATTCAGTTGAATTGCTATTTGAGTTTGCTCTCTAAAATGCTTACGATTAAATTACTAAATTAAATACTCAGGATGAAGTACTTCAATATTCAATATGCTTAGATTGACCTCTTCTTGAAAAGAACCAATTTTGCAGTTCTCAAGTATGTGAATAACAATGATGATTTATAAGAATTGGTAAATGAAAATCTAGGAATCAAATTTGGTATTGTTGAGAATCCAGAACTCCAACAAGCCCATCCTTCCAAATACACTTTGTATCATAAGGAATTACCAGAACCACTTAATTACAATGGCGAAATCAATGGATTATTAGAATGGATTTTAAAGAATGGTTATCCTGAAGTTATCACATTAACAGAGGAAGAATTTGTTAAAGCAGAAAGAGAAAAAATTTCCTTGATTGCAGTGGCTGATGTTAAAAATAGTCAGATACATGAACATTTTAAAACCTTGACAAAATAGTATAAAAACTAAATTCGTTTTGTCCTTATTGATCCAAATTCAAAACTCCCTAACAAAAGATTCCAGTATTTGATCAAAAAGAAAGCAGTTGCTAAGAATGCTATTTATTTTTACAATTACGAGTATTTCATTATTCTAAAATAGGACTAACAAAACAAATACCATTGAATTAGTAGGGGATTCATTAGAAACATTAAAAAAGTTGATCGGAACTGTGATTATTGAATCATCAATTTAATAAGAAGCTAAACCTGTTGATTCTGGTGCCTTTTTCTAAGGAGATGGACAAGTCCATGTTTTAACCACAGCAAATTTCAAACATTAAGTGTATGATAATCCAAATCATGTGTTTGTTAAAATTTACGCTCCATGGTGCGGTCATTGCAAGAAGTTAGCACCTGCCTATGAAGAATTAGCTTAATAATTGAATAGAAAGGATATAGTGATTGCTGAAGTTGATTTTACTGCAGATAGAATTGAAGGCATTGAGATTGAAGGTTATCCAACTTTACTCTTTTTCAAGACTGAAGGGGGCTAAAAGAAAAAGATAGAATTTAGTGGAGAGAGAACAGCTGAAGGGATGAAAAATTTCATATTGAAATCCTTAGACTCTGATTCTAAGTCTGAACCCGAGAGTTAATTAACTGAGGAATCTTAGGACGTGTAGGAAATTGATAGAGTTGATATTCCTAATGAGGGATAAGTGATTTAATTGACAAGAGAAAATTTTGAACATTTTGTATTGAGAAGCAAATAGGATGTTTTCGTGAAATTTTATGCTCCTTGGTGTGGACACTGTAAGGCTATGGCAGCAGATTATGTCAAATTAGCAGAAGAATACAAGGATAGCAAAAATGTGTTGATTGCTGAAATCGATGCCACAGCTTATAAAATACCAATTGTTGAGGTCAAAGGATTCCCCACTTTGGTGCTATTCAAAAAGGGAAATGTAAGAGTAAAACAAGTTAAATTCAGTGGTAAGAGAAGTGCTTAAGGGATGAAAACATTTATAGAAGAAAATGGAAGTTTTGCTTAAAAGAAGGATTTATGATTCATAAATTTATTATATTATGAGAGTTAAGTTATTGTAGTGACGTACATATTTCTATTAAAAATTGAAGAGATTTGACTCTCCTAAGAAATCATTAAATATTTTATATTTTTTTTATCAATCTCCCTTTCCACGGTTTCTGCTAGATCTCTTTGACAGTTATTTATTTACCCTCGTAATCCATTTGTTTAGTTGTTAAATATTATCCTTGATAAGCACTACATTAAAGAATCTCCTCTGGTTTAACGAATACTCTAATGGGTTTTTAGTTCTTCTAAATGAAGGATTCTTAGTAGATAGAACGCAATTGATTTGGATATATTTTTGCAAAGGTTTAGCTATTGAATATATGGTAGTTGTACTGAAATTATTTTTACTTGATGTCGTCAGCCGTTGGCTAGTTCTCGTCTTTGACCTTCCAAATGAATTGATTTCTATAATTAGTTCTTGTCATTAGATTTGCTTTGACAGTGGTTCGAAATTGCGGAGCCTTAAAAATATTGGTATTATAGTCCTTCCAATTGATGAATGTGAGCAAGACTATTGAATGAAAATTCGTACATTGTTAGTAGTTTGTCCAGTGGGTAAATTGTGAGATTCATACATAGACTTGGCAGCTGTTCTTGGTCGATCTGATGGTATCCATTTGTAATTATCTCTCTATGTAGAATTGAATTACATGGATGCAACTGGCAAGCCGATATTGTCATAATGAGACTACGTTATGATTGGAGTAAAGCATTTATTTTATTTGGGTACATAATCGAACCTATTAGAAGTGACCATGCCATATGCATAGTTCAATTCTAGTTTCTTTTTGTATTGACAGATGCATTTGTTGCAGGTGCATTTAGCACAGGCACATTAAGCAAAGATATGGCAGAGATACGACTGATTGTCTTCTACATATTGTTCGATGTCTGGGATGTCCTTTAAGTCTTCCTTGAAGATCTGTTTGAACTTCTACTCATCGCAGTAATCCAGCCAATCGAAATCGATTTCAAAGCAAAGAGGTTGAGTAGTCGTTGAAGATTAATGTGATACAGCGGATTTGGGTGGAGCTGCAATATCCAAGTTGCTCAAGTTTAACTTATCTATGAAGGTGTTTTTTAATTGTTCTGGCATCTTATTTGGTTTTATTATTCCTCCGTCTTTCTTGCTCTTGTAACATTTCTTTAATTGAGGTTTTTGTAACAGACTAGTTGCTCTGTTTCGTAGTTCCTTTTCATTTAGCACATCGCTAAACCCAGACGACTTGGTCATCCTAGCTTGTTCTATTTCTCTTCCAATCGATACATATGTAGATTTTTTTGACATTTTTTATTATTAATTATTTCCACCTTAATGAACAACAACATGAACCAATTTTGCAGAGTTAATTGGCCCAAAGGGCTCAAATCATTCAAATCAAAGTCCATTCGTTTAAGTTAGGAAGTAGTCTCCTATCTCAAAGAGGATGGCATACTCTTAAATGATGTCTGGAAAAGGCCACCACTATAGGATAATGGAACAAAGCGTTTTCCTGAATTGGAATAGCTGGTTAATGAAATCTTGGATGACTTCGAAAGTGTATTCATTAAGTTGAATTGGAGGGCTCCTCTTGATTGTTAGAACACTTTTTAAGATATGTGCTTTTAAGATTTGTATGATATCATGATGGCTCTTAAATATTCCGGAGTGATCATGGAAATGATTGAGGATTATGATGAATAAGTCATCGATCAAAATCATCCAGAGAAATGCTAATTAGTTGCATAACCATCCCAAGGATATTTATTGGAATTAAAAAAATACTATAAATTGAGACCGAATGCAGAATTCAGATGCTTTGTTAAGAATAAAAAATTGATAGGCATCTCCTAAAAAAATCTGTACTTGATTACTGAAGACGAGAGTGTCAAAGACAAAATATAAAATTATTTCAATAAGATAGTTGATTTGATTGAAATTGACAATTATGTCTTAGATGTTTATATTGACATCCCACCAAAAGAAAATATCATTCTGGTCGATTTGAATCCCTGGTAAGAACACACCAGACCGAAATTGTTCACCTATGAAGAGTTGGATATATTTTAAGAATGCCAATTACGATTAGTTAAGAATAAAGATATGATAGTTTAAGAAGATTACAGTGGATATAGAGAATCTGTAGACATAGAGACTCTAATTTAATAGCAATAGTAGGAAAAACAACAATTATAATAATAATGAGTTTGAAATAATTTATATATTTTTGTACAATACAAAATTAGACGATCATCATTCGGAATATAACCATCCTGTTTTGCAAAATGTTTCAGCAAGAACTAGTGACAAAATAGCCATCAGCTTAATAAGAATGTTCAATGATGGTCCTGATGTATCTTTAAGGGGATCACCAACAGTATCACCTAATTGTTTAGTCATTTAAATTACCAATAACAGCAGCCTTATGTTCATCTGATCCCTTCTTCTTCACTTCTCCTGCATCGTTCTTATAGAATCCAGCTTCGATGTATTTCTTAGCATTATCCCATGCTCCTCCTGTGTTTGATGCTGAAATGGCCATCTAAACTCCACTGATCAAAGCTCCTGGTAAGAGACCAGCAACTGCCTGAGGTCCGAAGAATAATCCAACAGCTGTGGGAGTCACAATAACCTAATTCTAGAACAATTTAAATACCAATAGACCTGGTGGAATCATCTCCTTTAATGAAGCCTTGGTTGAGATAGCAATGCATGCTCTGAAATCTGGTTCTTCTGTTCCGGCATAAATTCCTGGATGCTCGTGTAATTACCTTCTCACTTCCTCGACCATCTATAAGGCAGCCTTTCCGACTGACTTCATTGTGAAGGCAGAGAATGCATATGGTAACATCGCACCAATCAACAACATGGCAAAGATTATTGGGTCATCAATCTTGGCTCCTTCAGAGTAAGGATATTCACCATCCTTGTTTTTGTATGTTTAGATTCTAGTCAAATAACCTCCATAAAGTGACAATGAGACTAATGCAGCAGATCCAATAGCGAATCCTTTTCCAATGGCAGCAGTTGTATTACCAGCTGCATCTAAAGCATCAGTTGATGTTCTAACGTCTTCTCCCAATTCACTCATTTCTGCAATACCTCCTGCATTATCAGAAATTGGTCCATAAGCATCAATTGCCAATCCGATAGTCAAATTGGATAACATTCCTAGAGCGGCTAAGGCAACTCCATAGAAAGATAACAATTTCATAGACAACAATGCTGTGACGGCTATGGAAATGATTGGAACAATGGTAGATAAATAACCCAAGGCTAATCCGTAAATGATATTAGTAGCTGCTCCTGTTCCGCATGCTTTAGCGACTTCTCTTACTGGAGTATATGAATGTGATGTCATATATTCGGTGAAGTAACCAATCAACAATCCTGACCACACTGAAGAAATAATTGAATTAATTACATCCCATCAAAGAGCAAACAAATGCGTGCCATGGTTTAAGATTTTCCAATTAGGTTGTTCCATCTGCCTAAATCATTACGTAATCTGCTGGTAAAGCCCAATAAGAAATGCCGATAATGATTGGTGACAAGGCAACAGTTGATAATAAGAGTTATTATTTGAGAGTTGATTCAATCTTATGAATATCAGTGACTTTCTGAATGAATACTGCATATCCAGAGACCAAAATGCATATTCCAATACCAAAAGCAGATACCATCAATGGATACATCAATTATCCTATGGAAATATTAAGAACTCCTTCATCAATAGCTCTAAGTTAAGTTGATGAAACGACCAAAGCAGCACAAGTTGATTCTGCAAATGATCCGAATAAGTCTGCTCCCATACCTGCAATATCTCCTACATTATCTCCCACATTATCTGCAATGGTGGCTGGATTCTACCGATATTTTATTATTATACCTTTGGACTGTCTTCTGGTAAATTCTTTTCGACTTTTCCTACTAAATCAGCTCCGACGTCAGCAGCTTTGGTGTAGATACCTCCACCAACTCTACCAAATAATGCAAATGTTGATCCTCCTAATCCATAAGCAGCCACATAATCAAACATTGAAATCAAGGTATCAAGATCTCCTTCCTCAACCAATACGGAATTATAGATGATGATGATTAGAGAGAGAATTGACAATGAAATTGACACTAAGAGGAATCCCATGACGCATCCACCTCTGTAGGCCATCTAAATTATTTTGTGTCAATATATACCTAAAAGGCATCTGATAAGGATCTAATGGCACAAAATGCTGTTCTGAAATTTGCTGCTGTTGCTATAGCCATACCCAAATAGCCACAAAGCATAGATGTAGCTGCTCCCAAAACGAAGGCCAATGTGGACCAGGGTGAAACAAACTAAAATATTACACTAATATATATACAATCAAGGCCACAGCCATTATTGCTATAAACACACTGCAATCTGTGTACTCCTCTTTCAAAAAGGCTTGGGCACCCTTATAATTAAATTACAATTGTTACTTCAGAAATATGTTCTCCAATTTCCAATAGTGTTTCGATTTTCTCTTATTCTGCTCCCTATAATTTTTCTGTCAATCCTTCATGTTTGTGATGAATTTCTATTTTATGAACTGCTATCCAATTGAAAATGGCCCATGCAATTCCACAACCGCAGGCTATAAAAATCAAAACGAGTGCTGTTACAAACTCCATTAATAATTTAATGTTTAAAAATAAAATCTTGAAATTGCGCAAGAATAAATACAAAAAATTTTTCACTAAATCCTCATAGTGCGTAATAGTTTAATTAATTTAGTGTATTATTTGATTTTATTTAATTATCCTTCAATACTTATTAACCCATTAATAAACCAAAAATTAATATGAAAATGTATACTTTTGATTTACTCAAATAATAATTCGGATATAATTATTTAAAGAAATTTTATAACTCCTAATAATTAATAATTAATCGAATATTTAACTTCTGTTGCATGCTCAATCAAGTTCTTTAAGTTATTGGATTACAAAAAAATGAGGAGTAATAAATGGAGGCTATATATGACGATTTTCAAAGGCCTCCAAAGATTTCGATTGCAAAGATGCACGCAGCTGCAACCAAGTTTGCTAAGACTGACTAAAATATTGATCTTGATAAAACAAATGTTTGCCCTTGTTGTGGATTACCAGCTGTTATAGAAGAAATCCCATTATGTTCATCAAGGAGCCAATTCAGTTTCAATGGTTCAGGGATAGCATTGTATTTCGATTTCTTAGTGTTTTCAGGTATCATTGTCTTTACATATATGTATCCTAATTTAATAATAATATAGAGCCATTAGTTGTGGATATAATATCTATGTAAACTCTCATGGAAATCGATGTAGCAATATAAATAATAGTCTTGCTGATAAATGTAAAACAGACTTCTTTAATCAATTTTCATTGACTAATGATCATGAGTATTAATATTTAAATATATCTAATAGACAATTAAATGAAACTCGTAGCATTCTCAACTTTATATCCTTTGTAGTAATTGTGTTTATGACTTTATTTTACAGAAGACACATTAACAAAATTGCTATGGAATTGGATGATGCTGCTATCTTAGCCTCTGATTTCTCTATCTTTGTTGAAAATATCCCTAGAGAGGCAAAAGAAATAGAAATTTAAGAATATTTTTCTTAATAATTCTAAACTGAAAAAGTTGAATTTAGAAAATTATGCATAGCTTATGAAATCTAGGATTATATAAAATTGAATACTCAAAAATAATTGAAGGAATCTGTGCTTACAAAAGTACTGGAATTTGAAGCAGAAGGGAAATCAATTCCTAAATCGATTCCACCCAAAACCTAATTAAAATTAGAAATCGATAAAATCTCAAAGGATTTAGATGATATGGAAGATAATAGAGCTAATATTTTCAAATTCAGTGGAATTTGCATAATTAGTTATAATTATGAAAGATAGGCTGATAATGTTTGTAAAACATTCAAAGCCACAAGATTTTAGATATTATTAGATTAATTAGGATTTGAATAGAATTAATTCCAAAAATTTAGAAACAATAACATTTTCGTAAAGAAAGCACCAGAACCAGGAGATGTAATTTGGGGCAATCTTGGAATTACAATCAAAGAATAGTATAAAAGGAAATTAATAACAAATGCTATGACTCTTCTTTTATTAGCTATTGGTTTTGGATTATTACTTGCACTATCTTATACATAGAATGTCATTAATCAAAATATTTCAAAAGGTTCAACTGCAGAAGCAGCTCTTGTTACTTTTATAGGATTTGCATCATCAATTCTTATATTGGTTATCAATACTATATTAGCTAAAATGATTATCAAATTTGCTGAATTAGAGTAATAAGCCACAAGAACAGATTATAATATAAGTGTTGCTTATAAAATGGGAGTAGCACAATTTCTAAATACTGCTATCTTAACTTTAATTATTAATCTTTTTATATCAGGAAATATCTCTAGTTTAGATTAAGCTATTTGGTAGACTGGTGGACTCAATTCAGATGTGATGCTGATTTTTATTACTAATTCAATAATGCCATGGTTAACTCAATTGATAGACATCAATTATTTTTATAAATTATATGTTAGATAGAAAATTATTCAATAAGGAGAAAATTGTAAATACACTTAAAATGAAGCTAATAAGTATTTTCAACTATATTTTTTTAGAGCATTTGAAGGACCATCAATTGATTTATCATAAAAATATGCTAATATATGCAAAACTTTAATGTTTACATTCTTATATTCAGCATTATTACCAATTGGAGTTTGTTTCACTTTTATTTCAATTGTTTGTATATATTGGGCAGAGAAATACTTGTTAGTAAGAAGAGATTCAAAGCCTGCCCCAACTGGAAGTGCAATGGCCGAAGCTATGGTTGATTTTTATATCGAATTAATACTTTTGTTATTTTCTGTAAGCAACTAAAATTAATAATTTAGTTAGGATGCACATTTTGGGAATGGGTCAACTATGATAAAGTTCACATTCTAACATGGTTATAATTGGGTTTATCTACTTTGCATTACTTGATCCCAATTAACAAAATTTGTGGATGTATAGTGGATTTAGGAATTGACAATGCCACTCCTTCATCCTATGATGCAAATTATTTAACTTTCTATGACGATTACGATAGACGCAATCCTGTTACTCTAGATGCAGCCAAAGAGAAGTGGATTAAACTTCATTAAGAAATAGTTTAACCAAACCCCAAAATAAAAACTAAGTAAACTAATCGATTAAATATAGTAATTTAATATAAAAATATAAATTACTTAATCATATAACCTAAGGATTAGCAAAGATTCATCCATTAAATAGTAAAAATATCAAAGAGAGTGATGAAATATAAGAACTATAATTTTGAAATAAATATTGAAAGAAGTTGCTAAAATATAAACTTTTATTCTCAAATTATTAAAATTATTAAATTATAAATATTTCGTTTATTGTTTGTGCTCCATAAAAATTCTTAAATCTATTATTATGATGATTGAATTTATATCAAATTTTAGCAGCATGAACTCATTTAGTTTATTCAAAATAGTATATATAAAATAAAGGTCATGTATTTAAATTATATACCTGGACAAATTTTAATATATTTTTAAAGAAAGTTATTAAAAAAATTGAAACTAACGCTAAAGTTTAATTTTCGATTATAATAATATACTAATAATTACCTAATATCTTTGAGCATTTTTTTTTTGTTTTCCAATTTGGAATTTTTATAAAGATGATAAATTTATATAGATGAAGAAATAAAGCATTTGCTCTAAAATGATTAATAGGAAATTATTAGAATTAGGAATCAAAATTAACCTTAATTCGTCATAAATTTTCTTGAAAATAGAATACTATGAGAAAAATCCTTAGATTCTTGAGTTCTGAAAATTGAAAAAGGAGAATGTAGAACTCATTGAAAAACATCCTGCCTAATCAATACCTTACTTTATTCTCCTTCTTTAACAATTTATGACCCTCTTCTTTAATCTATATAATATATTATACATTTTATATTATTTATACAATTATAATATAATAAGTAAACACTGAAAAATAATCATTAATAACTCCTTTATTCATCATATTTATTAATCTAATTTAATTTTTATATGTTGAGCTAAGTATTTTAAGTAATTGGAGCTCAACAAACTGAGGAATAACAAATGGAGGCTATATATGATGATTTTCAAAGGCCTCCAAAGATTTCGATTGCGATGATGCATGCTGCTGCCACCAAGTTTGCTAAGACTGACTAAAATATTGATCTTGATAAAACAAATGTTTGTCCTTGTTGCGGATTACCAGCTGTTATAGAAGAAATCCCGTTATGTTCATCAAGGAGCCAATTCAGTTTCAATGGTTCAGGGATAGCATTGTATTTCGATTTCTTAGTGTTTTCAGGTATCATTGTCTTTACATATATGTATCCTAATTTAATAATAATATAGAGCCATTAGTTGTGGATATAATATCTATGTAAACTCTCATGGAAATCGATGTAGCAATATAAATAATAGTCTTGCTGATAAATGTAAAACAGACTTCTTTAATCAATTTTCATTGACTAATGATCATGAGTATTAATATTTAAATATATCTAATAGACAATTAGATGAAACTCGTAGCATTCTCAACTTTATATCCTTAGTAGTAATTTTGTTTATGACTGTATTTTACAGAAGACACATTAACAAAATTGCTATGGAATTGGATGATGCTGCTATCTTAGCCTCTGATTTCTCTATCTTTGTTGAAAATATCCCTAGAGAAGCAAAAGAAATAGAAATTTAAGAATATTTTTCTTAATAATTCTAAAATACAAATGTTGAATTGAGAAAATTGTGCATAGCTTATGAAATCTAGGATTATATAAAAATTGAATACTCAAAAATAATTGAAGGAATCTGTGCTTACAAAAGTACTTGAATTTGAAGCAGAAGGGAAATCAATTCCTAAATCGATTCCACCCAAAACCTAATTAAAATTAGAAATCGATAAAATCTCAAAGGATTTAGATGATATGGAAGATAATAGAGCTAATATTTTCAAATTCAGTGGAATTTGCATAATTAGTTATAATTATGAAAGTTAGGCTGATAATGTTTGTAAAACATTCAAAGCCACAAGATTTTAGATATTATTAGATTAATTAGGATTTGAATAGAATTAATTCCAAAAATTTAGAAACAATAACATTTTCGTAAAGAAAGCACCAGAACCAGGAGATGTAATTTGGGGCAATCTTGGAATTACAATCAAAGAATAGTATAAAAGGAAATTAATAACAAATGCTATGACTCTTCTTTTATTAGCTATTGGTTTTGGATTATTACTTGCACTATCTTATACATAGAATGTCATTAATCAAAATATTTCAAAAGGTTCAACTGCAGAAGCAGCTCTTGTTACTTTTATAGGATTTGCATCATCAATTCTTATATTGGTTATCAATACTATATTAGCTAAAATGATTATCAAATTTGCTGAATTAGAGTAATAAGCCACAAGAACAGATTATAATATAAGTGTTGCTTATAAAATGGGAGTAGCACAATTTCTAAATACTGCTATCTTAACTTTAATTATTAATCTTTTTATATCAGGAAATATCTCTAGTTTAGATTAAGCTATTTGGTAGACTGGTGGACTCAATTCAGATGTGATGCTGATTTTTATTACTAATTCAATAATGCCATGGTTAACTCAATTGATAGACATCAATTATTTTTATAAATTATATGTTAGATAGAAAATTATTCAATAAGGAGAAAATTGTAAATACACTTAAAATGAAGCTAATAAGTATTTTCAATCTATATTTTTTTAGAGCATTTGAAGGACCATCAATTGATTTATCATAAAAATATGCAAATTTATGCAAAACTTTAATGTTTACATTTTTATATTCAGCATTATTACCAATTGGAGTTTGTTTCACTTTTATTTCAATTGTTTGTATATATTGGGGCAGAAAAATACTTGTTAGTAAGAAGAGATTCAAAGCCTGCCCCAACTGGAAGTGCAATGGCTGAAGCTATGGTTGATTTTTATATCGAATTAATACTTTTGTTATTTTCTGTAAGCAACTAAAATTAATAATTTAGTTAGGATGCACATTTTGGGAATGGGTCAACTATGATAAAGTTCACATTCTAACATGGTTATAATTGGGTTTATCTACTTTGCATTACTTGATCCCAATTAACAAAATTTGTGGATGTATAGTGGATTTAGGAATTGACAATGCCACTCCTTCATCCTATGATGCAAATTATTTAACTTTCTATGACGATTACGATAGACGCAATCCTGTTACTCTAGATGCAGCCAAAGAGAAGTGGATTAAACTTCATTAAGAAATAGTTTAACCAAACCCCAAAATAAAAACTAAGTAAACTAATCGATTAAATATAGTAATTTAATATAAAAATATAAATTACTTAATCATATAACCTAAGGATTAGCAAAGATTCATCCATTAAATAGTAAAAATATCAAAGAGAGTGATGAAATATAAGAACTATAATTTTGAAATAAATATTGAAAGAAGTTGCTAAAATATAAACTTTTATTCTCAAATTATTAAAATTATTAAATTATAAATATTTCGTTTATTGTTTGTGCTCCATAAAAATTCTTAAATCTATTATTATGATGATTGAATTTATATCAAATTTTAGCAGCATGAACTCATTTAGTTTATTCAAAATAGTATATATATACTAATAATTACCATAATATCTTTGAGCATTTTTTTTTTGTTTTCCAATTTGGAATTTTTATAAAGATGATAAATTTATATAGATGAAGAAATAAAGCATTTGCTCTAAAATGATTAATAGGAAATTATTAGAATTAGGAATCAAAATTTAACCTTAATTCGTCCATAAATTTTCTTGAAAATAGAATACTATGAGAAAAATCCTTAGATTCTTGAGTTCTGAAAATTGAAAAAGGAGAATGTAGAACTCATTGAAAAAACATCCTGCCTAATCAATACCTTACTTTATTCTCCTTCTTTAACAATTTATGACCCTCTTCTTTAATCTATATAATATATTATACATTTTATATTATTTATACAATTATAATATAATAAGTAAACACTGAAAAATAATCATTAATAACTCCTTTATTCATCATATTTATTAATCTAATTTAATTTTTATATGTTGAGCTAAGTATTTTAAGTAATTGGAGCTCAACAAACTGAGGAATAACAAATGGAGGCTATATATGATGATTTTCAAAGGCCTCCAAAGATTTCGATTGCGATGATGCATGCTGCTGCCACCAAGTTTGCTAAGACTGACTAAAATATTGATCTTGATAAAACAAATGTTTGTCCTTGTTGCGGATTACCAGCTGTTATAGAAGAAATCCCGTTATGTTCATCAAGGAGCCAATTCAGTTTCAATGGTTCAGGGATAGCATTGTATTTCGATTTCTTAGTGTTTTCAGGTATCATTGTCTTTACATATATGTATCCTAATTTAATAATAATATAGAGCCATTAGTTGTGGATATAATATCTATGTAAACTCTCATGGAAATCGATGTAGCAATATAAATAATAGTCTTGCTGATAAATGTAAAACAGACTTCTTTAATCAATTTTCATTGACTAATGATCATGAGTATTAATATTTAAATATATCTAATAGACAATTAGATGAAACTCGTAGCATTCTCAACTTTATATCCTTAGTAGTAATTTTGTTTATGACTGTATTTTACAGAAGACACATTAACAAAATTGCTATGGAATTGGATGATGCTGCTATCTTAGCCTCTGATTTCTCTATCTTTGTTGAAAATATCCCTAGAGAAGCAAAAGAAATAGAAATTTAAGAATATTTTTCTTAATAATTCTAAAATACAAATGTTGAATTGAGAAAATTGTGCATAGCTTATGAAATCTAGGATTATATAAAATTGAATACTCAAAAATAATTGAAGGAATCTGTGCTTACAAAAGTACTTGAATTTGAAGCAGAAGGGAAATCAATTCCTAAATCGATTCCACCCAAAACCTAATTAAAATTAGAAATCGATAAAATCTCAAAGGATTTAGATGATATGGAAGATAATAGAGCTAATATTTTCAAATTCAGTGGAATTTGCATAATTAGTTATAATTATGAAAGTTAGGCTGATAATGTTTGTAAAACATTCAAAGCCACAAGATTTTAGATATTATTAGATTAATTAGGATTTGAATAGAATTAATTCCAAAAATTTAGAAACAATAACATTTTCGTAAAGAAAGCACCAGAACCAGGAGATGTAATTTGGGGCAATCTTGGAATTACAATCAAAGAATAGTATAAAAGGAAATTAATAACAAATGCTATGACTCTACTTTTATTAGCTATTGGTTTTGGATTATTACTTGCACTATCTTATACATAGAATGTCATTAATCAAAATATTTCAAAAGGTTCAACTGCAGAAGCAGCTCTTGTTACTTTTATAGGATTTGCATCATCAATTCTTATTTTGGTTATCAATACTATATTAGCTAAAATGATTATCAAATTTGCTGAATTAGAGTAATAAGCCACAAGAACAGATTATAATATAAGTGTTGCTTATAAAATGGGAGTAGCACAATTTCTAAATACTGCTATCTTAACTTTAATTATTAATCTTTTTATATCAGGAAATATCTCTAGTTTAGATTAAGCTATTTGGTAGACTGGTGGACTCAATTCAGATGTGATGCTGATTTTTATTACTAATTCAATAATGCCATGGTTAACTCAATTGATAGACATCAATTATTTTTATAAATTATATGTTAGATAGAAAATTATTCAATAAGGAGAAAATTGTAAATACACTTAAAATGAGGCTAATAAGTATTTTTAATCTTTATTTTTTTAGAGCATTTGAAGGACCATCAATTGATTTCTCAAAAAAATATGCAAATTTATGCAAAACTTTAATGTTTACATTTTTATATTCAGCATTATTACCAATTGGAGTTTGTTTCACTTTTATTTCAATTGTTTGTATATATTGGGCAGAAAAATACTTGTTAGTAAGAAGAGATTCAAAGCCTGCCCCAACTGGAAGTGCAATGGCTGAAGCTATGGTTGATTTTTATATCGAATTAATACTTTTGTTATTTTCTGTAAGCAACTAAAATTAATAATTTAGTTAGGATGCACATTTTGGGAATGGGTCAACTATGATGAAGTTCACATTCTAACATGGTTATAATTGGGTTTATCTACTTTGCATTACTTGATCCCAATTAACAAAATTTGTGGATGTATAGTGGATTTAGGAATTGATAATGCCACAGTTGAATCTTACGATGAAAAATACTTAACTTTCTATGATGATTATGATCGAAGGAATCCTGTAACTCTAGATGCAGCAAAAGAAAAATGGATAAAAATCCAATAGGAAACAGTTTAACCTATTTCATATCAAAAAACTAAGTAAATTAAATAATTTAAACAATAGCAATGAAATAAAACAACATCACAAAATTAACCATATAGCCACAGTAAGCACAAAAGTTCATCCTTTAAATACTGCAAATAGCAGAGAAATGGATGATTTATAATAACTCTAAGTTTGATTTTACTCATAGATGATATTATTTTCCCCAATTAACTCTTTAGTCATTATGTCAAAATTATATTAAAATATAATAACAGACTCAGTATGAATTCTTAAATCTCGAAAACATATAATAATATTTCTGATGTTTTCTCTCGAACTCAGATCAATCAAGCAGTTGAAGGTTTGAGCACCTGTAGAAAAAGAATTAAATTAATTGATCATATAATAGATAGAAGAGAATAAATTGAAAGTCTGAAGATGTTGCTACGTTGTAATAATATGCTCACATCTTAAATTAATGCTGAAAAAATATAAAAAAAAAAGAAAAATGATTAAGAACAATAGAAAAAATAATAAAAATTGGAATTGGTTATTTCAATTACTAAGTGGAGAAAAGAATAAAAAGCAAGAGGTTAAGTAGGGCTCTAGAGTTATTCTCAGGTATTGTCAAATTGGCAATAACAAACTTTCTCCAATAATAAATAAGAGGGTTGTTATACCATCAACAAAGGCTGATGATACAAAAACCTAAGATAATTCATAAGTCAAATAAAGATAGTTTTCAAGATTTTTTTACTGAAAGGGATCCTTTGTAGATTGAAGCCTAAATAGAGAAAGAAGTATGTCAATTTTTAGAGAAAAATAAAGAACTCAACTATTTATAATAGGAAAGGATTTTACTACTCACAGAAGATAATAAAAAATTTTAATAATTAGAAAATTAAATTAAAAGCAATTAAAATAGTAAGTATATTAATAACTGTAGACAGCAGTAAAAGTAATTCATTATTTTTATTTTAGTAATATTATAGAGTTCAAAATTTATTCCATAAAAACTACTTCAAAGAAGCTTCAATTAAAATAATTAAAACATAGAAAACATATCCTTTTAGATCAGCTGACTATCATTGTAAAACAGAAAGGCAATAATTTTAAGAGCAAGAGTCATTTGCATCTTATATTGAATTAAAGCTAAACTAATTGTATACTGATTCAATTGATGCTCAGAATTCTTTGAGATCCAAACAACAATCTTGCCCAAATAGTTTGCTTTAATCATATTTAATTAACACTAATGCAGATATAATAGATATTTCCAACTAAAAAATGTTATAGATAAGAAAATATTAAAAATGAATATGTTTTCATCATTATTAGCTATCATTTTATATGTGTTATAATTAGAATCAAATGAAAATATTTGAATAATATTACATCTATAAAATTTACATTTTTATAATATTTATCATACACAAGTTTAATAATAGAGGTGATAATAGATATATACACTCTGAAATATATTCTATTTAGCCTTCATTATTATATATTTTGTAAAAGCGTGGGATAAAATTAAATGAACTAGAAGGGTTTAAGTTCACAAGTATTAGATCGATATGATTTGATTTTTGAGAAATATATTTAATTATTGAATAAAATAAAATTAAAAATTACTTAATCTTTCAATACTATCTCAAATCATGGTATTTCGATTGAAACAATAGGAAATCTTCAATTTTACAATTTCTTGAAATAGTTTTGTGATTTTTGGAGTTTATTACTTAAAAATATATAAGCTCCTATTGTCTTATATAATTTAAAGATTAATAAAGACTTTTTGAATAATATAAAGAATACAAAGCTTCCAAACTTCTTTTCAAATAAGGATTGTCTAAAAAAAGAATGATTTTATCCTATTAAAAATAAAATATAATTTTTCTCTATCAATATTTGATGGAGTTTTGTCCTTTAATTTCGCAAATTAATTTTACCTTTTTACATGAAGCTCTATTAAAATCCAAATAAAATGTATATTACAATAGATAAAAAGAGAGTAACTCTAAAGAGATTTCTTGAATAATAGACAGAGTACATAAAAATTAGATCGAAACCCAATTAAAAAACAAATACATATGTATTTTTTTTTGCAAATTTATTTATTTAATTGCTATTAAAAGAATTATAACTTTTTACATTTCGAATTTATTAATTAACTTTTGGAATCTTGTGGAATCCTTTATGTTTAACCTCTAATTATATGGGTGAAGATATTTGGATTGCAATAGAGAGAATATTTAAGCAGTTAAGAAATTGATGCCTTACTTGAACTATAGAAAGGTGAATGAATTTGAAGAACTCAAGATATTTTTCAAAGAATTTTAGATTGAGTTATTTTTTAACATGATTATGAATGATTCATTTAACGCGTTTAGAACAAAATGTTTTTACTGGGTTATATATAGGTCCTGGAGAATGAGTATCTTCTTTTTACAGTTTTTCATCTATCCAACTAATTTTAGCCGATTTTCCAATGGTAGCATTAGGAGAAGTCTCTCTGATATCTACAATTATAGTATAATGAATACGTTTTTCAGCCACTTCAGTTCGATATCTGCCTACTCCTGGAGAACTTGTTGTTAAACTATTGTCTAATTATCTTTTAGCTTTATTGAAGGTAGTTGGAGATGCTCTCATTTGAATTGACATCTCACTCAATGGAATTGTTTGCTGTTGCTTGATAGTTGAGATTTTGCTGGGTGATCTACTCACATAAGATTGACTCATCGTCATTTTTTTAAGATCAGGCTCTGATTATCTATCAATTTTTCTTGAAATTGGGGAGATGATTTCCGATTTGTTGTTATTGATTTAAAATGTTTCATCTGAAATTAAATTCATTGAATTAACTATTTGATTCCATACATTGTTTGATGTAGCAGTTAAAATTAAATCAAAATTGCTCTTAAATATTTGAATATTTCGATTTAGTTGAATCGAGTATTCAACCTTTTATCCCTGTCTTTACATTGCACCGATCACTTCTTTGAGTCCTTTTAGAATGATGCAAATATTATATTACTTTGAGATGCAAAGTTTATTTCATTTGTAAAGACTTCCTCCAAAAATGCAGTCAATTGTGTGAGATAGCCTCTCTTCTAAACAGTCTCGAAAATGCGATTTATGTCTGTGTACCTACCTATTTCAGTTTGGATTGAGGAATTCATTTAATTAAATTTAATTATATATATATGAATGCTTCTATGAACATGTAATAAATTTTTGAAAAAATTAAAAAAAATCAAAATCTTTTTCATGACTCAAGGAAAGAATAAGAAATTAGGAAAGAAGAAGGGATAAAAGAAAACTATTGACCCATTGGCTAGAAAGGAATGGTTTGAATTAACAGCTCCTGTTCCCTTCAGCGCTGGTGGATTTGGTTATACTTGTATCAACAAATCTGCAGGAACAGGTAGTTATTGAATATAATGCCTTTAGTCGTGGCCACAGAAGCCATCAAAGGACGTGTAGTAGAGGCATCCTTGGCTGATCTTCAAGGATAATCAGATCAAATGGCTTGGAGAAAAGTTAAATTAGTTATTGATGATGTTGAAGGTACAAGATGCAGAACTTCTTTCTACGGCCTTGATTCAACAAAGGATAAGATCTTTGGAATGATTAAAAAGCGATAAACTTTGATTGAGGTATTTTAAAAATCATAATTTTAATTAGACTTCAGTTGAAGCTAGATCATCAGATGGATATATTTTGAGAATCTTTATCATTGCATTCACCAAAGGCATTAAAAATTAATAAAGAAAAACAACTTATGCTTAAAGAAGCTAAATCAAAGATATCAGAAAGAAGATTGTTGAGATTGTACTCAGAGAAGTCTCCAAGAAGAGCATCACCGGATTACTTACTTACTTCAATTAAGAAATTCTTTCAAAAGAAATTGGAAAGGCCACAAGAGGCATCTTTCCACTTTAAAATATTACATTAAGAAAAGTGAAGTTGGTTAAGAGACCCAAAGTTGATTGTAATTGTGTTTTTTAAATTGTAAGCTTAAAAATTGAGAGAATTCTATGATGATTCCCAAAGAAATAAGAATACAGTCAGAAGACACGGTTAAGCTGAAGACTAAAGTGCTTTAAATCTTATCAAATAAGGATAAATCGAGAAAGAAGTAACCTAAGAATAATAATGATGAATTTATTACAGTATAAACAAAATAGTACATATATTAATATTGTAAAGATTAAAACAATATATATATATATTGCATTTAATATCTTCATCGATGGTGTATTTCAAATATAAAGATTTTTTTTTAATTTAATTTGAGGAAATAAGATGTCTTAATAGGCTTAAAAGGGAGGAAAAGGAGCATAGCCAAAAACTGATGCAAAGCCATAAACAGCTGCTTAAACAAAAGTTGCTAAACCATAGGAGACAAAGGAGAATGTCATGAGAAAAATTAGAATTGAAAAATTGATGGTTCACATTTGTGCTGGTGAATCAGGAGATAAGTTGACTAAAGCAGCAAAAGTCTTGGAAGATCTTACAGGATAAAAGCCAGTTTTTGGCAAAGCAAGATATACAGTGAGATCATTCGGTATTAGAAGAAATGAAAAAATTTCTGTATTTTGCACCATTAGAGGCGATTAAGCTAGAGACATTCTTGTTAGAGGTTTAAGAGTTAAAGAAATGGAATTGAAGAAGAGAAACTTTTCTGAATCAGGAAACTTTGGATTTGGTATTCAAGAACACATTGATTTGGGATTGAAATATGATCCATACACAGGTATCTAACTCATCAAAATACAATTAGGTATTTTTCGGTATGGACTTCTATGTTGTGTTGTCAAGACCAGGATTGAGAGTTGCTCAAAGAAAATCAAGAAATTCAAAATTGGGCACACAATAAAGAGTGACTAAAAAGGAAGCTGTAGAATGGTTCAAATAAACCTTTGAAGGAAACGTCTATTGATACAATACAATATTACATTAAATACACATATAAAAAATATAATTTTTTATTTTAATATGGGTTGTGGATCATCGTAACCAGCTGCTGAACCTGATAAAAAGTCAAAATCTTTGAAAAGTGCCAGTACATCAGAAATAGAAGACTTAATTGGCAAAAAAATACCAAAAGTACTATGTAGATAATATTGGTAAGTTACTGATTTAAGCGGAGATGAAGCATCGATTTACTGCTGATGAAGAGGCAATTAAAAGGTATTCAAATTAAACTAAACCACTAGCGACTTAATTTCATTGTAACCTCCATAGGAAAATGATAATGTTGTTGCAAGAGCTTAAAAAAAGATGCAAAAGAAATATAGAGGAGGAGAGGATGTAGAAGGGTAGATTATTGAGAATGTGAAGAGAGTTGAAAGAGAGATGCAATGTATAAAAATTTTCAATTTATTACTCAGAAAGTGATGTTGATTTCAATCATAAAAAGTTTCAAAAGCCATTTTGTATTTTTTAGTCTTCCTCAAGATTCACTCCAAAAGTTAATAGAAAATATGTTTTATTGTACAATAAAGGCAGGAGAATTTGTTTTTAAATAAGGAAATTAGGTTATTAAATTATTTGATATAATAGGCTAGTGCATATTTCGTTATTGAAAGAGGATAAGTCGAAATTATCATCAATGAAAATCCTATTAGAGTGCTTAAATAAGGGGATTAATTTGGTGAAATTGCATTGCTTTATAATGCCACAAGGTCTGCCTCAACAAAAGCCCTTACAAATTGTGGATTTTGGTCTTTAGAAAGAGCAACTTTTAAAAAGACAATTGAAGAAATCACTTTGAAAGAATATGATGAAAACAGAAAATTCATAGATTAGGTAATTCACCCAAATAGTAATAGGTTCAATTCTTCTCATTTATGACATCTGAATAAAGAGATATGATAGGAAATGCTTTGATTACTACTAAATTCAATCCGGGGTAGAATATTGTTAATGAAGGGGATTAAGCAGATTCATTTTATGTCATCAAAAGTGGATAGGTATAAATATTAAAAGGAGACAAATTAATAAGAAAAATGGGTGCAAAAGATAGCTTTGGGTAAACTAATAATTTGATCTACTATTTAGAGAATAAGCTTTATATGAGAAATCAGTTAGAGGGGCCACAGTTAAGGCAGAAACTGAAGTTAGATGCGTTGCTTTGGGAAGAGAGAATTTAACAAAGATATTAGGAGATAAAATATAACTTATAATTTTCAATAATATTATGAGATGGAGTTTTGAAAAAAGCGAGATACTAAAATAATTAACAAAAATTTAATTAGAAAAAATTTCTCAAAAAGCCAAAATTGAAAATTTTAAAAAAGGCTAAGTAATCTTTGAAGCTAAAAAACCTTGCGATAAATTAGTTGTAGTTTTAGAAGGTGTATTGATAAATTCGAAATAAGAGTCAGTCACTAAAGGTTCTTGTTTTGGGGATCAATTTCTGTAAAAGGAACGTTATGGTTCTCCTCTTGAATGTGCTTTTACTATGGTAGGAGATGGAGTCTTAGCAACAATTACCTTTTAAGCCTTATTTAAGATATTTGGAGGGGATTTAGAGACTGCCTTAAAGAAAAATGAAAATTCACATGAAAAGAAAATTTAGTAAATAGGTAAGAGAGAAGATGCCTCACATATAGTTTTAGAAGACTTAATTTATATAAAGAAATTAGGTGAAGGACAATTTGGAATTGTTTATTTGGTTAAGCACAAAGAAACAAAAAAGGTGTTTGCTTTGAAAAGTGTAAGCAAAGCATCAATAATTGAACAAAATCTAGAGAAACATATTACGTAAGAGAAAACAGTATTAGAATAGATAAACTTTCCATTCATTATGGGTTTTGTCAGAACATTCAAAGATGATATGTCTATATATTTTTTGGTTGACTTCATTAGAGGGATGGAACTTTTTGATGTAATAAGAGACATAGGATTGTTGCAGAAGCCAGAAACATAATTTTATATTGGTACAATGATTCTTTGTATAGAATACTTACATTCTAAGAGTATTGTATACAGAGATCTGAAACCAGAGAACATTATGGTAAATGCTTAAGGATTCATGTATTTAATTGATCTAGGAACAGCGAAACCTCTTCTAAAAACAAAGGCATGCCGAACTTATACAATTATTGGGACTCCGCATTATATGGCTCCAGAAATCATAGCTGGTAAAGGTTACACTTTTAGTGTGGATTTGTGGAGTATTGGAATTTGTATGTATGAATTCATGTGTGGAGGAGTGCCTTTTGGGGAAGAATTAGAAGATCCATATCAGATATATGAAGAGATTATGAACACTCAAATTAAATATCCTACATTCCTCAAAGACAGACATGCTAAAAAATTCATGGAGTAATTAATGAACAGACAACCAGAAACTAGATTAGGAGCATCTTATTCAGCATTAAAGGCTCATTAATGGTTTGATGACTTTGATTTTGATAAGTTGTTCAGTAGAGAACTTAAGCCTCCAGTATTTTTGTTTAATAATGCTTTTAGTATTTGCCTAAGCCAGAGAATATGGTATCAGAACAAGATATTTAAAAGAGATTCAATTAAAACAAATTAGTTCTTTAAGAAATTAAAAATGAATAAGATAGTCACAAAATTAAATACAATAAGCATCTTGCTAAAGATCCTAATTGGGATAAAGACTTTTGAATATAATACAGAACTATCAATTTATAAATACTTATTTTTTTCGGACTTTTATTAAATATATTTCAAATAATAACATTTTGTATTTTAATCATTTTTATTAAATGTCATTATTATCAAAATTTACATCCATATTTGGTTCTAATTATAATACATAGGCTTCCGATACTCCGTTAAATTAATAACTATAAGAAGTGCTTACCTAAATACTAAAGGCAAATAATAAAATAGATTTAAAGCAAAAGTCAGAACTTCTAGCCCAATATCTATTGGAAAAGGAAGGTAAATTGCAATCTTTACTATGTTAGAACATATCGAGTATTTGTTCTCATTTTTATAAACTACATCTAAAGATCTCAATCCGTTATCAGTTGTTCATTTACTATCAGTAATCCACTAGCAATTCTAATACAATGAATTAATTTAAGATGTTGCTATTAAGTTAAGAGAAACAAAAATGCCATGGATTCAATTAGAAAAACATGAATGGCAATCTACAAAGACGGAGCCTGATTTACCAAAGAAATAGCAATCATAAATCATACTTACAGAATTTGAAGACTCTTCTCGTCCAGCAGCCATATATGCTCAATTGTGTTATGTATATTTGTAAAGATTGGCAGCCAATATTGATTTATATAGAGCTGTCTCAAAATTTATGTACCCATATGTTAGTGATAAAGACTAAATAGAACCTAAACTTATGTTTTTATGGCATTACAAAATTCAAAACTTAATAAATTCGGGCTTAATATTATTGTAATATGATCAAGAATTAGTTGAAATTCAAACTGCTCTCTATTAGGATGTTTGGAAATTTTAAAAATTTATATGCGTTGAAATTGAAAAAATTATTGATTAATATGTGACACTACCCAGTAGTGATACTTTATCTCTTTATGAAATATATCAAGAAAGTACAAAACATTATGAAATTCTCCTAAAATTTCATCAATTCACATAAACAACGACGGAAGCTCCTCGGGAATGTCATTTCAATAATGTTAATTTATAGGAATTTTTAGGGTTTGTTTCTAAATTAAAATTATTGAATTTGCCTAACTTTAAAAAGAAAATTAAAGTTCCTAATAAAGGTGATCCTGGAATGGGAGTTCCTACCAGAAATCCGAAAGTAAATGTCTTAGTTATAAATAGGTCAGACATTTAAAACATTAAAGTAATCAATTCCTTGTAAACGATACAGACAGTAGTGATTCTGACGGTGTCGCAGATATAAATCCTTAAATAATCTAAAAAATCAAGAATAAAACTGTGCATTTAAGGGGTGAAAGTACTTTTCAATAAAAATATAAATGATCAATAAATCGTAATTTTAATTTATAGATTAAAAGTACTTATAATTTTAATTAATTTCATCATTACTTTCAAGATACACTCTATTTATCTAGCAGAGTTTCAAAAATAGGATAAGCTGAAAGAACATCTTTGTATTCATAGATTTATGGATAGTGAAGTTTACTTCTTTATTAGATGATCAAAAATTAAGTTAAAGAAATTGGGCTTTATTGATTGGACGAAATATATTCAATTTGAATTTAATAGCCGCGAATATATTGGCGCTTCTTTATTATATTAAAATTAATGGATATTGCTCTATGTTAAAATCCTAATCATGATAGTTAACGTCTAAAATATATATGTGTAGATCCAAATTGTAATGTTGCAAAAAGAATAGGTATTCATTTTGAATTTAATTAGGCTGTGCTGATTGTTTTCTTGATGATCATATAACACACATTAGAAAAACAACTGCTTAATTTAAGGAACAAGTAAGTTAATCTATAGACACAATTTCTTAAGTTGAATTCTCAAAAGCTAATAGTTCTCCTTAAAAAGATTTAGATTGTCAAATAGATTTTGAATTAGAAAATTGTATTGAAAACATTAAGTCAAGGTTTTTAGCTATAAAAAATGATTTAAAGTCTTAGATTGATAGTGATATGTTAAAAGTACAAGATAATTGCTCTTAATTTAAATAAAATATGAACAATGAACTAAATCCATTCAAATTAACTATTGAAAATGAATTACCTTCTTTGAATCAGTATGAACTTAATTAATTAGTCAAATTTTATTAAGAGGCTCCAAAAATTCACAAACATTATTCAAAAGCTTCTGAACTCCTTCAGGATGAAAAATCAAAAGTAAAATAAAAAAAATAAAAGCATTTAAACAAAATGAAAAGTATAATACAAGTATTACTTAAGGAGTTTAATGATTTAATGACAACAAAAAATGTATAAATTGATGATTGCAGTGAATATGAAACTCCTTAAAAATACACAATGTCTCCTAATAAAATGATAAATCTTGTAGAAACTGCACGTTCAACAAGACGATTCCCTATGTCTTAATCTTAAAAAAAATATTTCTTATCTGCTGTTACAAAAAAGCTAGATTGATTAATTCATTTGTTATATTTATATTAATAAATATTTAAGTTCATTTATTTTATGCTTTTTTATAATCTTCTTTACATCCAAAAATTATTTTTTTAAAATCATTTAAATATAAAGATATAATTTTTAGTTTTTATATAGCTTATTAGCTCTTTACTTCATAATTATCATCCTCTTCTTTTTTCTCCTCAATTTTATTCTACTATTTTTTATTCTCTTCCTTTTTTAATTTTTTATCATCCTTTTTATTGTTTTCTTATTTTGCTTCCTCCAATTCATGCTTAATCTTTTAAGTTCCTTCCTAACATCGATTAAATAAATTATCAATGGCCATTAAAATCCTTCCTAGACTTAAATTCTTTGATGATGCTTCATTTGCTGAAGCTTCTACAATTTATATTAATTAATTTCTTTCTGATATTTTTTCTTCTAATTTCTTCTATCATTATTGAATTGTAAAATTTCGTGATTTCTGTCCTTCTCATATTAGGTTGATTCATATTTCAATTTTTCATATAAATTTTCCATGGATGAATGCTCCTCAACCAATTTTGTATTTTAACTTGATAATGTACTATGTCTTTCTAAAATTGATGACATATCATGATATTACTCTGGATATTGTTTTGCAACGCTATCTAAATATTCTTCATATTTTTTCATTGAGGTAACTGTTTTGATATTAAATTACACATACCCTTCTTCTCAAGCCTCTATTATTTCTTTGATAATTCCTGCAATAGTCCATTCAATTCTTATATCTCTTTTTCCTTTTACAATTTTTATCGTTTCTCTTCTTCCAGTCTCCCTTCTGCTCTCTTTTTTTTTGCCTCATTATCTTATAAAAACTTGCAAAACTTGATCAAAGATTCTTGTATTTCCATGTCCTTTGAACGAATCTTCTCTTCCTCTAGTTTAAACTTGACCTCTTGTCTAGTTCCTATTTATAATAATCACTTTTAAAATTCCTCTCTCTATGCTTCAAAAGCCTCATGAACTTCATACATTTTCCTTCTTTTTTCTAGCAATTTAGTTGCAGGACTAACAGTATCATATTGTAAGTGGCTTGGTAAATTTCTTTTACCCTAATTATTCATTCAAAATATTAATATATTATTAGTAATTCAGCTCTCTATAATTATTGAATTCTAAGAATCCCTAAGCTTGTTCGGGGGTTTTATATTCAAAATAATAAGTATTTTTTGGAAGTACAAAAATTACATATTTTTATTAAATGTTAATTTATAAGAAAGCAACTCCTTAGGGTACATCATATTATAAATATAAATAGAACTATAAAAGTATAGGGATGATCAAGTTAAAAGCTGGAAAAAGGAGAAGGATTTACAAAGATTAAACGAAAGCTAAGTCAACTAAATGTTGGATTTATTTCTTTTATTTGCCAGTCAACGTACATTTACAATAAGAGTATAATGTTATGCTATATGCAGACTAAAGATGTCGAAGCCTAAAATACTCTCTTGAGAGTGAATGAAGAGTCGACTTTATTTTCGAATGTCTTATCAAAAATGAATCTCGTTGACGAAGATCTAAATTTTATTGATTTCTTGAAGCTCTATTTATAATGCATTGTAAATATAAGCGATGACCGATATAGGGGGAAGCATAATAGGAGGAAAAAATAAAAGAATTATTTACAACTCTGAGTGCGAAAGGGGCAATCAATCTAGAAGACTTAAAGAGACTGGCTTAAGAGTTGGATCACTATCATTTAAAGGAGGAAGACTTAAATGAAATAATGAAAGTGGTATCAGGCAATGGACAAGAGATTACAGAGGAGGATTTTATAAGATTTTATACACAGATAGTGAAAAGTTAAAGATAATTATGATAAAAATTATATATAGGTTTAGTACATAATAAATAAACTATTACACTATTCTTGAACTCAATGCAACATGCACCTAGAAACAGATCAAACAAAACTATCTGAAACTGGCCAAAATCTATCATCCTGATGTTTACAAGGGAAATGATGCCAATAGGTGAGATTAAATATTCATTTTAGATTTAAGCTCATTTAGGAGGCATACAACACACTCAAGACTCCAGAAAAAAGGCAATCATATGATCAAACAATATTTAAGGAAAGAGCTTTTGCAAATTAAGAAAGGCCTCAAAGTAGTGAATCCGAAGAGAATACATAGAAGAATGAATACACAGCAAAACAAACTAAAGATGGAATAAATTTCACATTCACTAAAAAGGAATACAAGGATGCAACTGAGGAAAAGACTGTTGAAGATGAGTTTAGGAAATTCATGTAGGAACCTCTAAAAATTAATCCAGAAGAAGTTAAAGTTTACGAAAATGTTGTGGCCAGACAAATGACAAAGGAACATAAGGCTTAAGATGAATTCATTATAGCCAAAGAGAACAAGTGGAAGATCTTCTTTTTTAAGGCCCATTAGATTGGTTATTCCTAATAAGTGAAGGAATATATAAAAGGAATAAATTAATAGTGGCAAGAAAAAAAGAATGATACTGAAGAGATGAAATAATAGAAAAGGCAAATGCAAAAGCGAATTGCTAATGTAATTCCATTTATATCATTGACTTTAGGGCATTTTCTTTATTTTTATTGGGCTCTCTCTACCATTCTTTTATTCAGCACTAGCAAGAAGACAAGAAATTGATAAAGACTTTAAGGAGGATTTAGATTTTCTTTATAAGGTGGCAGATCAAATGGATTATTTAGAAATATCAACTAGGTTTGTCTATTGAGATAAAATGTTAATTATATATATAATAAGAAAAAAAGATATTAATTAAATTAATTTCTGAGAAAAAATGTCTAATTAAGTGAATTTCGGAGAAGGTAAAATTAATGAAAATTACCCATCTTCTATAAAGACTATGTTGGAATAAGGAAAAGATCCAAAAGATTTATTAATTTAATATTGCAGACCATAATGTAAGTGGTATGATGATAAATACGACAGATGTGTAAAGGCATTCTTATCCTTGAAAAATGCTGATCCCGAGAAGAATTGTGTACATTTAACATTTATTCTCTAAATAGATGTATCCATATAGAGATTTGGTGACATGTGTTGAAGCATGTGTTCAACCTAAAATATAGCATGCACTCAAAGGCAACGAACACGGTTTCATATTCCATTGAAATAATATGATCTATAATAAAATATACAATAACCATTATTAAAATCTCATAACATTCAAAGTTTTTTAGATTCAATTATGAATTATGAAATTAGGTTAATTTACATTTATAAATTAAACTAATATGGAATTCCAATGCGTAAAAGAAGATAATAAATAATGAGTATTTTGAGATCACTCAATAATTGAAAGCAAATAGATTTTATATTTGAATCGAATTTTGTAATTGATTAATACTCAAGCAATCGAAATAATTAATATAAACACAACTTATGAAATTGCCAAGCCAACTACAACATTCTTGAAATAGCTAAAAAAGGTCAAGGCCAATTGAAGATATTTAAGAATATTCAAGATAAATTAATTGCTTCCCACTAATGACCTTAAGGTTGATGACAATTCATCATTGTTCACTACATTATGAATCTGCAAATTTACATCTCTTATCTAATTTCTTGGTTTATTAGTAATGAATGATAAGCAAAATCATCTAAGCAGTGATCCAAATTTATCCTAATTATGGCTTTGATCCTACATATTCAACTGATTTACCTAATAATTGAAACAATGCAGTGACTACTGAAACCAAAATTGCAACATAAATAGTTCCCTTATTGTATTAAGATTATTTGGCTTTGATTTATTGGATTAGTTTGTATTGGCTTTCCTAAGTTTCTGCCTAATCCATTTATTGTGCTTCTTTTAAATCTTGCTCACTCATTCTCGATTCAATTTTCTATCTACGCTTTTCTGAAATTTAATCCATCAAAATTTATATAATTAATAAAGAATGTCATCGAAAAACTATAAATTGATTCATTAGAAAATTCCAAATACTACACGTTATAGGGATGATCAATTACCAATCAACAATAAATACTATGTTCGATTAACATAAGATTCCACCAGAGTTCTAGATTTGATTGATAAGGATAAATAAATTCCACATTTATCAATGATTGATCGATTTTGGGGACAAAAAACACAAAGATTACCAGAACCTATTCATTAAGAAGAAAAGCATGTGTAATTACCATAAGAAATTATTCCTAAAGAAGAGGAGAAGAAAGAAACACTGCCTTAAATCGAATAAAAAACTGAAACTCCATTGAAGAAAACCATAAGTCTAAAGCAGTTTAAGGAAAGCTTACTTTTTGATGAGAGAACCAGTTCTATACCTAAAACAACAATTTAGAACCATATAATTGAAGATTTAATAAGGGATAGCGATATTTTTTTAAAGAAATCTGAAATGATAGAGCAAGTGCAAAGTTTGAAGAGGTTAAAAGTGCTTAAGAAATACGAAGCTAATCAGTATTTTTTAATTTCATATTTAGTTAAAATCTTCCTGGAGTAGGCAAATTACCGTACATCATCAATGATTACCATTCCAAGAGCACAAATCCAGGATACTCCAGAAATAATAAAGGAAATTTTTTTACAAGATGAAAACAATATTAAAATATATTTAAATTAAATATATATGAGTCGACCCTCTGCATCAACTTCTAGTAATTCTAGAAGCTCAAGATCGCGTTATGGTAAGGAAGTCAAAGAGTTGTAGGATGCTTTGAATTAAAACAAAATTGAATCGAAGAGAGATGCAATCAGAAAAGTAAAATTAAATTTTAAATTTTGTAGATTATTGATGCTATGACTAGAGGTAAAGATGTTAGCATGCTCTTTCCCGATGTCGCTAAAAATATGGAAACCGCCAATTTGGAACTTAAAAAATTAGTCTATTTGTACATCATCAATTATGCAAAAATCATGCCAGACCTTGCAGTTATGGCTATAAATAGCTTTAGAAAAGATGCTAGAGACAAAACTAATCCATTTTTAAGAGCATTAGCCATCAGGACCATGGGATGTATAAGAGTAAAGCATATCACAGAATATTTATTGGATCCATTAAAAGAATCAATCAAAGTAAATTATTGTCACATTTTATTATAGGATGAAGATTCCTATGTCAGGAAAACTGCAGCTATTTGTATTTCTAAATTATATGACGTCTCTCCAGAATTGATCGATGAATAAGGACTTTTGAAGCTATTAGAAAATCTTCTTAATGATGGCAATGCTATGGTAGTTGCAAATGCTGTATGCGCTTTACTAATAGTATAAGAATCTAAAGGGACAACTATGCTCCAATTAAATGCTTAAACAATTTAAAAAATATTGACAGCCATGAATGAATGTAATGAATGGGGTGTGATTTATTGTCTTGATGCTTTAGCACTCTATATTCCAGAGGATGGAAAAGAAGCAGAAGCGTAATAACAATATCTAATATCAATAGTATATTGGAAAGAGTCAGTCCACGATTGAATCACAGCAATCCAGGAGTGGTTTTATCAGCCTGTAAAATTATGATGAAATTCCTTGATTATCTTTAAAATCCAGAAATTATTAGATAAAATGCACTTAAAATGACTGCCCCATTAATTTCTTTACTGAGCTTAGGTAAAGAACCAGAAATATAATATGTGGCTCTAAAAAATATAAATCTAATCATTTAAAAGAGGCCAATTATTATTGAAAAGGAAATTAAAGTATTCTTTTGTAATTTCAATGATCCCATTTATATTAAATTATAGAAACTGGAAGTGTTATCCAAAATAGCTAATTAAGATAATATTCAATAGATTTTGCATGAATTAAAAGAGTACACACAAGAAGTTGATGTCGAATTTGTTAGAAAATCAGTTAGAACTATAGGTAGATGTGCAATTAAATTGGAAAAGTCTGCAGAGAAATGTGTTACTGCTTTATGGGAGTGTCTGAAAACTAAAGTGAATTATGTTGTGATGGAATGCATCATTGTTATTAGAGACATTTTCAGAAAATACCCACGCAAATATGAAATGATCTTAAAGGATCTATGTGAGAATCTAAAAAGCTTAGAAGACCCAGAGGCCAAAGCATCTATGATTTGGATCATCGGAGAATATGTAGATACAATTGAGAATGCTGACGATTTATTGTCTAATTTTATTGAGAAGTAAACTAAAATTTTAATATTAAGTTTCAAAGACGAACCAGCTAATGTGTAAAATTAAATGTTGGTTGCAGTGATGAAATTGTTTTTGCAAAGACCAGTAGACGGAAAAGAAATTATTCATAATTTATTAAAGGTAGCAACAACGGAATGCGAAAATCCAGATGTGAGGGATAGAGCTTATATTTATTGGAGAATGCTATCAACTGATCCAGAATTAGCAAAAAAGATTGTGTTCTCAGAGAGACCTCCTATTTCTGATGCTAGTTACACACTTGAAAATGAACTCTTAGATAAATTAATTGAAAATATTGGAAATCTCAGTTCAGTTTATACAAAAAAGCCAGAAAGCTTTGTTAAAAAATTGAGAGAAGTCTTAAATTCAAAAATGTAAGACAAACCAGAGGAAGTATATGAAGGTGAATAACTAATGGATGGAAGACCAGAAGATTATAGTGATTAATAAGCAGGTCCATAATCAAATGTTTATGAAGGAAATTACGAAACATCATCATAAATACAATAATAAACTAATGCGTAATCATAAATTTAATAAGTTTTATAAAATATAGATTTATTGGATTTAGATGATTCATAAGAACGACAATAATAACCCCCACCATCATCATAATAATAATAATAATAATAATAACAATAACAATAACAATAACAACTATAATAAAATATTAAACTACCATTTTCTGAAGTCCTTAGTTCCATTACTTCAGGAGCATAATAAAAAATAGTTGGACTTTAAATTGAAGGTGCTTTCTAAAAAAATGGAGATCAGATTATCTTAGAATTAAAATTTGCCAACAAAACTCAGGATAAAACTTTTTAAGTATTAAAACATCTTATTTAGGGTTTTGGAATTAAATTTAACAACAATCCATTTAGATTATAACCGGATTCTATTGAAATTTCTAGTCCACCTATCTAACCAGGATAAAGTTTGATTACTTAAATCTTTGTAAACCTAAATGGGCCAGCTTGCTAAGATGCTCCTTAAATGCCTTATAGAATATAGGTTGCACTGAAAACTAATTTAGATGTGTTTTATTTTCTTATCCCCATGTCACTTAGTGTGTTATTTGTACTTTATTCCTAGTAATAATATAGAGCTCTAATGGTTAAATTACTTAGCAAAAATTTGTTGAATTAAGTCAAGCTTAGAATTATGCAAGAAAAAATGAAATTCTTTAATTGCAAGTTGATTATCAAAAAGTAACCTAATATTATTATAAATTAGATGAGAGAGAAGCTAGAGAGAAACTATTTATATTTAGTAGGAATTAGGAAGGATGATAAAGGAGTTGAATTATTATCCTACTCTGTTGTCTTAGCTAATGGCATGTCAATCTTAATTAATGTCATTCACACTACAAATGCAATCAATTTATAATTATAAGCTCCTCATCCAACATTAATTCCATTAATATTTTAAGCTTTAGGGTTTATTTTAACGATAAATTGATAAAAAATAAAATCATATTAATTTCGATTATATTTTACATAATATTTAAGATTTTAGTTCTTCTCTTTCTAAAAAATCCTTTTCCCATTAGTCAAGTTGCACCATTTCTTAAAAGTCACATCCTAAAACTGATAAATTAATTGATTTTAAATTTAATTAATTTATTTATTCAAATAAATATTTGCATTTATTAAATTAACTATAATTGGCCATTATTTAATTCTTAAGATTGAATCGTTATTGAAAATCAGAATAGTAATTTTAAATCAATTTAAATTTATGAATTTAGGTTTGTAAAAATGGGATAATATCTCTAAAATTCGAATTTGCAATCTACTTAATCCTTTTGAAAAATTCAATTCTCTCTTAATAACTAATCATCCATTAGTTAAATAATTCAATAATATCCTAAAGCAACATTTTAACTTAATGATATTCAGGATACTCTAATAAAAATAAGAAATTATCTTACCAACATAATTAACAATAAAATCATTCATAATGTTGATTTATAATCCCAAATATTTTGTTTGAAGCCTTTAATCTTTTTCTTGATCTTCTGCAACTTTTTATCTTAATTATTTCATTTATTTATTTTTAGAATTATCAAGATCATTTTCTTTAAACAAACTGTTGTAGCTCATGAATTATTCTTTTTAAGCTGGAATTTCATCATATTCTTTAATGATTTTATCTATTCTATTCATCTGTCTTTAATTATTTTCTTAGTCCCAAACTTAAGGTTTTTATATTTCCATATTGCCTTTTTATTATTTAATCCCTTTTTCTAATTAATTTTCATATTAAGTAGGCTATTTCTTTTTTAGATACTTTTAATTTTTTGAATTTTGCTATTGATTTGCTCTTTAATTCTATTGTTGCTTGCAATTATTTAAATTAACTGAGGTTTATTATGATTCTTAACATTCCTCTTCAGTGATTTGTTTGTGTTAGTAAATTGGAATTGATTTTTAGTTATAGATCTGATCTTATTTTGAAAATGGAATATTCATCTATTTATCCAAGTTTAAGATATCAAAATTTTCTGACTAGTTTTGTAATTTTTCTTTAGTAATTTAATCTTACAAGGCTGATTCTAATTATTATGTGAGTTCTTAAATTTATTTTTGAAGTGATTTCATAATATCTTAATATTTTGTTTCTTGTTCTTTCAACAATGAACTATGCTTTTTTTATTCATCCTGCAATTTTTTAAGTTTTACATACTCAACTGATTTCAATCTTGCGATTTCACTTTTTTCTCTTTCCAATCTTTTTTTTTCTGCATCAACTCTTTGTTTCCATTCTTACTCAAAATCTTTTTGTAATTGATTTTTTTCTTATTCAATCCTTTTCTTATATTACAATTTGAGTTATTTTGATTTTTTTTACACTTCTTCATTTATTTACTCCTCTAGCTCCTCCTATATTTTGAATCTTAATTATTGTTCTAATTAGCCTCTTTAAAGGGAATCATCAAATTCACGAATTACATCTTATGCCAACTGTTCCTTCTATTATTCATAGTCTATTCTAATTTGCTATTCTAATTCAGCTCTTATTTATTCTTCATTAAATAAAGCTAAGGAATCTATTTCTTATTGAAATTTATATTAATATTCAATTTGCAATTCTTAATTAACTTGTTCTCTGATCTCTTTCTCAATATCAGGAAGCAATTCCCTTACTGTTTCTAAAATAATTTCGTTAGACATATTTTAAAAATATTATAAAATATTATGGAATTAAAGTCCAACTTTGGTGGGAAATCGAATCTGGATCAGGATAGATCTGCTATTGACAAGATTTAAAACGAAGTGAAAATGATATTCTTCAAAGTCACTCAGCAATTGTTAAAAGACGAGGAAAAATCAATTATTCTCAATTTACTAGCCATAGTAATTCAGTTCTTTTAAGTCACTTACATCATCTTCAATCGACAAACATGGAAAGTTTGGCAAACTTTTGAAGTAACTGAGTGGCTTAATAAGATATTTGGGTAATGTTAAATAAGCTAAGAAGTTATTCGATGTTAGTCCCTTAATTTCAGATGATATCATTTCCAGCCTTGGTTGCTATGATGTATGTATGCTTAGGCTTGGTAGTATTTGCATTTATGTTGATCTTCCTTCTAAGCTATAGATTGAAGTCTGCATTCACATGGCCAATATATATTTTAAGAATTATGATTCAAATGTTCTTATCAGTTCTTTATATGCCAATCATGGATCTCTTTTTCTCGTTAATTGCTTGTACAACCGATGAAAATGGGAACACAATTAACTAAATTTTTATTGATGTTACATGTTGGTAAGGTGCCCATATAGTGCATGGTGTTGTCTCAATTTTAGCTATTGTAATATTCTATCTATTATGTATCACATTTGCCTTGATATATTATGAGCCTAGGTATCTACCTAAAGAGCCATTATCTAAGAAGTCTGGTAGAAATTTGGCTATTTTTTTAACATACGAATTAGTTATGATCATATGTTATACATTCATGGTTGGAAGATCCCATGATTATCTATTCATTTTGATTATTATGATAGGAAGTTTTATAATATTTTGGAAAATGCACATAGAAAATCCCCATAATAATATATACATAGCGAAAATGTGGTCTATGCTTGTGTCAGTCAATATGTGGAGTGTTATCCTATTATGTTTTGCTAAATTTCTTGAAGGGCAATTATTTTTTGGAACTATTTATGCGTGGTTGTCAGGTTTACCATTAATGATTGTTGCAGTTCTGAAAACAGAAAAGTTGAACTACGATTTGCTTTTGACCAATTTAAATAAAGTAACAGATCATCAGGATGTCCTTAATTTGACTGATCACTTAATCAAGCTCTACTACATTCAAGATGCGGATTCTTAATTGATGATTGATGGATTCTTAGAAATACATAGGGCAACTTGCGCTAGAGAAGATTGTTATTTAAAATAAAAAAAAATCCCAAATTAAAGATTGGTCAAACCTTTTTTTAAAGATTAAAATCTTAATGAAAGGGATGTTGATCTAATTATGGTTTTAGGCCAAATTTATTTCAATTAGATTAAAAGATTTCCAAATGAAATTGCTTTAAGGCTTAGATATTCATTGTTTCTCTTAGATCTCATGAAGTAAAGATAATAAGCAATAAATGAATTAATATAAGCAGAAACACTATGTCCTAGTTTAGATAACGAATTTACGATATTTAGATATAAATAAATAATAGAATATGAAATGAATGCAGCTTAAAATGAGAATTTAGGTAATTTGGATGTAGCATCAGAATTAGCATTTTAAAATTATATGAGATCCTTTTAAAATAAAATTGAAAGAGCAACGCTTATGCATATGGACTTTTGGTCATAATTATAAGAAGATTCTCCTGATTTAGGTAAAATGAATAATATTGGTGCTAAAATTAATTTGGCTATTACTTAAGTTGAAGAACTTTGGAATAAGATGCAAATGATGACTTCAAATCTGCCTAAAGCTATGAGATTATACGGAAAATTTATCATAGAAGTCTTATAAGATAAGGATTTTGGAGAAGAACTATTGGAAAAAGCAAGGCGCCTATAGTAGTAGAACAGTAAGAACAAAAATAAACAAATGATATCGATTTTAAGCGGTGAAGACTTAAGTCAAGAGCCGAATGCTACTACTTTAGTATCAACAGCTACAGAAAAATTTGCTTAGATTATAAACTTAAACTTATCATGCTGCAATTTGTTTGGATACAGTAAGTCTGAAATGATCAACAGAAAGATCAATATCTTTATGCCAAATCTTTATTAGAAATTTCATGACTCATATGTTGAACGCTTTCTTTAGACAAATGATAATAAAAATATTAATAAGGAAAGACTAATTTATATTAAACAAAAATCAAATTACATAGCTCCATGTTATTTAATGTTGAAAATCATTTAATCTCTAGATGACAATCTATAATTGGCTGCATAATTTAGATTACCTAAGATTTTCAGACCCACTTGTTATATTATAGTTGATTCAGATGAAACAATTGATTCTATATCAGCCTCTTGCATCCCCTTATTGAATTTGGATTAAAAAGTAATTTAACATAAAAAATTGTTTTTAATTGACATTTTTCCAAAATTGGCAGAAAATAAAGAGTAATATTTATCTAAAGTCGGAGGATTGCTTTAGGTAACCTAATATTCTTCTTAGGTTAATAATATAAATTAAATAGAAGAGAAGCAGCAAGAGCAACTTACATTTATGTGTTACATGACTGAAGTAATAAATTAATCAATTGATTAATTAGTTGGATATATAATTAGATTAGAATTACAGGGTTAAGAATATAGTACCAACTAAGAATTGCTTGCAAACAACAATCCATTAAAAAGTGGAAACAGCTTATAATTTAAATTCAATCCATAACGTAATATGTACAGTGGAGAATTCTTAGCAGATACTAATTCTTAAAGAGTCGATCAGACTATATTATGGGATTAGAATGATTAATCATCTATGATATCCTCTAATTAAATGGATATTACAGGAAATATAAAATCATAAGTAAAAACTGAAAAGTCGGAAGAATAAAATTTGAACACTAAAATAAATTATGGAGAAGGAATTAAAATCTTGAGATTGTTTGAGAATAGAATTTAGGATATCGATGATAAAGATGATGTAATGTCAGATGATGAGGAGATCGGAAAAAATAGTGTATTTTAAAATAATATGGAACAGGCAATAGAGAATGATTAATAAAGAAACGAGTAACATAATATTTTCAGATCAAGAAAGAATCTATTTTAAATTATTAATAGCAATTAAACACCAAAAGTAATTACTAAATTAAATTGGACTGCCAATATTCTTGCATTAATCTTGGTGGTACTTTCTTTTGTTGACTTTTTCATTATATACTAATAATATGACGACATTTATAATACAATAGTTTTAGTCAAAAATCAAAACTAAAGAAATGCTGAACTCTAAACAATAACAACCACCGTTCAAAATCTTTTGATGCTAAATTTAGATGTTTGGCAATTAAAAACAGATAGTGATAAGGCCACATATGAAAGCGCATAGAAAACTAAATTAAATAACTCAATTACAAAAGTTGACAATTTAAACAAAGAACTAATGCTCTCAAGTGTTAGTCTAAGCGATTCCATAATAGGTATGATGAGAACAGATATTGTAACAATGAAGTCGAGTGATGGTAACGAATAGTTGTATGATCTATCCGAAGCAATAGAATAAATAATTAGTAAATCACTGATCATAAGAGATAAAAGCATTGCAAATATCAATAAGCAAGATATAGATGTGAATTTTGTGCTCTACAATTCTCTAAATAGTTTGATCTATTAATTAAGACTATTCTCAACATTATATGCTAATGAATTGAGAATTAAGACTTAGGACAATGGATAAAACTTCTTAACAATTTTAGGAGTGTCCGCGGCCGCCATAGGATTAGGATTAATCATTATGATAATAGCAATGATATCTGTCAGCAAAAATTAAGAAGAGGTTTTAGCAATGTTTCTAGATCTTCCAGACAAAACAGTTAAATATTTGTACAACAAAAGCGAGAACTTCATTTCTAATTTGTAAATGGGTGAGGATGATGAGGTACTGTCAGAGATAGATGATGTTGAAAAGGAAGAGTAGGAAGAACTAAACAAGACTTTGAAAACCAGAAGAAAGAAGAAGCATTTTAAAAACACAAACAAAGATTAAAGAAACTTCATATTTGGTATATTTTTTGTTTTGTTAATCACATAAGGATATTTTGTGTTGAATTACCTTTTAAGTCATACATTTCTAAGTAATCTAGACTAAATGATACCAGAAATAAATGCAACTGCTAGAGCAGAAAGCTTTTATAGATTTGTAGATATAGGAGAGAGAGCTTTATTTATAGATCGCAATTAAACGATAATGAATTAGGATGCCTACACCATAGTTAAAAATAATCTTAATTCTCTTTATGTCTTAGATTCATCTATGCACTAAGAGCATTCATTAAATGTTGAAATTACAAATCAAATATATATAGACGCTTTTAAGGAAATTTTTATGTCTCAACCCTGTACAATATTAGCAAATGTAATGAATGAAGTTAATGAATAAGAATGTTAGACTTTTGCAGATGGAGCCATCTATTAAGGGATGGCAGTAGGTGTTGCTCGTTACTTTGAAAATTTAAGGTACATCATGACCATATATGATTAATTTTGGAATAATTCTAAAGTCAATTTTACTTCATTGGCTCGTGGATTTGTCACTTTCAAAAATATAACTAAAAATTCAGATAATAGTACTAATTATGTTTTAAATCTTAATAATTTCAATCATACAAAAGAGGCTAGATAGATGCAGGATAATTATCACCGGGGAACCTTTCGTTATTTAGTTAAGAAGATGATAGAGGGAATATAACAAGATATGGAAAATAGCAAAACTTAGCTTCTTGCATTTTTCATTGTATTTGAAGTTCTATTGTTCATTATTTACTTCATATTGTGGTTACCTTTAGTTGTCAAAATGACCAAAGATATTTGGAGAACGAGATTGATGATTATGATGATTCCTTTGAGAGTGATCCAAAATATTAGATCTATTAAAGCCTATATCAAAGATAATATACAAATTAATGAGATAGATGTGTGATTTTATATATATCTAATATCTATATTATTTAAATATATGGAGGTAAAGTCTAATTATGGTCAAACAAGACCGCAATTGGAAAATGAAAGTCTTTTGGTACGAATGCAAACGGAACTGAAGAATATCATATTTCGAGTGTTCTTTTTGATGCTTAAAGATGAAGAGTAATCCATTACTGTTGCTGCTTTACTCCAAACCATTATGTTCTTGCAATACTTGTCCTTATTATTTTACCGATAATTGTATATAATTTGGAAAAATGAAGGAGTCTCCTACGAATTACACGAACTATTTGGTTACCTTATGCTGACTCCTTATTTTGAAATGTTGGAGTTTTCTAGTTTTGCTTCAATGATGTATGTACTTATAGGTATAATCCTAATTGCCATCATGATATTGCTGCTAGTAGGCTATAGTAATACAATCAAGTTAAATACAGCAGTATCATGGCCAGTTTTCATATTAAAATAGTTGTTCATACTGTTCTCAACAATATTGTACCTCCCTACTCTTAATCTCTTTTTCGAGATGGTAAATTGTCATGAGAATGATCAAAATATTGTTGTACTTTAAGCATTTGATCAGGAATGCTGGAATGGAGCACATATTGTTCATGGAATTGTTGCAATTTTAGGAATTCTGATTTTCGTAATTTTCACTGCAATTTTTAATTTGTTATATTTTGAGGCAAGACCAAAAATAAAGGACTTATTGTCTAAATAATCAGGCAGAGCAAAAACCTTTGTCTACTTCTATCTATTAGTAATGTAGATGTCAATTATTATTTTAGATCCCAAAGATCATACTTATATCATAATCTATATCATACTTGTTGGTGCCTTCATCTCTTTCTATAAATTGCATATCGAATAACCATATTACAATTAAATGATGTAAAAAGTGGTTTCCATATATTCAACCTTAATTTTATGGAGTGCTTTGCTACTTTGCTTCTCAAATTATTTGGAGGACAACATCTTTCATGGTACTATTTACGCTTGGCTAGTTGGTTTGCCCCTTTTGGCATTGGCAGTATTTAAAAAGCAAAAATATCATTATGATTTATTACTTATGAATATCTCAAAAGTGGATGATCCAAATCAAATAATCAAGCTCATTAACTATATTTAGACACTTTTAACAGGGTACTAAAATAACTAATAATTTAATATAATGCTAAACGCACTTATTGATGTACATAAAAATACATGTTAAATTGATGATTGTGTATTTAAGAATAAAAAATAAATTAATTTAAGAATAATCTAATAAAAAGATGAAGATATATCATAAAGAGATTATAATATATATCTTTTATTAGGAGAGATTTACTCAAGAACAATGAGAAAGCATTCTACACATTCTAAATTAAGAATTAATTATGCCTTCTATTTATTGGATTACTTAAAGTAAAGATAATAAGCATTAAATGAATTAATATAAGCAGAAACATTATGTCCTAGTTTAGATAACGAATTTACGATATTTAGATATAAATAAATAATAGAATATGAAATGAATGCAGCTTAAAATGAGAATTTTGGTAATTTAGATGTAGCATCAGAGTTAGCATTTTAAAATTATATGAAATCATTCTAAAATAAAATTGAAAGAGCAACACTTATGCATATGGACTTTTGGTCATAATTATAAGAAGATTCCCCTGATTTAGGTAAAATGAATGATATTGGGGCCAAAATCAATTTAGCTATCATTTAGGTTGAAGAGCTTTGGAATAAAATGTAGAAAATGACATCAAACCTACCCAAAGCTATGAGGTTATATGCAAAATTCATTATTGAAGTCTTATAAGATAAAGATTACGGAGAAGAATTATTGGAAAAAGCTAAATTTTTATAAATTTAAAATAGTAAAATGAAAAATAAATCTTAAATTTAGATTTTTAATGTTGATGATATCAACTTTGAATCACTACCAACTTTGATTGTATCAGTACAAAATGATAAGTTTGCTTAGATTAGCAATTTAAATCTGAGTGCATGTAATCTATTAGGGTATCATAAAACTGAACTATTAAATAGAAGAATTAATATGATCATTCCAACAATTTATGCTAAATTTCATGACTAATATATTGACGGTTTTTTTGAGAAAAGTGATGCTTCAAAGATATCAAAAGAGAAATTTGTTTATTTGAAATTAAAATCTGGTTATATTCAGCCATGCTATTTATAACTTAAAATGCTATAAACTGCTGAGGAGAATAGTTAATTAATTGTTTAATTCAGATCTTTACGTAATTTTAAGAGTGCGTGTTATATAATTTTAGATGCTGATGAGTCTATAGAGAGTTTATCATCATCTTGTATTTGTAATATTTTCATTGATCATAAAGTGATTAGTCATAAAAAGATATTTATTTAAGAGATATTCCCTAATTACAATAGGAATGATTATCTTAATAAAATAGGGTGTAAAATAGCTTTGAATTTATCGACCGAACTTATTTAAAATTCTTATTACATACAGTATTATATTAATGATTTGGAGGATCAGACATAAATAGAATTTTAAATTCAGGTTACAGAAATCGAGAATGAAAAGATAGGTTAAATATTTGGGTATGTTATAAAGCTAGAAAAGGTTACTGAAATTTATAGTTAATAATTTACTCCAGAACTGTTATAATAGTTAGCTATTCCAAATTAAAGTGTTAGCAGTTTTTAATTTAAATATTTTGCAAATAAAGCCTTATATGTAGGTGAGAATTAGGATGACATAAACTCTGCAAGGGTTGATCAAACTGTCATATGGGAATATACTTCTAGAACAAGTGAAGAGACTCAAGAGGAAAAGAAAATAGTGATTGAAGATAATAAAATTGCAAAACCTAATTATGCAGAGGGTATAAGGACTCTAAAATTGTTTGAGAACAGAATTTAGGATTTGGAAGACATCAAATTAGATTTCTCAGAATAAGAGGAAGAATAGCATTCTAGTGTATTTCAAAGACATCAGGACAGTCAAGAAGAGATTGAATTTGGATAAAAAAATAATATGTTTCGTAATAGAAAAGCTTTAAATTCAGCGATAAATAATCAATAAATTCCAAAAATTATGGTGTATTTGAGTTGGGTGATAAATATTTTAGTTTTGGCTGTTATAACTCTAACTTTTACTTCTTATTTTCTAGGCTTATTTTTATTTTAAAATTTTCAAGATTCTTTAAATTTATTAGGATATGCCACAACAAGAAATTTGGAATGCAATTAAATTGTGATGAATATCCAAAATTTGTAAATGCTTAACCTAGGCATTTGGAATTTGACAGAGGTTGAAGCTACTGACTATGAAATCTAATAAAGAACTGAACTGAATGAATCCATTTTTACATTAACATAAGTAAACAAAAAGCTAATGTTATCAGATATATATATCAATAGTGAAATCGAGGAGTTGCATTCTTAAAGAGTTGTAAATGTTAGGATAAACAAAAATAGTTATTAAAAGTATGACTTAATTGAAGCAACATAATAAATTATAAGTAAAGCTTTGATAGTTAGAGATAAGTAGCTTTCTTAGATTAATAAGGAAGATGAAGACACAAGTTTTATTTTATATAACCTATTCAATGACATTGTCTTTCAATTGAGAAATGAGACAGGTTAATATTCATATGGATTATAAAGTGTTGCAGAGGATAATGCTCTCAATTTTTTTATTATATTGATTGTATCTGGTTGCTCATTCATTATACTTTTGATCTTCATTTTATTGTTTCTGATGTAAATAAACTAAACTAAAGAGTAAATACTGTAATTATTTATTGAAATACCTGAGAAAACAGTTAAATATTTGTATAACAAAAGTGAAAATTTTATATCGAATTTGTAGATAGGAGAGGAAGAGGAAATATCATCAGAGGTCAGCGATGAAGAGAATGATGAAGAGAAAGAGTTGAATAAGTCATTAAAATCAAAGAGAAGGAAAAAGTTGCTCAAAAATAAAAACTCATTCTTCCGAACCTAATTTACTTTAGCAATTTTCCTTGTTTCTACTTTAATAGGGTACTTCATATTGAATTACTTTCTTAATTAAACGACCTACAGCAATCTAAAGTAACAAATACCAGAACTAAACATAACAGCTCGATCTGGGTCATTCTACAGATATGTGGATAATTCAGAAAGGCAGTTGTTTTTGAATAGAGATGATCCAATTTTATTGTAGGATGCATATACATCAGTTGTCAATAATTTGTAATAAAATTATGATTTGGATTCTTCTTTGCATTCTGAACATGCCAAGAATTCTGAAATATGCAATTCAGATTATTATGATACATTTCAATAGATCTTCATGATGAATCCTTGTAACATTTTTATAGCAATTGGATATTCGACTCAGGAATATTGCGAGGCTTATGCGAGTGGATCAATTCAGTAAGGAATGGCTGTAGCAATTGCAAGATTCTTTGAAAATGTGAGGTATATAATGACGATATATGATGTATTTTATGGTTATCCAGATGTAAATTTCACTGCTGCAGCAAGAGGATCGGGAGTCTTTAGAAACATTACTTAGAATTCTGACAATGTGACCAATTACATTTATAATTTGAATAACTTTAAGTAAGCTTAAGAAGCTAGAGTATTGTAGAGTGTCTTTATTAAAGGTATTAAAGCAATTATCCTTCATAGGGGCATTCATTTACTTAGTAGACCAATACATCATCGCTTTGAAGGATGATATCAGTTTAACTTAGACTCAATTATTGGCAATATTTATTGTGTTTGAAGTGTTAGTATTCTTAGTGTACTTTATTGGGTGGTACCCAGCCTCAATTAGAATGACTAGGGATATTTGGAGAACTAAGGGATTGATAATGATGATTCCTTTGAATGTTATATTAAAGATCAAATCGATTAAAGAAAAGGTTGGAAATTTAGTGTAAGGGACAGATTAGTGAAAATTTATTTATTTATTTATTTAAAAATGGAACTTAAATCAAATTTTGGCACTCCAAAAGGTTCTATAGA